TCTGGGGTGGGTAACGTTCTGTAACGTCCCATGGTAGGATCACGATTTGATTGTCCGAAGTTGAAAGTTCGTTGGTTGGACTTCTTGCCGACTCATGTTTTCTTTTTTGGGTTTGGCCTGGCGTTCTGCAAACTGCTGTAACCCGACTCGGACAACCACTTAGCACGCACGCATAACTAAGGCAAACTACCGCAAAGATCCGGCTGTGTATTGATAGATAATTCAATGGGGTGTCATACTTACTTTAGCTAACAGTGATGTGCCAGCGGGCGGGTACGTACTTACGAGCAAAACCGGTCGCTTAGATCATTCGCGTGCGGCGGTTCCAGGCCCAGCCGATAAGTACGACCCTGAGTGAGATTAATATGTCGACCTACTTGGGGTATATGGGGCACCCGGCAGTAATCTGCAATAATGCGGAAATCCAGACCAGCCAATGGCCATTAAGTCAACAAATCCCAGCGAACGCGACGCGTTCCATTTTACGTCCCGCGTTATGTTGATTTCTTCTGAGTTCACCTGAGGTTAAGAAGGGTTTAGATCTTAGTGGAGGATAATATCAATCTAGCATGGGGAGGACGCCTCATGCTCAGTCTCGAGGTTTTCTTGCCTATCTTTGCTTATGTGAGCGTAGATTTGGCGTAGATGGCCAAATATGTCTGGGGAGGGAGTTTCAATGAGTATAAAGATGAAGACCCGATAAGAGTCGCAAGACGCTCCCGCGAATCACTCTCACACTTCTGCCACTGCTTCGCCACACGGCGTGCGGCATCATCTGCTAGGTAAGAGGGATTGACCGACATCATGATGTAACTCACGCCAATGTCACTTGTCTATCACACGTCTAGCAGTGACTTTATTACCTTAACCTACCTCTTCAGTAAACCACCGACATAACGATGGGTCATGAAGAAGCATCCGTTGTCCTCGTCGACATGTGTTACGCAGTCAAATGTGACAAATGCGGCAAAACCACCTGGAAGGTAAGCAGTTGTCTCCTTGGTGATGCATCGTACTATCCCGGTTGGAGGCGGTAGCGCATACACGCACGATGTAGCGATGCGCATGGTGATTGGCTGAGGGTTCACAGTGCTTCCGCGGACGCTGAGGGCGGAAGTATCATGAGATTAAGAGAACGCAGGCCCGACCCGCGAACTTTGCCTATTTACACATACCCTCTCTTGCAGTGATAGGCTGAGATCCGCTGACGTGTCCTTTCAAACAGGGGTGCGGACGTCATGTTGAACAGGTGAGAAACTTTTCTTAACTGATCATGGACTGCCTCGGCGTAAAATTCGGGGGTTGGATATTGAAATGACAAAAGGATAATATGATCTGTAGGGGAGGGAGGGAGATTTCCACGTTATCGTTTGATGTGGTCCCTTTCGAAGACACCCCATGACGGCCTCCTCGCATCTCTGCTTGAACTTCGAGGGTTCCCTTGGGAGTGCAGGGAGGGTCCAATTTAAAACTTCTGCTACCCGTGGCACCCTGTACTGACATATTTTTCTTGCACAGGTTATGAAAGACGTCAAAGAGGAAGATAAATGTGCTTGCCCTCATTAAAAATACGATAAGCGGTCGGCAAAAGGACGCTACATGGAGAGTGTACCTTGATGGCAGGGCTGCAGAGGGCTGCATTAATATGTGATTGAAACGTTTACCATCCAAATTTGTGATAGACGCAGCTAGCCACGGCGTGAAATCTGTAATCTAAGAAGGCTGTTGCATTACGGAGTGTCCGGGGTCAAGCCTCATCCCAAATTTGGTCGTTATACGCTGCTTTAGATTGCAGTTTCTTTGAAGCGTCGCTGTTTGATCTCCTTTCCCTTTCCTCGTCTTCCACAGTCTTCCAGTCTATTCAACAAACATTTCCCTTTCATTAATCCGCAATTTATTTCTTTGGAAAGGACTTCATGAGTCCTCAAACAAGATGTCTTCCGACATAGACTCAGCAAGCAGTGTGCATGCTGCAGAAGACCCCTCAGGACTCCCATTCGATCCGCCAGGCAGCGTTCGGATGACAGCTGAACTACGTTACAGGTATAATGATGACCGCAGACCTATCGTGAACCAGTATTTGCGTGGACACCGAGTCGGAAAGGGTCAGCATGGCGAAGTATGGGTGTGTTGGGACTTGTCGGATAATCGTCGCGAATTGGTCAGTTGTCATTCTTTGCCCACTTCTTCGACGCCATCTTGCTAACATGGCGTTCATCAGGCCATAAAGGCTGTCAAACGTAATAACCCACGCGCCGAAAAGATGAACATGCTCCGCAGGCGAAACATTCCTGCGTCGTCTCACACACCACTTACAGAAAAACTCGGAAGCCTTGAGCATAAAATACGAAAAGAGATCGCAATAATGAAAAAATGTCGTCATGGGCATGTCGTTCGCTTGTTGGAGGTTATCGACGACAAGCTGAATGACCGGATATACATGGGTAAGCATTTAGTCTCGCTATCTTCCGTAGAATCGGAGAATCGTGCCGCCTATCTACTTCCTGACTACAGGCCATGGGTGAGTGTCTCAGCTGAGAAATTATGACCTTGTGGCTGCAGTCTAGGAAACAGTATGATAGGAAGGTTTACTTGTGTCAGGAAGCCATGTACTCACAGCCTCACTTCTAGTCATGGAATATCTAAGCGGCGGAGAAATCAAGTGGCGCAACGAGCAGAATGAGCCTGTGCTGCAGGTCGACCAGTGTCGACGAATATGCCGCGATGTTATCCTCGGCCTCGAATATCGTAAGCTTCATGGCATTCTCATCACCACAGGCTAATCCGGACACTTCCTTGCCTTCTCAATACACAGTCCATTACCAGGGAATTATTCACCGTGACATAAAGCCCGCTAACCTTCTCTGGACTGCGGATCGCCAAATGGTCAAGATCAGTGATTTTGGGGTCTCGCATTTCTCGTATGCGCAGCGCCTCGCGGCTGCAGGGCGTGGAAATGCCCTAGATGACGCTAATGACCCGATTTTGCTGGATGATTCGGACCTTTCCAAGCGTGCTGGAACCCCACCATTTCTTGCCCCTGAAGTCATCGCTGAGTATAATGGTGATCCTTCACCATCCATATCCGCTTCTGCCACCTCGACCACGCTGCCGTCCTTGAGGTCCGCACCACATATAGGTTCTTCTTCCACTGTCCGCCCGAACACGTCCCACCGGCTACAGATTACGAAAGCCATTGATGTATGGGCTCTTGGTGTTACCCTGTACTGCCTTCTTTTCGGCAAAATCCCGTTCAGAGCCCCAGATTCGAGTGAATACATGCTCTATAATATCATATGCAAAAATGACTGGGAGCCAGAAGACACTATGGGTTACGATCGCCTTCCAACTGGCGGGCGGAAACCTAAGGATAAAAAGTCTGAGGGATTTATTGTCATGAATCTTCTCGACAAGCTGCTTGAAAAAGATCCAAACAAGCGCATGACTCTTGATCAAGCAAAGGTTCGTCGATTTCATTCTGCACGTATTTGCCCCCATATCTCCCATTTCACGTGTAGCGGTTCATTTGGTTCCTGCGGGATATTCCACATCACCAAGAATGGCTTCGCCAAACATCACCCTCCAGGATTGACATGGTGATGGTCACGGAGTCTGACACCCGTACTGCGATGACTACCGTCCGCTTCAGCTGGGGCTGGCCAAAGCGCCTCACACGTCGAATATCCTCATTATTGAAGGGCGTTCGTCCTTCGCGTGCCACGTCATCACATCATGATGAAGACGACGACTTTGGTGTGTGTTCCTCGCCTACCATTGCGGTAGAGCGGCACAAAAGCGTTAGCGGGCGAATGTCAAGTTCAGAATTCGACGAAGGGAAGCGTCGTGGTGTTGCACGCTCTGTCATTGTGCGCAACGACTCAACGCCAAACATGGGAAGGAGAGAAGAATCAATCGAGAGGTGGGCCCGGAATGCATCCAACAGCAGGGCGCATGACTCCCATATCAGTCGTCCTCCTTCACGACAGAGAGAGTCCAAGGCCCTTCTTCCACTTGATCAAAGTCAACCTAATGCATCATACTCTCTAGGCTCCACCAGCCGTGGTAGAGACAATGCCAACACTCCCCTTCCGGATGATGCGATGTTCTTGGGCGCTGGTGGCGTATGCAATGACCCAAGCAGCCTCATTTCGTCAAACTTACCTTTAGGCCTTAACCAATCAATCTGTCATTCTCCCGTCGCGTTACGACACCCACAACCTGAGCGTATCTACATTACTCCCCCGACTTCAGCCGTTCCCGATCCGTCCTTGCACGACTCTGGGCACAGCTGGCATCCCTCTATTCGCTCTGCTACTCAAAGTCCCAGTCCCTTGCAGCAAGTCGCATACGAATCGGAATCCAGCGTGACGAGCGAGGACGACTACGACGACCTCGACGACGACTCCAGTTTCTTTCGCGATACTCATAGAGATCGCCAAGCGGAGTCGGAGGCTTTACAGGCTAGCACCAGCCTCATGTATGAAGAGATAGATGAGGATGAGAGTGATGAAGAGACGGTTCCTATTGAAGTAAAGCGGCGGCGTCCATCTGTTTCCGTCACGGCTACCTCCCCCGTCCCTCTTTCTGACTCCTCAGATGACGCCCACTGAGATTGAGGCAGGAAATTTTTTGTACAGCACTTTCAACACATTATGATATCTCTCGGACTGTCACCTAGACGACTTCTCATCCTCCCTCTGCACCATAGCGGCGGACGGCCGCCTACAGTTTCCACTCATTCCTGACTTAAACTCACATCCATTTTTTTTCTAGACCTATGTATTTCCACTGCATCTGTGATTTTATACTCTTTTTTGCTTCCCTTTCAAGAGGCAGCATAGATTTAGGTAGCTTGCTATACGTTACTGGTGGCAAAGGAGACGTGAAATCTACATCGTGTCTTTGAACGTAATAACTTGAAGTTGTGCCCCACAACATCTAAAAATATCTGATTTGGAGTGAGTACGTATTAACATTTGGCGCTTGCAATAATCGGGTCCTACTTTTCCCATCATCTCTTCGAAGTGAAGCTCCGATAGGTATAGAGCAACCATGACTCGAACTTCCCGTGGCAACCCTTGACATACTGAGTATGTAACTTACAATGCATCAGATCAGCAGGAGCCTGAGCGAGATGACTCGATCAGTGCCTTGCTGGCAGTTTCACAACACACTGCAATCCGGTGCTCCCCATCGCATATTCGTTTGAGTTTCATCAAAGGTTCACTGCTGTCTTTATTATAAAAAGGTGGGCATATGTGTGCCGTCATGTTCACCCTCATTGTGACGCGAGCTTTATCTCCGCAGGACGATTGAACGTTAATCAAATGGCCACACACTCCGATGGAATCCTTGTCTCAGCTTCTGGTGTCAGCACTCCTGTTGAAACTAACGGGCATGCCACCGTCGAGAAGGTCGTCAAATCCCTTCCAACAGACTTCTACACAGAGTTTTTGTCCGATGCTGCCAAAGCACGGAAGCCCAGTCCCAGTACGTTTCTGATCTTATGGGTCATTGACAGTAATGTTTTAACGGTACCACTTCAGTTCGTGCGCTGTTCCCATTGGAAAACAAGCCAGGTGTGATATCGCTTCTAGCAGGAAAACCCAACGATGCCATGTTCCCCTTTACTTCATTATCTTTCAATATTACCTCCCCTACGGACCCATCGCAGGAACAGTCAATCTCGCTATCTGGAAAGGATCTTTCAGCTGGCCTGCAATACGGTCCCACTGGCGGTCTTCCTCGTCTCCTGAAGTGGTTCATAGGATTGCAATCGCTCTCTCATGGCCGGAAATCGGGCGAGGGATGGAGTTTAACCATGGGCAGTGGTTCGCAGGACTTGATTTATAAGGTTAAGAGCTTTCTAAAAATGAATGATGGTTCTCATGTTTCCGCAGGCGGTCAACGCTTTAGTGAACCCCGGAGATACTGTTCTCGTGGAGTCTCCAGTGTATGCGTGAGTTAAAAATAGTCTGAAGTGAAGTCGGCACTTTGCTAACTGCCGTCTATTCAGTGGTGTCATCCCAATGTTTCAAACTCTACACTGCGAGCAGATCGGTTGGTCGTATTCTGGTGTTAATCTTCCCGTGCTCAATATATTTCAGAGGTAGAAACGGACGCGAATGGGGTGTGTTCTCATTTGTTACGCGATATTTTGGAGAATTGGCCTGTTGGAAAGCCGAAGCCGAAGGTCTTATACACGGTGCCCGTAAGTTCTATCTATTCAATCTGTGGGCCAAAATAACCATATTGCAGTACGGCTGTAACCCTACCGGTATGACCGCGACTCTTGAGCGTCGCAAAGAAGTGTTGCAACTTGCACGCGAACACAATTTCTTGATTCTCGAAGGTGGGCCACATTTCCTTTTTTTTTTTTTTTGCGGAGTAGATTGAATCATCCCTTTATCCATAGACGATCCCTACTTCTACCTGTATTTTGGGAAAGCAGCTCGGCCGCTGTCGTACTTCCAGCTGGAACTTGACGAGCCTGAAGTCGGCCGGGTTATCCGGTTCGACAGCTTCTCCAAGATTCTCTCCGCAGGCATGCGCCTGGGCTTTGCGTCGGGCCCGAAGCCTATCATCGACGCAATGGACTTGCATGTACGTACAAGAAGATGTATCTGCCTGTGCTGTGTATCTTACATTCAATCAGACTGCGATGGCCAACCTGCAAGCCTCATCACTCATTCAAGCCATCACCCTTGCACTGGTTGAGGAATGGGGCTATAACAATTTCTTCGCTCATACGCGGGCCGTTGCCGACTTTTACCGCGAGAAACGCGATGTGTTTGAGTCTGCTCTGAATGCGCACCTCGGTGGACTTGCGGAATGGTGCACCCCTGAAGCGGGCATGTTCTTCTGGTCTGTGCCTCTGTTCGATATTGATCGAGATGATATGTTAACAATGGCATTACAACAGGTTCAAGCTACTTCTCTCACCAAATCAAACACTCGGCGTAGATGAGGGTGACTCAGAAGACCTCATACGAACCAAGGCATATGAGGGCGGTGTGCTCGCACTCCCTGGCACGGTCTTTCTTCCCAACGGACGTAAGACGGCATTTGTGAGGGCCTCGTTCTCTTTGTGTACGGAGGAACAAGTGAATGAAGCTTTGAAGCGCCTCAGAGCTGTGTTGTTGAAGGAGAGAGGAGAAGCGTAGAAGGGTTGGATCGACTGCAAAATACCAAACACGTAGATGCTCTCATTAATATTCTGTCAAAGCAATCTAGTTACCCTTGGACACATTTGAGATGGGTGCTTCAAGCGTCGGGAGCCACTCATCCACTCTAATAACTTGAAGAAGCCCTTTGTCTTTTGTCACGTGGTGTTGTTCATTTTATTGACAACCGTGTTTGGCAAGCGTTGTGGACGATCAAAGTCATGTTTGGTTACTGTGGCAGCCAAAGCATGCTTGAGCAATTTCATTGAAGTAGTGGAAAGTAAGTGCATCGTACAAACCAATATTTCCCTTTTTTCATCATCAGCTCATCATGGTACGTGTTTTCTGTGCGAAGAAGTTCAATTCTGACCTCCAAACTTGCTTCCAGTCGAACTTCGGGCGCAACAGACAATCAGTATCAGACATCGAACAAGAACTCTACGACATATTTAACAGACACCCAGATTCGCGTGAAATTCAATCAGGAGAACCAGCGATACCCGCAGACGCACTCCCAGATGTGCTCAGTGCGTTCTCGGACTCGTATAATGGCGTCGACCTGCTCGACGATCGCGAGATGGGCGCGCTCAAGGAAATCCTCGCGCGTAGTCCCGGAATTGAAGTTACACCTCAGATCTTGCTCCAGGTCGTTGCAGAGAGGACGAGGCACAGTCCACGAGACAGCCCAAATAGTTCACCATTGGAAGAGGATGTAACGCTGCCCGACGATCGAGGGCGCAATCCTTTTTCTCGCACCAACCACTCGCGATCATCTAGCAGAAGCTCGGTAGGAACTTCACGCGTCTCCAGCCGACCACCGTCTGTGCCACCCAAGACGCCCAACACGGCGATTAGCTCTGCCTTTGATACGTCGCGACGACAGCGAACAACCCCGTTGGACGCGCAGCCCCCTTCAAGCTGGTCAAAGCGCCCTGCGCCTGCCAGCAGACGCAAAAGTATTGATGGCGGATCTCAGCACGCTCTTAGTGACTCAGAAGTGCGCAGCTCCTTCTACGTATATTCACCTGTTGAACTTAACTCCAATTAGTCGTCTTTCTCCTCCAGTCCCAGTGTGTTCGGTCGAACACGCACGCCGTCAAATCCAACGAGTCCCTCGAGCATTTCCATAGGACTCTTCTCACCTAACTCGGTCGGTTCGCCACCTTTTGTGCGGCCGCACTCCCGCACCCAGTCGCAGCCCTTCACTAGCATTGGAATCCACTACTCGTCTCCAGACCGGGATCACCTCTCTTCGGGAGAACATTCACCTGATATGGACTCGTCTTTTGATTACCCACAGAAAGGCCACAGCTTTACGCACCAACTCTCCTCGTTGCCTATGCCACGCTCAGCATCTGACTCGGACTCTGATGGCGAGAATGAGTCGTCTTTAAGCTTAGTTATGGAACGGTCAGCAACGTCGTCGACTGTGTCCCTTGAACCCACAGAGCGGCTGGAAGCATTGCAGAAGGCCAACGCAGAGCTTGGGCGGAAGCTGATCGAGGCTGAGAGGACACTTGAGAACAGGCTGAATGAGCACGACATGGACTTAGATGAGATGCAGGGGCGCTTGGAAGAGCTCAAGAGTGAACTTACCTCTACCAAGCGGGAGGAGAAGGAGCTCCGAACGAAGGAGGTATGTAATGCGTGAAGTGCGTGGACAATGTCTGATAGATATCATTTAGCGAACCAACTCAACCCAAATTACGGCGTTGGAGTCCGAAATCGCAAAGTTGGAGAAAAGTTTGGAGAATGCACGTTCGTCTTACCAAAGCTTACAGAAACAATACCAAGAGCAATGCGGTAGGTTCGCTCCAAGATCTCGATTAAAATGTGGCTCACATCATTGTAGCGGAATCTGAACGCTATCGTAACCAGCTCCGCCGTCGAGACCAAGAAATCAAAGATTACCGAGATGCTGCCGCGCTACAGTCACACGAAGCTGTGAAGTGGGCTAAAGAAGCGTCATCCTATGAAGATCGCCTCACACATCTTGAAGAGGAGCTAGCCATTGCGCAACAAGCCCACGCTCAGCTCGATGAGCAGAAGCAGGAAAACCTCATGCTCAAGGAGACCATCGACCGCATGCGGTTTGATATGGACGAAATGCGCAATGCTGCGACAAACGCTGCTGCGGGAAGCGGGCACTCTAGTGTGGCAAATACTATGAGCAAGAGTCTGGGCGCTGAGCTCATGGGAAAAATGGGCGAAAGCTGGGGTGGCGAGGATGATGAACTTGAGGATGAGGGAGATGGTGGCGAATTAGAGCTGGATATGAATGAGGATACGGAGGATGAGGAGGATGTTATTCAAACCATAATAACTCGGAAGAAGAGGGTAAGTAATCTTCACATTTGCGCCTCGCATCTGACACCCCAAACAGAAAGTTGGCCGCGTTAACAAAGCCGAGATCGTCACTTTCTCAGACACCAAGACATACGTCGATACATTCACGCAACACGACGCTGCAGAACATACATCAGCGTGTGCAATGCAGACTGATCCAGAACCAGAGATTCTTACTTCTTCGTCCTTCATTCAAACGGAAGAAGTTCCCCGTGGCATCATTGCAGTTCAAACCGATCCAGAATTGCCACGAATCACTTCAAGTATCGAAATCCAAACAAATGAATCAGAGTTAGACGTCTCTCGACCCGTCTCACCGCAGGTTACCCCAGAAGATGACGAGGCACTCGCGTCTTCATCATCGACTGTCCTCCCTCCCACGCCCAAGGGGCACCTGGAGTCTCCTCACCTGAACGACGCACCTCCTTCCTACAACTTTGTGACCGAGCTCGAGCAAGTCAATAATGCATTGATGGATCGACACAAAGGCATCACCATACCAATACGTGGCGTTCCCGGAGGAATCTCAGCAGACACCGTCGAGGAGTGGAAAGCGCTGAAGGAAGAACTCGGCGTGGAATGCGAGATGATAGATGAGCTGATTGCCTGCTCGACGACTAAGCGTCAGCCGCATCGCCAGAACCGTTTCTACAAAATCTACAATACCTATGTCATCGGCAAGGGCGGAAACGAAGGGGGCGACGCTTGGCTTGCTGGGGCTGCACGGCAGGCACTCATCAGTGCTGGGGCTATGGCGCTTGTATTCCTCTGCATGACCTCGCGTCTGCCAGCCATCGGGGCGCAATACTCCCCTGTTGGCGGCCCAACAGTATACGACCCGCGCTGCCTGGTCCAGTTTCAACAGCATGCAAGGACCCGGCGAAGGCTTCGGTTATGATGGCACTTCTGCTCTTTGGAATATTATGGGGCGTGTTGGTTTTGGTGCTGCTAGGATTGCAGGTGGCTGGCCAACATGATTTCATGATGTGCGGGCCTATATTTCATGTTCATAATTCTTATCGCGTTATCTAATTCTTGTCACGTTCAACTGCATTCTCTTACTCCTTTCCCACTCATTCCTCTTTCATAAGTACTCTCAAGATGGGCCTCGTACATGTCACTCCTTCGTTTCGGCATATTATCATTGTATTGTATTACGCAATATAACAACCTTGGGGGAACGTGCTTGACCAAGCTGTCTCTAAATTCGTACCATCCAATTAATAGCAGGCCAATTGAAGTAGATCGAGCGATGATCATCACGGATTGTGCATTCTGCTTCCGTCGCGCATCATACTTCACGAACCACTCGAAGGAAGCATGTTTAAATTTTTAGGACACGACTGCTACGCAATCGATGGACCTTGCTCCGAAGAACACGTTAGCGAAGTGCATCAATATTAACATTGATCTCATTAATCTTTGTGGTTTCTAACCACATTAATATTCAGCTTGCGCTCTCGCTTCTCTTACTCTCCCGATTCTCGCATCTCAGTCCCTGCCGCTGAGAAACTATTTTAGACGCGTCGTGAATGCTCTCGATTACTTCCCACACCCTAGCACAGGTTGCATCACTTGTGCAGTGCGCTTGCACCCTTGGCTCCTTATCTCATACCCACCTCTCAAAATATGAGGCACTTCAATGTCGTCGTCCTAGGAGGTATGTTATTTGTTCATTATGTTATTTGTTCATTTGTGACCACCGTATTGTTTCATATATCATAGCTGGAGGAGTAGGGAAATCTGCGTTGACGGTGCGATTTGTTCAAGATGTTTTCGTGGAGAACTATGACCCCACAATCGAAGGTGCGTCCTGAGTGATAGTCTATTTCAATGTGACGTGAGGGGCTTACTGCATCGTTTTTGCAGAAGCTTATCGGCGTATCCTCGATATTGATGGCGTAAAGACTTCGGTGAGATTCGGATCGCGTGTGTTCCTACTACCCCCAACACCTTTTTGCTAATGTTGTTTCTAACCATCTGTTTCCTTCCAGCTAGAAGTATTGGATACTGCTGGTGCTGAGCAATTTACTGCTATGAAAGAGTTTTACATCAAAGTAAATATTGATGATCTTGGGATGTATGGTATCGAACTCACACCAGTTCCCTATAGTCCGGCCAGGGATTCGTGTTAGTCTTCAGGTAAGATCACAATAAATGGGTTTATTTAGTTTTGACCTACTGATGTCACTGCAGCCTCACACAAGAAGCAAGTCTTAAGGAGCTGAACAATCTTCGACAGCAGATACACCGAGTGAAGGGAATGGATAGCGTAAGTGCCATTGATTATTACCGAATACAGCGACTACCATTATACGCAGGATGTTCCTATCGTTGTTGTTGGGACAAAGCTCGACCTCGTCACGGAACGAGAAGTAGCAAGAAGCACGATACAATGCCTGGTTGCGCTTTGGAAGATACCATTCTACGAAACATCAGCCAAGCGTGATTGGCACATTAACGATGTCTTCCAAGAACTTGTCAAGCAGATGCTTATGCGCTACCCAGACGAACCACCCATAAAGAAGGCTTCACGCCGGTTACGCCGCCACAAACCCTGCATCGTGATGTAATGGATGCAGAATATCTGTGACGCTACTCACAATGTCTTGATTTATTACGCCTATCGAAGTCGCATCAGGTCCGAACTTCGGCTATGATCACCCTCATGCACGTTATTTTATATATATACCCCACACAGACCAAACTGGTTGCATTATGTATTGCCCTAATATTTGGGATCATGTGTACTTAGTTATGTTAGAATTCGAGTATCTGAGAAGTATATCACGTAAGCATGTTGTGGTTTATTTACTCCAAATCGAACGCATTTTTTCCGGTGGGCTCTTTGTTCCTTGCTCTTTAACCACCACGCTTTCGGATCCCCGCAACATCCTTGTTTCTAATTCTCCAGTTCACGCTATAGACAACATTATGGTAAAACTTCCTGCTGGAGAAACCATGCATTTTACTAATGTCCTCGTCCAGAGTCACGGTAATTATGGTGGCGGTTATGGTGGAGGTGGCGGCTACGGCGGTGGAGGCGGATGGGGCGGTGGTGGTGGTTATGAAGACAAAATGGGAGGCTTAGGAGGTGGCCTTAAAATGATCGATTGGGCGTCGCAAAAGCTCGAGCGTTTTGAGAAGAATTTCTACGTCGAGGACAAGCGTGTTTCAGGCATGACTGAAAGAGAGGTGGAAGACTTCCGGAAAACCAAAGAAATCAAGGTACGTGAGAATTTGTGGAAAGCCAACAATCGCTGATGATTTCCTGAAGGTTCAAGGACGAACTGTTCCCAGACCTGTCACATCTTTTGACGAGGCAGGGTTTCCTGAATATATCTTGGCGTCGATTCGTGCACAAGGCTTTGCCGCGCCAACTCCCATTCAGTGTCAAGCATGGCCTATGGCACTGAGCGGCAGAGATGTGGTTGCGATTGCTCAAACAGGGAGTGGGAAAACCATTTCTTTCGCACTGCCTGCCATGCTTCACATCAATGCGTACGTGTGCATCTCACCTTCTGATGATTTATTCACTAGGAATTAGTCAACCTCTACTTGCGCCAGGCGATGGTCCGATCGCACTTGTCCTTGCGCCCACCCGTGAGCTTGCTGTACAAATTCAGCAGGAGTGCACGAAGTTTGGGTATGTTTGTCAACTCATCACGTTGACTTTTGCTGATGTATATAGGTCGAGCTCTCGTATCCGTAACACTGCCATTTACGGTGGCGCTCCCAAGGGTCCTCAAATTCGTGACCTGCAACGTGGTGTTGAGGTTGTGATCGCCACTCCCGGACGACTCATCGATATGCTGGAGACATCAAAGACCAATCTTCGTCGTGTCACATATTTAGTCATGGATGAGGCCGATCGCATGTTGGACATGGGTTTCGAGCCCCAGATACGCAAGATTGTATCTCAGATTCGCCCTGATCGTCAGACACTGATGTTTAGTGCCACATGGCCGAAGGATGTGCAGAAACTCGCAAATGTGAGCATTCAATATTCTATGATTGCATGATTAAGCTCACTATTTGCAGGACTTCTTGAAAGACATGATTCAGGTTAACATCGGCTCTATGGAGCTCACCGCCAACCACAACATCCAGCAAATTGTCGAAGTCTGCAGCGACTTCGAGAAGCGTGCCAAGCTGATTAGACATCTTGATCAAATCAGCTCTGAGAACGCTAAGGTACTCATATTTGTCGGGACGAAACGCGTTGCGGACGACATCACCAAATACCTTCGTCAAGATGGCTGGCCAGCTCTTGCCATCCATGGTGACAAAGAACAGTAGGTTTTTATCTGCTACTCATTCGATCTCTACTAAGCGCTTCTACAGGCGGGAACGTGATTGGGTTCTCGGGGAATTCAAGGCGGGTCGCTCACCCATATTGATCGCCACGGACGTTGCGTCCCGTGGTTTAGGTACGTGTGCCATTTCTTGCAAGCGCCCCATCAGGGACTCCTACAAATGGGAGGGCTTTTCGAGCACTCAGGTTAAAGTAGCAATGACCCGACTTCATCTGGGTTGTATTTGCTCGTGACTCTGGTGTTCACTAACGCGTGTAACAAGACGGGATGAGTCATGTTTACACTGCTCTCCCTCCGTGCTTACAGCCAGGCTTGAGGGATGAATTTCTTCTCGAGCGAGACGTGCTATAGCAGAACCGCGTGATCACGAGAGGATTCCAAGTCGTCAAGGTTCCATCCGCCAAAGCATCCTGTGTCCTCCTGCCAGTGAGGGCCAAAGGGATTCAAAGTGCTATGGTTCTGGATATGGAACCCTCGTCACGGACTTCCTGGCTATATCTCCTCTCGATATGTCCGCTGCTTCGCGCTTGGTACCTGTCTTCCTGGACCGCGATGCCCTTTGTTCATGCTATACGTCCCCCGATCTTGTGACGTGCCATGAATGATGTTTGTATGAAGTTGTCCGATCTTTGTTCCTTGTCATGTTGGACGCGCTTGTGTCTCTTTGTTGTTGTCATGTTATTGATTTTGCAATGTGCTACATGTTGTCTGTTCATATGTTATTCTATTGTTCTGTACGTGACGCGGTTGCATTGCATTGCTGGCATCACAGATGTCAAGGATGTCGGATATGTGATTGTGAGTGTCGTAGTGGTCTATTGCTACTAATCAGCTACTGACTTCCTTCTAGAACTACGACTTCCCTAACAACTGCGAAGATTATATCCATCGTATTGGCCGTACGGGAGTAAGTTGCTCTCACTAAGCCCATTAATTCTTGGTTCTAACTCTACTTAGCGTGCCGGCATGAAAGGTACCTCATACACGTACTTCACCACCGATAACTCGAAGTCTGCTCGCGAGTTGATATCCATCTTACGTGAGGCGAAAGCCGATGTTCCACAACAACTAGAGGAAATGGCCATGTACAGCGGAGGAGGGGGAGGTCGCAGTAAGTCTCCAGCACGTCCATGTGTTTCATGTGTTGACCTTGGCCATTCAGGTCGTTATGGCGGCGGAGGTCGTGGCCGTGGAGGCGGTGGAGGCGGAAGATACGGTGGCGGCGGTGGGGGAGGTGGTGGTCACGGCGAATATGGTGGTGCCAGAGATCGGTGGTAGGCTTGACGACTTCTTGGTCCGGACGCATAGATATCTCCTTTTAATCATGATTCTCTTGTCATTTCTTCGTCAAACACATTGAAATCAAGTAGACGGGTATTCTCTTGGTCACTTGACCGGATATCATGGTCTCATTTAAGAACTCAAACTTGACGGGGCACCGCTTGTTGATCAGTTTTATGATGCTCGAACAAAGGGCTGGGAGGGAATGTAAATTGACTGATCACCGGTCAGCTTGAGTCATTAGGAATCATGGTGCACGCGAGTAGTGGCTTGACTTGTAGTTGTTACGTAATTTTATAATCAAGAATAGCTTGTTCGAGTCAATCTGATCACAGGTGGATGTTTATAGCAAGGCATCGATACCTAGTCACTCAGAAAGTCAGAGGTCTTTCTTTTCATTTACTACACCGATCACATTCTATTCGATATTTAGCAATGGCAACGACTCCGAACGATCCTGGCGTGGTCACCCCCGAGTCTGACGGTCCTTCGAAAAGTGCAGGTGAGCAGACCCTTGTTACTCTAGTAGTTCGACGTGATCTAATCGGCTGTCGAATATAGCGAAAAAGGAGGCCAAGAGGCTAGAGAAAGAGGCGAAGCTCGCTGCTAAACATCTCAAGCAAGCCACTAACACACCTGCTGGCGAAAAGAAGGCAAAGGCGGACAAAGAGAAGAAGGAGCAGGAACCTGCATTTGTAAACACCACTCCTAAGGGCGAGAAAAAAGGTGTGTTTTCTTCACATTCTTTTTTCTTTCTTTCTTTCTTGACGCTGTATAGATATGTCTCAACCGATGGCAAGTGGGTATAATCCTATCGCAGTCGAGTCTGCTTGGTACGATTGGTGGGAGGCCCAAGGCTTCTTCAAGCCTCAGACCACGGAGAATGGCGAGACTAAACCAGAGGGCGTCTTTGTGATTCCGATGCCTCCCCCGAACGTCACCGGAAGCCTCCATATCGGTCACGCACTGACTATTGCTATTCAGGATTGCTTAATACGCTGGTAAATATAAATCCGTATCTGATATGATCGTAGTGCTCACAGTGACGACAGGAATCGGATGCTCGGAAAGACTACCCTCTTTGTCCCAGGTTTTGATCATGCTGGAATCTCGACACAATCTGTTGTTGAAAAACGGTTATACAAAGCGGAAGGCAAGACCCGACACGATCTCGGTCGAGAGGTGTTTTTAGGCAAGGTGATGGAGTGGAAAAATGAGTACGTAGTTACTTTCTGAACGTAACATTCTCTCACATGGTATTAGCTACCAAGCACGCATCACCGATCAATTAAGGAGACTTGGAGGAAGTTGTGACTGGGACCGTGTCGCCTTCACCATGAGTCCTGTGGGTGTAATTTTAAGCATCTCTTACATATCTAATCGACTGTTATATCAGTCGCTATCAACAGCTGTTACTGAGACGTTCTGTCGGCTCCACGAGGATGGCATCATCTACCGCGCCAATCGACTTGTTAATTGGTGCGTTCAGTTGAATACTACCCTCTCGAACCTTGAGGTGAGTCGAAGAATTCATCGGTTGGCAACTGACATAAGTTGTGTTGCATAGGTGGACCAAAAACAACTTCTTGGCCGTACCTTACTTAATGTCCCAGGCTACGACGCAAAGGAAAAATTCGAATTTGGTGTCATCACCTCATTCGCATATCAAATTGAAGGCTCAGGTATGTTCTAATTGATCTTCATGCCATTGTTTTCTTATTCTTGTTTTCATCAATAGATGAGCGGATTGTCGTTGCTACGACCCGCCCGGAAACAATGCTTGGTGATACAGCTATTGCAGTACATCAAGATGATGATCGATACAAGGTAACATTTATGATTGATAAAAATCACAATCGGCATTGAGATACGCTTGTAGCACCTTCATGGCAAGTTTGCTATTCATCCCTTCTTGAACAGGCGTCTTCCTATTATCGTCGACGAACAAGTAGATAAGGAGTTTGGAACTGGTGCAGTGAAGATCACGCCAGCTCATGATCCGAACGATTATGAGGTTGGTGTCCGTCACGGGCTTGATTTCATCAACATTTTGAACGATGATGGAACGTTCAATGAAAATGCTGGAGAGCAATTCAAGGTGCGTCTGCGTGTGAAAGCTACACCTTGATCTGAGCGACATGTATCATTCAGGGGATGAAACGCTTCCACGCTCGGCGTGAGGTTATAAAGAAGCTCACAGACTTGGGCCTATTCGTCGAGACCAAGGATAATTCCATGCAGATTCCCATTTGCAGGTACGCGCCCGTGCCGATTCCAAGTCGATGGGCGACTGAAGTTGACGTGTTCTTGCAGTAAATCAGGCGACATTATTGAGCCTGTCTTGAAGCCTCAGTGGTGGGTGAATTGCCAACCTCTTGCTGCAGAAGCAATCAAGGTCAGTCTTACTATATCTATATCTCATTCGACTTTCTTCCAACGATCATTTTAGCGTACGAGGGCAGGCGAACTTTCGATTGGCCCCAAGCAGAGTGAAGCAGACTGGTATCGCTGGCTTGAAAACATACAGGACTGGTGTATCTCACGGCAATTATGGTGGGGTCACCGATGCCCAGCCTATTTCGTTCGAATTGAGGGAGAAGATTTCGACGTTTGTATTTTGACGATCAGTCCAACATTTGCGCACTTACTCTTGAATGCAGAGAAACGATGGAAAGAACTGGGTTGTGGGTCGGACTGTGGAAGAAGCAACCGAACGAGCGAAAATCCTTGCAAATGGGAAGAATTTTACACTCGAGCAAGATGAAGATGTCCTCGATACTTGGTTCTCCTCTGGACTGTGGCCCTTCTCAATCCTGGGATGGCCAGAAAAGGCATGGTGTTTCATACATAGCAAACTAACTGGCTTTAATCGACCACCAACAGACTGTCGACTTCTCTCAGTATTACCCTGCCAGCATCCTTGAAACAGGCTGGGACATCCTTTTCTTCTGGGTGGCGCGTATGGTTCTCATGGGCATCTATCTTACCGGTCAGATGCCATTTTCTGAAGTACTCTGCCACGCGATGATTCGCGATGCTCATGGACGTAAAATGAGCAAGTCGCTCGGTAACGTCATTGACCCGATCGACGTCATCCACGGACTGCCACTTGAGCAACTCCACCAGAAATTGTATGAAGGTAATCTTGATGAGAAGGAGATTCTCAAGGCGATCGCTGGTCAGAAGAAGGATTTCCCGAAGGGCATTCCGGAATGTGGTACGGATGGGTTGAGGTTCGCTCTCTGCGCATACTCAGGCGGCGGTAAGGTAATCATCACGACGCGAACCATACATAACTGAGTTTGCGTTTAGGCAGGGATATCAACTTGGAAATCCTGCGAGTAGAGGGATACCGCAAGTTCTGCAACAAGATCTTCAATGCCACGAAGTTTGCAATGCTCAAACTTGACGACAGTTTTTCGCCAGAGACAACTGCGAAGGTATGCTACTTGCATGATGAGTTCTTGGGTTTACATTGCTTCTCAAGCCAACCGGAAATGAAAGTCTTGTGGAACGCTGGATCCTACACAAGCTCAACGTAGCCGCGACACAGATCAACACGCAGCTCCAAGAACGCAATTTCATGGCTGCGACTACGTCAGCCCATAATTTCTGGTTATACGAACTCTGCGACGTCTATATTGTGGGGTCGCTTTGAATTTGAATGTGTATCGATCTCACACTTTTGTTCACAGGAGGCAATGAAACCTTTGACCGACGCATCAGTCCCCCTCCAGACTCGTACGTCAGCGCAGCAAACATTGTATACTTGCCTGGATCAAGGTCTGCGCCTACTTCATCCATTTATGCCCTTTGTTACGGAGGAGCTATGGCAGCGACTGCCAAGGCGTCCGACAGACCCCACCCCCTCCATCATGATAGCGTCTTACCCCGTCAATGTGGGTTATTATCTGCCATTCAAAGTTACTTTTACTGAATTGAAACAGGATCCTGACTTCATAAGTTCCGGAGAGGAAAAAGATTTTGATTTAGTGATGTCTGCCGTGCGCGCAGCTAGGTCGCTTGCTGCATCTTACAACCTCCAGTCCAATATCCAATGTGAGTTGTTATACTTTAATTTCGGTTAGTACTGACATGTTGCCAGTATTCGTTCATTCCCAGACAGGCAAGGAGATCGATTTGTTCCGCTCGCAGATGCAAGCTATGATCACTTTGATCAAGGGATGCAGTGCTGTGAACGTCATCGAGGACGTGAAAGCCCTTCCCGCGGGGTGCGGTTCAGCCGTCATAAACTCCACCACAACAGTCCACGTGTTGGTCAAGGTATGTGTGTAATAGTCCCGTGTTGTGAATATGATCCTAACTCGTTTTACTATTAGGGACTTGTTGACCTTGACGCGGAGATAGCCAAGTGTGACAAGAAACTCGTGCTTGCGCGCCTCAATCTGGAAAAGATCATGAAGATTATTTCACAACCAGATTACGCTGAGACCATGCCGTCTGTCGTGCAAATAACAAATGACGAGAAGGTGGCGTTGCTCTCTTTTGACCGCCAAATCTAGAGCGTTGCTAACTTCTTATTCTTGACCACGACAGAAAAAAACATGCGAGATGGAATGTGCAACTCTCGAGCAATCCCGAGAGATGTTCGCAAAGCTGGCCAACTCTTAGAATACATGTTAGTGGGGCAGTAGCAATCTAGGCACAACAATAGCATAAAGAACTGTAATCCTATTATTGAGCACATTGACAGGACAAATGCAGTGTCTCTGAAAACCTCTCAGTAATGGGGGCTCCCAAAAACCGTCCCAGAGATTGGCCAATTTATTCATCGTCAGTGAAAATTCCTTTCGCCCTCTCGTTTCTTGGAGCCCACTCCGCGCAATTTCATTTGCCAGCGTCATATCTTTATTCTGTTGCATTCTCCTAGTATCGACCACACATTTTCCGCATCGAGAGTCAGCCAATGTTTGCAGAGAAGGTCAAGAGAAGTACAGACCGTAATAAAGTACAGTGGTCTAGCCCACTTTCCATAGAAGACAGAATATTCAGTGATACAATAGTATGTATGCTGTTCACCGCAATCTTTCGTACATCTTGAAGTCCGGTGACTTCCAAGGGAAAGGATCGCCATCGGTGGCATCTTCCCTGTATCTCGTGTCAGCGTCACACTCGGCAGATAGGTCCGAGGTGCATACTCCTGAGGACCAAGGACGCGGAGCCCTCGTATGTGGGTATCCTTTCCGCTCATATGGTTCTGCACCACGATAACTTGTAGCACGTACGCGTGTACAGGTTTACTAGAGGAGGATTAACGAGGATCAACAGCATTGGAAAAACAATTCACAACGAGTTCCCATCTTCGTCAGGTTCTGAGGAAACATCAAACGTTATCCAGCCGTCCGGTTTCTCCAAAGTAGCAACCCGTACATCTTGTAGGTCGCTGGGACCAGTTCCTGCACGGATAGCAAGAGTCGATGGGGTGTACGAGTCATCCTGTGGCCAACTAAGGTAGATACTGATTTTCTGAGTTGACTTCAGTCAGTACTAGTAGTATATGCGAAATCGTCCCCGTACCTGAATTGCCACTTTGCGAGGGAACTCTACCGTGATAAAATGAGGCTGGGGGCCATCAGAACTGGACAACACCTCCTCAGTGGGGCCGAGCACGTCAGAAAGAGATCATGCTCACTGCCAGAACGTATCGGGATCCCCGTCTCTAAGGCACTCTGCACCAAACCCAAATTTGTATGAAGAAACTGACCACTTGGCAAGGTGTCCAATATCTGGCCATGGTAGTACGGGGGGCGTGCGAGCTGCAGGAAGCTAGATGAGCATTACTAACTCACAGGCTGGTTTGAACACGATCAAAGAACCAGAGCGAACCTGAGTGCATGAGAGGGAGGCCATCCTTTGGGATTGGTGGACCATTTTGTACAACTGCTGTTACTGTAGACGGTCCTGCAGTTGTGGTTGTGGTAATGTTAGTAGTGGCCATTGTCGACGTCCAGCGCTAAAGTGTATGTAGTGAGTCTAGGGTGACTTCAATAATTACTTAAGTTCAGATATTCAAGTTGATGTATTCCCCAATATTTGACATGCTATAATTTAACGTTTAACGACTAACATGTCACACGACATATGCAAGATACCGCCCTCTCATCTCATGCCAGCTAATAGATCCTAGAGTTCGAGTATGTCCGCAAACTCTAGGATTTATTACTTGACTAAACTACTATACACCTCGAAATGACAAGGTGACTCGGATGAACAAGTCCGCCATCCTTCACATTTTCAACTTATCTCCACAGATGGAACCAACTTTTCCTCTTCACAAGAATAACTACTCACAGAGATGAGTTCTTTTCTTTTCTGTCTTGTTCTGACCTTATCACTGCAGAAAACCCGGAGCCTCGACTCATTAGCGCATCAAACATGTAAATCGATTCCCCGTCCTTTACATTCTCAAGTTTTCATCGCAGACTCGGCTTTCACTACCCCATGGATATTCCAACCTGACGGTGATCGTGATGCACACGTACACGTGCCCCTGCTTACCAGAAACATGAAGTCTTTTGGCGCAAGCGGTATGAACGAACGGGGTCGGGGATTGAGACTTAGTGGTAGGAGATGGTTTCATTCGCCTTGCAGCCGGCATCATGGATTCGCATGGGAGGTACGGGCATGAGCTCTTGGGACTCGGTGACGTCGATGAAGGCGTGTTTCCGCGCCAACAATCGTCTCATTTATGTACAGGACTTCAGGAAATCACGTTTGTAGCTGCGGGATGTGCGTTTTGACCTTTGTTCTGCATCGTTCTCATGATAAAACATCTTACCTGAACGTACGCCATCTGGAGAAGGAGCAGGAGAATCTTGATCATTCTCGTGCGTAGATTTGTCGTACGCTTAAATCTCGGGCGTCCCCCTTGAACTGATATTCATTTCACAGGCTAATTTGATTCCAGTCTTTATATCATCACTGTCTATGACAATCGTAACGGTGCCAGCGCTAGCCCCCGAGTCGCTTATTCTTGGCATATCTTGTGCTATTTTGTGTCTATCAAATTAAACGTTAACTAGTCTTTCTGTCGATGCATAATATTTTTCGACTCGTAGACGTCCATGACCTGTCTTAGCCAAGCGATAAGCGTGACAGGACAGAAATCTGTGGCAGGTCCGAAACCTGATCAACAACCTTTTTCCTTTGACCAAGCCTTGAATATTCACTCATGGATGGATCCTTCAAGGGCCATAGACTGGCTTGGATGGTGCGATTCGAAACCTGCCGATAAATGATTTCCTCCCTTATCACACCTTGACATTCACTTACGAACAGTTCTTCGAAGGTTCATCTCCACTTGGCAAGCGTCCTGGCCTTACACCAGCAGAATCGAAATCTGTATCTCTCGGACTTCGCAGATTTGAAACCTGCCGACGACAAGGTGTTTTCTATGAAAACACGCCTTGACATTCAGTCATGGATGGTTTTCTCGAGGGCCCACCTTAACTGGTCTTGCCAAGTGGTTACCACAACAGATTCAAAATCTGTTTCTCTTGGACTGTGTAGGTTCGAAACCTGTCGAACGACAGTAAACTTTTGTTTTCTATCAGAACACACTTTCACATTCACTAATGGATGCTTTCCTCGAAAGTCCACCCACCTAGTCCTAGTCAGACGGTTACCACAACAGAATCAAAATCTGTTTCTCTTGGTCTGCGCCGGTAGATATTTTTCTATCAAAACACACTTTCACTTTCACTCATTGATGCTTTCCTCGAATGTTCATCTATCTAGTCCTAGTCAGATGGTTACCACAACAGAATCAAAATCTGTTTCTCTTGGTGCACAGGTTCGAAACCTGCCGCCGATAACGTTTTTTCTATCAGAACACGCTTTCACATTCACTCGTTGATGCTTTCCTCGAGGGTTCGCCTATCTAGTCCTAGTCAGACGGTCACCACAACAGAATCAAAATCTGTTTCTCTTGGTCTGCGCCGGTTCGAAACCTGCCGCCGGTAAAGACTTTTCTATCAGTACGCACTTTGGCATTCACTCATTGATGCTTTCCTCGAAGGTCCATCTATCCAGCCCTAGTCAGATGGTTACCACAACAGAATCAAAATCTGTTTCTCTTGTTCTGCGCAGGTTCGAAACCTGCCGCCGATAACGTTTTTTCTATCGGAACACACTTTCACATTCACTCATGGATGCTTCCTCAAAGGTCCATCTAACTGGTATTAGCCAAGTGGCTACCATGACAGAGTCAAAATCTGTTTCTCTTGGAGTTGGTTCGAAACCTGCTGGCAACATTTTTGCGGCGTACAAAATCCTCGGACATTGCGCCCAAACCTCCTTTTTATGTGATAGTTTGTCCATGAAAAGAAATTCACCTTCACGCCCCGCAAGGGTCGTCTGAGAGATATATCCCCGAGGTGCAATGGAAAAAATGACGCTATCAAACCACCGAGTTACAGTTCCCTCCCCACCACCTCTTAATCCTTTCCCCTCCCCACTCCTGATACTCTTCTGCTGTCACACCCACTTGATGGAACTCATCCGTATTTGCAAAAGATGCCATACCCTTCCAAGCATCAAGCGATGGGTCTGCTGCACGCACGATATCACCCAAGTGCATCTCGGGCGGCAAAATCGGACGGAGCGTCCCACGAAGTCTTTCTGGAAGACCAGTAAATTGCGATGGACCGCCGGTAATGAATACATTCTGTGTTTTGCATGAGTTGGACTAGAAGGTCTGAGAAACACAAAGCAGACCTTCACAAGCCTGGCCTTTTCGGCTTCTGAGAACCTTGCCAGGATACTTTGAAGAACTTCACCGAGGCCAGCGGAGTCAACGCCAGCCATTCCTGGTGAGAAATATGTTTCGCACACGCGCCATCGTTCCGTGTTCAGATGTATCCGTGCGCTTCCTGTTGATGGTTCCTGTAAGCATTCATTCGTTGAAGGGATAGAGTCAATACAACCTTCGATGTCTCCCTCTTCATACTGTGGTCTGAAGGCAGAAATAAGTGCAGACCGCTGAGATGTTATGGATGCATGCGTGTGCTGGGCCGTGAACGTCGGGTCATGCATGAGGAGCTTGCTCTCGATAATCCGAAGTTGATTGAATTCCTCCTCTTCATCTGAAGATACAGCCGCAGCATTCTGTTTTATGATGTCAGATTGAATGATTTACTTAGAAAGCAAGTACGACGTACGAGTTTGCGATAAATCTGCCAATCCTCGTCATCCGCTCCGAACATATCCTCTGAAGTGTAAGTGTTAAGAACAATAAATTGGTTAGAAGGATTGTGAAACTTGCCTGCACCCGCTTTCCTTTTCTTCTTCGAAACGCGTTCGTCGGCTGCCAAAGAAGCAATGTTCTTCATCCTAGCTTGTGCGGCTGCACTTTTACGATCAGACAACGCAGCCTTCCGACGTCCCCGTTCCTTTATCTTGTTCATGATAGCCTATTGCTCAGAAAGGTCAGCAAGAGCATCTAAGCAGGCAGACGGCGAGTACCATACCTCTTGCTCACGGCGCAGTCTAGCTGCCCAATCGTCAAAGTTATTCTCCCGCTCTTCCTCCTCTCGTCTCTCCTCGGCTTCCTTCTCCTCTCGTTCTTTCTCCTTCTCTCGTCTTGCACGCGCCCTTGCGTCGAAACCAGCTTTCATAAGTTTCTGCTTCTTCTTTTCTTTTATCCCTTCTTCGTCGAGCTGTGGAACGGGAAGTTCAACATTGCATCGCTTTGAATCAACGCGCGAGACTTACATCCGCATCCGGAACATCGATGAGAGGGAACGAAGGTTCCTCCTACAGTCACGAGTCAAAAGGGAGTAATAAGCGATGATGCACGATGCTTACAATGACATCGTCTTGCCCATCAGGATCCTTCTTACGTGCGCGTTTAACATCGACCTCGAGTTTCTTGATGGTTTCATCGAGGGCAGCTTCGTCATCAAAGCCCTCGACTTGAAGGTTGTGCTGTAGGGAAATTAAGCAGCATGCCTGGTGAGATGCCATGTTCATCGCACCGTCCACTCGCGTTTGTTTTCGCTCTTGCCTTCCTTCAAATTCATAAGGTACTGTAGATCGTTCTCCTTCTTCGCCAACTAAAAATTCATCAGCTTAGTCGAACACTTAATGTTTGTCGCGAGAACAAAGGACACACCTTCTCCATCCGGCTCTTCGCAGCCAACTCCTGTAGTTTCTTTCCTTGTTCTTTTCGTTTCTCTGCTATCCTCGTGAGCTCCTCTTCGGTCTTTTCTTCGACGACAGGTATTGCAAATGGGAACTGGATGATGCGTTCTGCTGCGCGCATGTTTGCGGGGATTTTGAGGGAACGGAGGACAGCAGGGTAGTCAGTGGCGAAGGAGCAGAAATTGTGCAGCATCCACTGCGGGAGGTTAATGACTGAGGAACTACTTAGGACAGCATATGGACGTACGCTTGCTTGTGCAGAGGTCACACGCGTCGGGAAGCTAGAATATTTCAGCTGGATGAGCTTCAGGAGATACTCCGTTGATTGCTGTGTACCCCATGGTATTCTGCCAAGCACGATCAACACACGATTCCCTCAGCTCAAGGATACCGACCGTTTTGCATGACTGAGCACGCCTTTCCCGTTGAGAATGGGGATAACAGATGTGGATGCCGTGTTGAATGAAACAACAAGGCCGTCAGCACCGAATGTGCTGCCGGATGTAGGCTTGTTGTTATGATAAAACGACATCACAGAGTCGACGCAGTAAGTGAGTGAAGGGACCGAATATTGCTCAAACATGAGCTCGGAAGTTACTATGCATTTCGTTCAATGAGGCAGACAACATGAGGAGCTCAAGTACGTACATGCTCTCGAATGTAATGGCGAACAGAGCCTTTCTGTCATGAGCACCGGGTGTTCGATGCCCTCTGCGTCGATTCCCAGCCTCACAAACGCGTAGTCCAACGCATTTTCCTACCTCACCCATCCTCAGCGCCACCCACACAGATTAGCGATGTAGGAAACCCACCATTGCATCGAAATTCAACAACACATCACCTTCCCAAGGTGTCTTGCCCTGGCTCTTCGCACCACTCTCCGTGTCAATTGCGTCACCAAACAGTAACAGCGACTGGTTGAACTTGCGCTCCTTGTACTTGGCGATGACATTAGAAGAAGAGTGGGGAGAGGCAGACGTGCTGAAGCCAAAACGCAAGTTTGAGGAACCATTGTCTATGATGAGGGGGACGGGTTGGGACCGAAAAAGATCATAAGAGTCGGGAGGTGTAATGCTCGGAAGACTGGATGTCGGGACATAGAATATGTTACTTGTTTCAGCTTCATCCATCGAAGGCAAGGTGCAGTCTACAGTTGGTACCAAATACACAGCAGATGAGGCTCGAAAGCGTAAATTGAACAATTACAACCAAGTTACAAAGTGCCGCGCCAAGCCTATTGGCGCTGGCGTGTTTAGGGCTTGGTCAGGATCATCATCACTGGGACTCTTGCAAATTTGTTTGGCCTGCAATACAACTCGATTTCTAGTTCGCCTCGGCATTCATGCCCTCTAGGTTCTAGATACTCATCGCAGCCAGGCTCGTGTCCTGCAGGCTGCAATGAGGGTCATCAGACATGAGTCCATCATTCAGAGCTCGAGCCGTTTTCACAACTAATTCAACCTCAAAAGCATGCAGCATCACAGCTTAAACTATGGTCCTTTAATTCCACGTTCGTAGCACGTCGTCTCTCGGGATAATCATCGGCGATCGCTCAATGCTCAAAGGTAATGACCCAACTAGAGTTGTGCCGTTCCATCATACGGTTTGGGTCGCATTTTATCGTCTATCATCCGTCAGCGAGTCCCTGGTGATTCCCCAGATGTAACTGGCTCTTCGCACTAATCTCCGCGTCGATTCCGTCACCAAACAACAACAGCGACTGGTTCAACAACTTGCGTTCATTGTACTTGGCGATGACATTGGGAGAGGAATGGGGGGACAGAGGTGCTGAAGTCAACCCGCAGGTTTGAGGAGCCATTGTGGGGGACCCGCTGGGATCGAAAGGGATTGTAGTAGTCGGGGGTGTGATGCCCGGTGATAGAGTGTCAACTTCAGCTATGAATGTTACCGACGGTCATCGTTCCAAGCTGCATTTCAAAGTTACCGATTACACTGCGGATGATCGATCAAGGCGCTCGAAAGCGTGAGACTGAACGATCACTTACTAGTTGCATGGTACTGTTGGCGCCAGTCTAGGACCAAGTGATGCAAATTGTTCAGCTTGCAATGTAACCCTTCGGGTTCTAGTTAACCTCCATTGTGCTAACAACTGTTTAGGCAATATTTGAATAATAATCACAGGACCGAAATGATAAGAATAAACTGCCAGTGATTTCGCTGATGGTGGCACAGCAGGTGTCTGAGTCTGGTGTTCATTGTAGCTGAAAGGATCCCAGATGAGAAATCTGAATATGAAGTTGAGACTCATTGACATCACTCAGAGTAATTACTAGGATGCTTGCTATCACTTACCAAATTTTTTTGTCATCTGTAAACTTAGAGATTGTCTCACAAGTCTCTTCACAACTGGATGGAGTCACTATTCCCCAATGATCCAAGTCAATGCCCTTGATGAATACATGTTGGACTTGTGTTATCCTGTGTAAAACTATAAGTCAAGGTGAGCACTGATGTGTCCTTCCTTGCACGTTGTTGACATGAAGAACACCCCAAAACCATTTCTGTTTTAGACATCCTTCATGTCACTTATGTGGGAGAAAGGACATTTGAGATGTTGGTGTCAATTACGTGGGAGGAAGGACATTTTAATGTTGGTGTCAATTACTTTGTGTCAACAACGTGCAAGGAAGGCCAGAGGAAGCATGGTGGGAAGCTGATGGCAGAGTTCTGTTCTTATTACGTGTCAGCCCTGGATAGGAATACCAATTACAGTATTTCTCAATTACGTGTGAGCAAGGGCACAAGGTAACTTGAAGTAGAAATTCAGTTTCATTTCTACTACATAATATGTAATATTTACATGATTCAAGCATGGCCTCGAACAGATTCCTTGTATTTTGCTTCTTTTTGATCACTGATTCACCATCTGAGTCCTAATTCTTGGAGCTAAAATTCTGAGCCGCAGACTTGGAGACGTAAGCGCTATTCGGTTTGTTATTTCAACTTATACTCTCCGCTACTCCGCTAGTCACCGCGCCTCTAATTGCTCGTCAGGCTCTACATCACAACGCTAGTACTTGGCCTATTAATTTTTAATAAGAGAAGTTCTTGGTTACGACTGCTTCGCTACCACTGCTTATCAACCGAACTAGATCCAGTCAATTGAAATGTTTCCCCGAGATCGATCAGGCAGTGCCTACCACCTCCACCCTCTCCTCCACCGCCCATTCAAGTTGCACTTACCTAAACTTTAGTTCGCCTTCAGGCCATGTGACAACCATTGCATCTTCTTCTGTTGCCGATCTGCTGTTTGGGATAATGAGTTACCGAATTTATTTGATTAACCATGTAGTAAGTGCTGCCCGGCCTGCCCCTTAGTTTGCCAATGGTGAGGCCTGAGGCCTAGGCATGTGTTCTACTTGCCTAAATCTTCATATCTATGACACTGCCTGCTGTCCGGATGGGCATATAAAAGCAATAGCTTACAGACCCTCACCCGACCACTAGTCTTCCCCCGACCACCACCAATATGCCTACATATGTCTCGAATCATGGCTCCTGGCATAGTAACCCAGTGACTCCTCATCGCAATACCCCGCACTACGATCCTCAGGTGTCATGGGACACGTTACCGATGTATGTCCTTCGCGCCCTATGATTTGATTTTCTCATAATCACCCTTATACGCAGGTGGCCGGACGTCCGAGTCCACCATTTCAATTCCACCGTGTCTAACGAGCCGTGGCAGAACGACATCCCTCCTTCACTCTCAATTTATATACCTCCGCATCTGGCTGCGGTATATCGCTTTTCGCCGCCGCCGCACGGTGGAAATATACCCACTTACCGCCCATCACCTCATAATCATCCCCCGTCTCCCCTCCTACACTGCAGATGGCTACATGAAGACCAAATTTGCGGATTCCAAGGAACGCTGGAGGCGCTAAAAGCGCACTGTAAAGCGCACTTCAGTACCGGTCCTCCACACGCACAGATAGAATGTCGCTGGGACCGTTGTAATTATAAAAAGCGTTCCAACTCTAAAATACGTTCTATGCGCAGGGATTGTCTTTGGCGCCACACGTCTGAGGTCCATTTGGGAATGAAGAGGGTCACCTAGGCGAGCTCGCCCCTTCGTCCATCCTTGCTGTATCTATATCCTTGCTGTATCCTTGCTAGCTGTGTTGCTATGTCGATCCTTATCGATCGTTCGTCGTTGACTCTCATGTCATAGTTTTCTATGTTGACACCAAAAAATGACACAATCATTCTAGCCTCTTGAATATTATGGCATCAATAGTGAGGAGCCCGTCATTGAAAAAGCCGGCACGGCTTAGTTGAAAGTCTTGAACGAGGCTGTGACACGCCTGCGTGTCCAAAGTTCCCTGCAAGAACGGAATTGATTAGATCATCCTGCTAGGCGGATTAGTCGTCGCTCTCTCGAATAGAACGACTAAAATTACAACATATTATAATGAGAACAGGAAACGTGTTCACACCCTGATCCAATACCAACCAAGATCTTTTCTCTTCTTTCTCCTCTTCGTTCGGAATGCGATCGCCGCCGACCCTGCAGGCGAGCCTTGACATCTCCGTTTGTCACTAGCCCGGCGCCACTAGATCCTTTGAAAACACCTGGGAGTGTCCCTGCAGACGATGCTATGATGAGGTCGAGAGAATCAGCAACATCGAAGTCTGGGTAGACCGAACCCGTTATAGACCGTTTCCCCAAATCCTCGCGAGCTTAAGCGAATCAACACTAGCGCAACCGACAGCAGTGCGATCATAGTCGTTGGACCCAAAGCTAGCAAATATGTTGGGAACTGATAGATCCATCCAACCGTCTCGACCCGCACCGAGCCGGTAACTGGTATAAACATCTTGGCAGGTATTGCTTCGTAAGTATGATTGCAGGATTGTGCTATCATTGAATGTAGTCGCCGACAAGTCACGTCCGCGGTAAGACCTTGCTGATACACTGTATATATTGTCCCAGTCTCGTGTCCTTCTTGTTCTTGAGAACCGGAATAAATTCACGCAACGAAATTGGTGTCGATTGTGATGCTCAGTCCCGATCCGTTATACCGACCGTTGTTCGGAAGTATGCCACCTATGTCAAAGATAACATGAGATCTGATCACAACCAAGAAAAGGTGATTCCGCATCAGTGGATATATTATAGGATGCACCGTTGTGGTCGTTAAATTAAAGAGGTTGCCTGCTGCGGAAAGTCCAGCTGATCCTAATGCACTTTGCACCTTGGAGCTAGTGAAAAAAACGTCAACAGGTGTATGATTGCGTCAGCGAGGACCAGACTCACCGTCCCTACTGCCTGTGTGAGGGGGCGCCAATAAACCGTGTCGTAACATAGCACCCTAAATCAAACGATGACGGCCAGGAACTTCCACCCGAAGTTGATCATAGAACTGAAAGAAATTTCCCTACCAGAAGCTGGTTCTGAAACAAAGTTATATGAAGGCTCAAGTGAGCGGAGGCTGAAAAGCTATATGCAAATCGTTGTTGGCTGCGATGCAAGATTCAAAAGCGTTGTTGACGAAAAGAGTTAGCAGCTTAGCTCCATAGTTTGTCTGATCATCACACGATTTATCAATCGTGCACCGGCATTTTGGCGTCACTTCGGTGGTCTCATGTGACATCTGCAGAAGTCGAGACAGTACTACTGTCATGCGCGACCAAAGCAACCACGATTCAAGCAGGAGCAGGTTCGCATTGGATAGTACATGAAGGAGCGACCGTGTTCCTTCGTATAGTCTCAGGCTAGGGCTGTACTGGGGAGACCAGAGTGGACTGATTGCGCCGCACTGATAAAAGTGTCAAGTCAATCTGATTGCCAGTGCTCAGCGCCCAGCGCTCCCCGTTGATGGAGGATGCAAATGTGTTGCTATAGACTTGCCTGCAGAGTGGAATTCAAGACATATTTGAGGGTTTTAAACGCGTCAAAACGTTCAAATGTGTACAAAAAGAAAGCGCAGGGCTATATACAACGCCAGATCTGAGGGGACTCGTAGCCTCTGTCGTCGAAGGCAAGTTCAAGAAATTTCTTACGTAACTCCAAGCTTGCTTCAATCTGCTTTAGCCTTTTCAATCTGGTGCTTTCATGATCTTACGGACTTTCAGATCACAGTAATAGTACTACTTAGTGCTACTTATCACCGTCTTTCATCGCCGATCATCCTCTGAGTCTCTAAAAGCACCGTATGCCAATGGTCGACAGTGATCTTCCACGACTGTCGCATTCAGATGACTATCAAAGGTATGGTAGACAGATGATACTTGATGGCTTTGGCTTAGAAGGTGCGCCAAAATGTGGATCCATCCGCAACAACTTCATGATGCAAACCACTTAACAGGTCAGCTAAAACTACAGAACTCATCTGTCGTGGTCGTTGGAGCAGGGGGGCTTGGCTGTCCTGCATTACAATATCTCGCTGCAGCCGGCGTAGGTACGTAGGCCTGCCTTTCAAACAACCCGGAGGAACTCACGTTTGCTAGATAGGTCGCCTAGGCATAATTGACCATGACACGGTCGAATTGTCCAATCTCCAACGCCAGATCCTTCACACGGATAAATCGATCGGCAGCCCGAAAGCCGTATCTGCAGCCCAAGCCATCACTGCTTTGAACCCACGCGTCAATATTGACGTATGTCCCACGGCTCTCGATTCATCCAATGCGCTTTCTATTCTCGCCCCGTATGATGTGATCCTCGACTGCACAGACAATGCTCCCACACGCTACCTCCTTTCTGATAGCGCCGTCAGGCTTAAAAAGCCTCTCGTCAGCGGCGCTGCTCAGAAATTCGATGGCCAGCTTTGCATATATAATCTGGGGGATGACGGCCCCTGCTATCGCTGCATATTTCCGAAGCCACCTGCGCCAGAAATGGCAGGATCGTGCGAGGAGACAGGTATACTAGGCGCTGTGACCGGGATCATTGGAAATCTGCAGGCACTTGAAGCGATAAAGCTCATCACTGGTCTCCACGGTGAGTCGTACCAGTTGTTGCAGGGCTTATAGTTTCTGAAAGATCAACAAGATGGCAAAGCTTCTCTACTACTTTTCAGCGCTCTATCTGTTCCTCCGTTTCGTACCGTGAAGCTAAGATCAAGAAAACCCACCTGCGCTGCGTGTGGGATCGAGGGCCAGAAAATTGGCACCATTGAAGAAACAGATTATGTGGCATTTTGTGGTGGCGCGCGGCCAAATTGGTTGGAGCGTGGTCTCGAAGTCGGCAGGCCTGAATCACGGATATACGTCAAAGAACTGAAATCCGCCTTCGAATCAAACATAAATCATACCATCATCGATGTGCGGCCGAGAACCGAGTTTGGTATATGTCGTCTCCCGAGGTCTACGAGTAAGTGATTTCCATGCTGGAGGCGCAGTCATCTCACCAGCCTGTTTAGGTGTCCCGCTCAATATCCTACTGGCTAACCCAGTGCCTCATCTTCCCTCAGACAAGTCCTGTCAGGTGTTTGTTCTGTGCAGATTAGGCAACGACTCTCAAATTGCTGCGGACGCCATCAGGGCAATCGACTCCAATCTGATTGTAAAAGATGTTGTCGGAGGCTTACGTGCGTGGTCAAATGAGATAGATCCATCATTTCCTGTATATTGAGGTAAATTACACTTGTGGCTCTTTCATACGATGATCTATGGTAGAAGCTGGTAACTACACGGTGGACCTCGAATTGGGATCCAAGATAATACATGTGTTTGATCTTCCTTTTCACTTTCCTAGAAATGAATATGAGAAAGGGCAAGCCAACAAGGGAATCCACCTACTTAGACCTGCCTTCAGCCACTTAGGTATCTTCTTCTCGGTACTTGTGCTCGACTTTGTTGTGGGAGGTGTAGCGGACTTCTCCACCTTGGGAGGTTCGGCGTCAACACTGAGGGATTTCGGTAGCTCGATCGCGCTTGCTGCAATGGATGGCAAGAGGGGTGCAGGGACATTCGTGCCTGTGAGCCTCGTGAAGAACAGCGCACGACTTCACCATAAATGGACCTACCATTCAAGGATTCATCTTCGAAACGCAGAAGGAGTACTGATGATGGGGCAAGCTGCAGTTGTGCCAAGCTTAAATCACGGACATCTGGGTCTGATACCTTCAGGTCGCGCTTGGGCGGAGATTGATCTACGAACGATGTCAAAGCCCGACCCATCTCAAGCGGCCAACATACGCACATAGGATGAACTTGATCGACTTGACATCATCTCGGAGGGACGACCGCACAAATGCGTACACAGAACGAATTTTGTCTGTAGAGGGAAATATCTTCTCCAGCTGTGTTCGATCAGAGAATCTGACACGTATCGTTGTCTGCGTGTATTCAGCCCAGGCTTAAGTGACTTGGGACAGAAGAGACGCACATTCGGCCATCGATCTCTCTTTGACTTCTCTGCTGCCTCCCGCTGAGCTCGTACTCGTAGTGGGGCATCAACTAATGATCGTGTCCGGGCGCTTAATGTTGCTTGGGCAGCCTTTAAGTCGGCAGGAGATAGGGTGAAATAGGAGTCTGGTAGTTCTTCTACTGTAGAACTTTACAGTTAGCTACGTGGCAGTGTTTCGAAACGTGGCAACCCACGAGTGCTGGTCGTTGATGTTGGAGGCTTATACACCTTACACTCGGTCGCAGGGACGTCACCCACACTACTGGAGCCTGGCGTGGATGCCCCACTACCTTGCGTAGGCGTAGATGATTGTGAATTCTCAGCCATGGACGTTGGGTTCAAATTAGGTAGGTGACTGATCAGAAGAAAGATCTGTATTGGTACATAGTATAACAATAAATAAACGTTTCGCTGTCTTACAATCTACAAACACGCCAGAAAGTTTTACAAAGGACCTGTAGATGGAAGGAAGGTCAGTATCATGGTAAATTTCTCAATTCAAGAGAATGAAAAATCATCAGAGGCTGCAGAAGTTGTCTCAGCGCACTCGCCTCAGGGCTGGCGGGCGAGCTAACCTTTTGGTGTAAGACGAGTGAATCGAACGCAAATTACTTGTAACATCATGAAAAAAGATATGACAGACTGAAGACTTACCAGCTGCCATACGCTCACATCCACGTCAGCGGAGGATGAGAAAGAAAATGGGACAAAGGAGAGTGAGGCTGACTCAAAATCTACAAGTAGCAGCATTATTTATATTTATTTGATTGGCTTATTAAGCCAATATGTCCGAGATCGATGACCCTTTGTTCTAAGACATTGCATTGTCTATCCATAAACTCTCCTCATGCCACACAATCATCACGAAGGGCACTGCAGCCACGAGAGCAACGACAACGATCATGATCATGATCATGGAACCAGCGACCTTGGCCCAAATGACAATCTGTTCCCGCACATCGACAGCGCTAACGTCGTCGCACTCAACGCCACAAGGGAAGGTTCAGTGGTCGTTAAACCCTGGAATCAGAGGAACAACGAGGAAGCTGTATGCCACATCTTTCACACATGTCCCATGTTCAAGTATTGATCACCTTAAAATTATTCCTAGTTTCTAGAGTCGGATGCCGACGATCAGTTGTAAGGTCTCGCTGAATCGAGATCTCGACATTATGCAGCTCAAATAACATTCTATTGAGAATTATACGTATCCCTTTCACCGGATCTGTTAGGCTCCGGTCTTTACTATTGAAGACGGGCCCGGGTGACCAGACCCCAACGAAAGTCGCTCTGGTTGGTCTAAATTCCTATTTATCGACATGTTATTTACCGCCTGCGTGTAGTTTTCCAATCAGCCTAGCATAGATTTCAACGACGTTTCCGATAAGGCGCCTGTTCAAGAATTCGATATCCCTCAGGACAGGAATATTGCGGAGTACGCTGTCAAGTACATTTATTCTTTTTCTCCGCGAAAGTCGTATTGATGTCAACTCTTCAGGACGGCAAAGTTCAACAACGTTTCCTCCCTGACGTTATTCTTCCCCGCCTCGCAGGGTGCGGACACGACGAGGATTTATTATGTTGGTCTCCTTGGTCATTGGACTGAGGTATGCCAGTTCCTGAACCACTGTTTTCGATTCTCAAGACTCGTTCATTCCCTCAGCGCAAGAGCGATCCAGTCATCACCGTCTACGAAACTCAGGCTAACCTTGCCGACCACGAAAGGATTCAGGGAACAGACGGCAATTTCAGTACAACGCCATCCTAATAAAATGCAGAATTCCTATACCATGATTACAATGCGAGTTCTTGGAATGTGTGTACAAGATAGCATGCAAGTGCGTATGATGTATAGTAGAGCATAACAATCAATGTAAAAGTCTGAAACCATGCTTGACGTCGCCTACATTCACAGTATATCCGTCCATATTGTTCTCAAGGTACAAACAACGCCTTGAAGAACCAGGCTCCAAAGCCGATGAAGAAAGTGAGTCAATCTCAATCACGAGGGGTTCATCCCTTGTCCGTTCGCATTTCGTTGCATAACGACTGCATCATCTCACTATTCACCGTCCCCACGCCGCCAAGATGCATGCCCCCGCTGATTTGCCTCTGCGGTACCCCCGCCGCCGCCCTGTTCATGTCGAGTTATCAACATATCCTCACGCACGCGTACCATTAAACAACTCACAAACATATTCATTGGCACATTCGCTCCATTCGAAAACGGACTCATGTTCTGCATTCCCACACCAGGTGCTGGTGCTTGTACCTCCTGCTGCATTGCTCCCGTTTGTAGTTGTTGTTGGTGCTGCTGCTGCATTTGTCGTTGCCGCTGCCGCATCTGCTGTTGCAGTGCGAGTTGTTGCATGAAGTGCCTTTGCTGCTGCGGGTCAAGGCCCTGAAGTCGCGTGAGCATCTCGGGGGTAAACACGCCTGGGGGTTGTAGTTGTGCTTGTTGTTGCAATTGCAGTTGCGGTTGCGGTTGTTGTTGCGGTTGCATTTGCATTTGCGGTTTTGGGGCGTCGACTTTGCTAGAGCCTGGCAGATCTGGAAGTCCAGTAAGAGGGAACACTGCGCCTACTAGCACACTATTCATCGGGAACACGATCATATTGTGTGACATAGGCCCAGAAGGAAGTTGCCACGCCGCTATGCCAAACTAAATATCAAAGAATATCAGTAGGGATGACAGGAAGGAAGAATGAACGGAACACTCGCTGTTCGTGCTTCCATCATAGTCTTCATCAACACGTGATGAACCATGTCATTCAATTTCTGTTCAATGTTCCGTGCTTGGGGCTTGAATTGGACCATCACAGCAGATTGATGGTGTTTCTGAAGCCACGACTTTAATTCTAAGGGATCCTTCACTCCTTCTTGTGATATATTGATGAACATTCTCTCAGGCCATGTTTCCGTGTGACTGCACGAGGAATTAGTACTAGACCATAGGAACTGTTCGATAACGTACAGTTGACCCTTGTAATTAACGGTGGCCACTTGCACTTCGCACCCCTTTGATTGTCCAGCATGCTGTATAGTGAAGGTGAAAGAGCCTTCCCATTGCTTTGGCCCCCCTGAGGTTGCTGAGGTCGAGGCCTGGGGCTGAGACTGATGTTGCTGATGTTGAGAAGTAGATCCAGAGGCAGGCGGATGGGCTGGTCGGGGCTTAGGTGAACCGGAAAAGGTTGGTCCCTGGATACCAGTTCTGTTGAGTAACTTATGCATTTGCGCGGCGAGCGCTGGATTCTGGAATCCTGTTGTTCCCGAACGCGCCTGCATGAGCACTAATGCCTGCTGATCTGTCAGCGGTGGCTTTTGATCTGTGACTGATGGCTTCTGCTCCTCCATAGGCGCAGATACGGGCGCAGACACCGTTGGTGGTGCTGCATCCTCCGACTTCATGTTGCTCGCCGTCAGTTGAGGCTGAGACTGAGACTGAGACTGAGGTGTGTCTCCCGACCCTCCTGCACCTGAATTCGAACCACCCATCGCAGGCCTACTCGCTATTTGATACAAAAATTGCTTGATCTTCATGAACTGCTGAAATTTCGTGCCGCGCTCCATCTTAAGCGACTCGATATCGGCAGCATTCCCGGCAGATTGTACTTCCTGGATTTTGGCATCGAGGGCTTTGATCTCGACTTCGAGAGCTTTTCCACGCTCGACTACTATGTTGATGTTGGGGTGGGATATGTGCTGCGCGAAGGAAGCATTGGGGTTCGGACCATTGGAATGTGGGTGTGCGGCGGGTGCTGCAGGGGGTTTTACTGGACTAGGTGTAGAGGTCGTAGTTGCGTGCGGCGGTATGGGGGAAGGCTGGAGCAGTTGCGGATTTGGCTGAGGAGGTAGGACAGAAGGTGGGACAGAAGGTGTGGGAACCTGCCGAGAGGGCGGTCTCTGGCCTATTGGACCGGCACCTCCTCCAGGAGGACGCGGGCTAAGTGCTGGTGAGCTTTTCTCGCTGACTCTCTGTCGTTTCGTGTCTGGTGTTTGAGGGGACTCGTTTGAACGCTTTGCAGCGTCTGGAATTTGTGAGCGCGGGAATGAGAGGGAGGTTGTTCGCGAAAGCTCACTGAGTTTTGGGGTCTGCACATGCGATAGTGGGGGAAATCCAGAAAGCATGAGTATATGCGGTGGGTAGACAGTGAACCAGGGATTAGTTTGTGGAGTTGGTGCTGAGGTCTGAGGGAGAAGAGTTTTCAATGACAACGCGACGGACATAAATGTGAACTGACGGCAGACTGAACATCCTGGAACTGTTGTATTTGTTGTAGTGTGACAAGACTCAGATTGATTTTTCTCTGTGAGGCAGGTCAAATTAATGTGAAAAGTTGATCCAAGAGTGCTGACCTTCTTGAGCTCTACCGGTAGCGTGTCCCATGATACTGAGTCGAGATGCGGAAGGGTATTCCATGCGGGCCTTTGCGCAGAGTCGGGTGGACTTCCAGCGATATGTATTATATGTGACACGTGTATTCGACCATCCTTCGGACCAGCCAAGGCGAGCAAGTTATGCAAGATGTCGAAGAACTTCCATCACAGCTTAGAGTGAGAAGTGGGTCAAGGTACGGTAGTACACACCTCGATAGCAGCAACCATTCCCTCCAGGGCGGACAGCCCCCTCACACCGATCGTGGAGCCAATTCCTAGCCCCCTTGGATCCTCGCGCAATTCCTTCATCACGAGATTCGGGGGGAGAAAGAAACGTTTTGATAACAGCGGATTGGGATATGCGTCCGCAGCGCCATACGTCACTAAAGCTAGTCGGAACTAAACACATCGGCCATACTCAGCATGTTACTTGACAGAAGAATGATCCAGGTAAAACGCACATTATGCCCGCTGTATGCTTCGTTCAGACGCTTGAGAATAGGCAGGATGTACGCTGTGAACACACGGGTCCATTCTGTAGCGAGCGCTAGAGAGGCATCGATGACACAGGCGACGGCGAGTACTTCCTGACCCTGAGCTTGGACTTCAAGTTGTGGTACTTGTTGCTGCGATTGCAACTGATTGGACATGGGAGAAAGTTTGGAAAAGGTAACGATCACACTGGCAAGACCTGCTTTCAAGGGGTTTCAAAGACCACAACGAACCACAACGACGTCAAGCAGAATATCGCGGAGTCAAATTATGATGGAACGTGGTCAATGCGATTTCACGGGGGTTTCAACGCTAGGTCCATCCGACGGTCGTGCGTTCCTTCATAATATCAAGAATCTTTTGTCACTTTATCACTGCTTGATCACCGGCACGCATCTGAATACAGTAGGTACTAGGTCATCGACAAGGATTTCATTTGACAGGTCAAAATCCATCATGTGGTATCAAGGTAAATAAGTACTGTTGTCGATAGACGAAGGGGACAACAGAGTAACTAAAATAACCCGAGATAACATGTAACGAGTGTCTAAGTAGGCAACACAACCATAAAGTTGATGTGTTTATCAAACATGAAGAGTCCATCTACTAGATTGACTGTCCTATCGACTGTCCTTCGAGTCACATCGGTATGTAACGTGCGCCTTACAACATTATGAACCATGCACCACCGCCAATGCCCAGCATCGTGCTTGCTACCAGTCCATACCAACCGCTGGAGAGCGAGAATGCCCGGCGAGTTGCACTAGATGTTCCTACTGCGCTCGTCCCGGCCGAAGCTAGATACGATGAGTAGTTGAGGATTGTGCCGGTAGTTGTTGGGGTTGGCAATACAGTGGCAGGCCCTGTAGGTGTAAATGTTGCTAACACGGCGACGGTAGAGCCAGCTGCATTTGTAGTGGTATAGGTGTATGGGGTAGGTCCCCCTGGTACTAGGACTGTTGATCCGGGCTGTTCAACGGGGCCTTGATTCTGTGTAGTCGTAGTAGTTGCTATAGTTTGAAGTGGTCCAGCTGGGGTAGTAGTAGTAGTTAAGAGGGTATTTGTGGACAAAGGGTTCGTGGTGACTCCGGTAACGGTTTGCCTGTTCAATAGCGCCAACATCATGAGCCAAGGCTAATATTGATGTAAAAGACGATTTCACTCACAGTGTTTGTGTTGTAGCAAGACCGTTGATGGGGTTTACTGTAACAACTTCCACAACTGTAGCACCAGCACTGTTCCAGTGATTAATCAGACAGAAATTCAGTGTAGAAGGGCTGATAAGCATACATATTGGTGACAGTCAATGTCTGAGCATGTGTCCACGACGCGCACAAGGCGATTACAGCCAGTATAACGCTCTTCATCGCGTTTTTTTTTACAAGGAAGATGCGCCGGTCGTTGTCTGGGTAGCTTACGAGCTGTGAGCGTGGTACGCCAGACTCAGTGAGAGTCCTCAGGTATCCACGCGCATAATAATAACTTCCATCGGCAGGACACCTTCCATACTAGGATATGTCCTGCCGAAAACCACCTGGTATTACGGCCGTGAGAGTTCCATAAAGAGACGATTTCCCCGAATTTTTCTCTTTCTTGCAGAGCTCGTGACTAGTTTTTTTTGGGAGATGATAGATCGATGGCGGCAATTCTGCCTGCATCGTCTTCCCCGTCCATCTACTGCGTCTTGTTTTATTTTTCTGCGGCCGTTTTCTGCGTCGCACACTCTCCAAGCTAAGAAGAAGAAAATGCCTCCCAAGAAGGCTGCTGCCGCAGAGAAAAAAGTTTTGCTTGGTCGTCCAAGTAATAACTTGAAGATCGGTATCGTCGGTATGCACTTATCATCCTGCAATCGAATTCAGACCCAATGACTATCCGTATAGGTCTTCCGAATGTCGGAAAGTCATCTTTCTTTAATGTTCTATCCGACACCGGTGCGGATATAGCCCTTATACAGTCACGTATTTGAGTCTAAAATATCTTAGATTTGGGAAAGGCTGCCAACTTTCCATACGCAACAATCAACCCAGAAGAAGCGCGTATACCCGTGCCGGATGCGCGTTTCGATTGGCTTTGCGATCTGTACAAGCCTGCCTCGCGTGTGCCTGCTTTCCTCACCTGCATTGATATTGCAGGTCTTACTGCGGTACGTCCATGATCCACGTACCCTGATTTCTCCGCCGACATATATACAGGGTGCATCAACAGGTGCAGGACTTGGAAATGCATTCTTGTCTCACGTCCGCGCTGTCGATGGTATCTTCCAGGTGGTCCGTGCCTTCGATGACGCCGAAGTCATCCATGTAGAGGGCGATGTTGATCCTCTCCGTGACATGGAGATCATCCAGACCGAGCTTCGTCTCAAAGATATTGAGTGGGTCGAGAAGCACCTTGATGGCCTCAAGCGCACTGGTCGATCGCTTGGCAACAACAGTTTGGCGGATAAGGCTAAGAAGGAAGAAATCGTGCGTCTCGCTGGAAACACTGTTTGGTGTGTAGCTGGTGCGGACTCACGCTGTAGGCAACAGTTGAGAAAATCTATAAGGCCCTTACCGTCGATGGCAAGGATGTTAGGAAGTGCGAGTGGAACAATAAAGAGGTAAGTCTTTCTTGTTCTTGAGAATTTCTTTTGCCAGCACTTTGGTTCGTACCCTGATGAAAAAGAGCCTTTGCTCGATAACCCAGCTCGTTGAGGAGGGAGTAACGCCCCACTATTCCTTTGAGATAATTTTTTTTCTGATCCCCTCCTTGCCTTCGTAATCTTCGTCTACCATACTGACCGTCATCCTACAGGTAAATATGCTATTCTCATTATCGCTTTTGAGCGATGAAAAAGAGCTTTGCTCGATAACCCAGCTCGTTGAGGAGGGAGTAACGCCCCAACATTCCTTTGAGATAACATTTTTTTCTGATTCCTTCTTTGTCATCTACGGTCTTCATCTACCATGCTGACCATCATTCCGCAGGTAAATAATGTATTCTCGTTATCGTTTTTGAGCGATGAAAAAGAGCATCAGCTCGATTAACCCAGCTCTTTGAGGCGGGAGTAACGCCCCATCTTTCAATGATATTTTTTCAACCCTCTGACCTCATGAACGCGCTACTTTCTTGGCGTACGCTAATACCCACTATCATCCGTAGATCGAGGTCGTCAACAGCCTTACCCTACTAACCGCCAAGCCTATCACTTACCTCGTCAATCTTAGCGAGAAGGACTACATCCGCAAGAAGAACAAGTGGTACGGCTTTCAAACTCTCTTAGTTACCACAGCTCATGCTCGCACATAGGTTGGCCAAGATCAAGGGCTGGATTGACGCGCACAACCCCGGCGACCCCCTCATCCCATTCTCCGTATCACTGGAGGAGCGTCTTGCGCAGCTTCCAGAAGATGAGCGTGCTGAGGCTCAAAAGGAACCAGGAGCGCAGAGTGCCCTCGGAAAAATAACGCAGGCGGGGTACTCCAGTCTTGACGTGGGTCTGATCCCCTGGTCGCTGGTTGCTGATTGATCGGAATTTTTAATCACAGTTGATCCGCTACTTTACCTGTGGACCTGATGAAGTTCGTGCATGGACGATTCGCAAGGGGACAAAGGCGCCTCAGGCGGCCGGCGTTATTCAGTATGCCGATTATTTTATTTTATTTTACTTCTTCTCACACTTTTATAGCTCGGACTTTGAGAACAAGTTTGTTTGCGGTGAGATCATGACGTACGAGGACCTCAAGGAGCACGGAAGCGAAGCTACTGTTAAGGCTGCTGGTAAACTGAGACAGCAAGGCAAGCCTTATGAGAGTGAGTTCTTCCTGTCGATCTCCTATGACTACCGCTGACTGATGGACGACAGTGGTGGACGGAGATATTGCTTACTGGAAATCTGGTTAATTGGACAGATGGACAAGAAGTTGGGGCTGTTGTACGTTGCATACATACTTGTGCTAGATGAGGCAAGTAGGTTAATCGCATTGTTTGTTGATTGATGTTTTGTGAAAGATCTCGATTTCATGCTGGGGTGACGTCGTTGCTTATCTGGTTTTATTCATGTGAATGAACAGAAATAATCCATACCCAACGCTGTAGTCAAGGTGCTCGAGCAACTCCTGGTCGGTATTCCTATCGTCGACGCAAATGTGGCGCGACATTGAGACGTGCCTTGCAAGTTTGTGGCAACAAAGTTTACAGGTGCTGACATACAAGTAAATGTTCAGGAAGTACATATAAGTCGCTGTCGATCTTGAGCCTGGTCAATATTAGCGGTTGAGTGGGCCGCATCTAAGTATAGAGAACTGGATCGTGTCGCCATTCGCTGTACCTGTGGAGCCTCCTGCCAAGTCGCAAAGTGGAGGCTGCGTAGGGGCTGTTCCAACCAATTCCATTCCGCAGTAGAAACGCAGTGTCAACGTATTACAGCCTCGTCGAGGAATTCAACTGAACCGTGTTGGCTTTGTTTAGTGACAGATTGCTGGGCCCTGGATAGGCATCCTTCGGTCTAAATTCCGTTCGTCCTTTTATTATAGTGGTAATGTCAACCACTGCAAGAAATCATAATGATTAAAAAGGTATACAGTCTGGCTAGGGTGACTATTAAATAGTTCGCGATCAATAAAAACAACAAAGTAACGATTATAAAAATAGCATGGTGCGGGTGGTGCAGCACAAGGATGGCAAAAATACAACAGCAGGTGGACACGCCTAGATACCCCTCTTCATCCCCAAATGAATTTCGCAAGTGTGACGCCACATGCAGTCGCGACGCATGACATGCACTGTGTGGTTGTCACGCCTATGATAAGTACAAGCTTCCCAGCGGCATTCAATCTGCGCATCCGGGGGACCAGCAAAATGACTGATTCTACAATGCGCCTTTAACTCGTCCAGCGTCCCTGTGAATATGCAGGGTGCGTTATCATATAGCCACCGGCAGGAAAGTAGGAGGGGGTATGAATAGTTACGAAGTGGGGTCGAATATGGCTGGTTGACAATGGGCGGTTGATCTGAGGGGTAACATGTAATTCCACCGTGACACGCACGGGCCTGTGATGAAAATCCCATTTGCAAATCTTCCGCCGCTAAAGGCGGAGGTGTCATCGGAGGGAGGGGCCCATTTAGAGGGCCTGGCTGAGGTAAACTTTGCCATTGATGCGACGGCTCGTTATACAGCCGAAAATCAGAGGTAGGAATTTCAGGGTAGACAACTGGATAATGCCTGTGTGTGAGGGTAATTAGAAGAAAAATGATGATAACGAAGGGCATACATTTGGAATGTGTGTGAAGGCCAGTTGTCGTGCCCCATTGCAGGAGCACAGGCCCGGGTGCCTTCTAACACGGGGTCGTGCTGATAGCTGTAATTGTGAAGTGTTGATGGGTCGCGCCAGGAGCCACAATACGAAGGAGGTTCAAATCCGGAAACGGATTGTGTTAAACATTGTTCCTGTGTGGAGTCGTAGCAGGCATATCTAGTGCTGCTCGATGGAACGTCCGACGTCGGTGGGCCAGATAAGGAGGCGGGCTGACCACCATGACTAGTCGCGGATTATCCCTATGCAAGGCAAAGAATGGAGTAGACTAACTTGAGGCTTGACATTGTCGGATGGGGCACCGCGAGCCCATGATTGGGGTATGTTGTTGAGCTCCGCGGATTTGAAGGAGACGTCTTTGAAATGATGATCAGCATGACAGAGAACAATCGTCGGAGAAATCATACCATGTCACCATTGATGCAGGGAAGACTACTGGACGGGTTGGCGTATGTGCCACAAACGCCATCGTCGAAGACTTCTTGGTTGACCACGAGTTGGTCTGGCATGATTATACTGTATAAGAGAAATGAGAGCAATGTGATATATAGGGCCTACAGATGTCAGAGAATATGTGCTCCACGATTTTAATATGTGCGGACAGCAGGTAGGATAGACGCAAAGCTCGGAACACTGCCAAGGGACAGCATGGTGTTGTTTAGAAAGTGGTAACGACATGATGCACATCGGTGACTACTATGTTCAGGGAAAGGACGACCTTACATAAAAGGAAACTTGAACCTTGATCTGGGAGATCGATCGATCGCCCGAGTTCAAGCGTTTTTGCCTGCGTCACCACAAGGACAGTATTACGTCACGAGAAAACTTGAACCATAATCCAAAAAACGTTAAGTTAGTAACCATCCGTTCGGTACCAAAATACCAAGAGTAGATTTAGACCAAGTCAGCTCAACCTTTCGACTCTGATTGACATTACAATTTGGAATATCAAGCAACTCAGTTCTCCCCCCCTTTGCGGTATCATAATCAGGCACTGACCCCTTTTTCGGGAATACCGGCTAAAACGGATCCTCAGGCTTCAGGTATGGCTACTGGTTTCTCCGGGCCCAGCGTCAATGTTGCAAGTCAGAAGCATGCTTTTGACAACCGATGGAGTTTCTCACACTGTTTCTTTGTTAGCAAGGGATAGCTATCTGTCAGCGGAATATGCTTATCCGTGGCGGTGTGCCTACAAAGGATACCTTCCCGGGAAGCCTGCTGTAAATACAGGGACGTCTTGGAACAGACACTAACAAGTCCGATGAATTTGGTTCATGTCCCTGTTTGTGTGGAACACTCGTCTTGACCCGAGGGCGCAATCAATGGGAAAGGAACATCCGGAACGAACGCCGTAGCAGAACAGGTGAACCAAATGTATATGCCTGCAACAGATGGACCAGATTACTGTGGGAAGTCCGAGGATACAACCAGTACTTGGGATAGGGACGTCTGGAACGGACGCTATAGCAGATCGGGTGAGCTGAATGCAGTTGTTGGTGACACCGTACGGGCGACTCATTGCATCATACAGCAAGTTGAAATGCAGTATTTATCAAATTCGAATGGCGCTATGACTGAATACCGTCCTGTTCGCGGAGTTTGTGGAGGCTTCATTTTGGAGGTTACAGGTTATGATAAGCAATCATGAGCGCTCATAGTCCAGCACATGTGATCATCAATGGGATCGGAGTCGTCAGACTGTCCCTGGTAAGCAGTGCGCTAATAGTCTGGCACATGAGATCATCGATGGGACCGGAGTCATCGGACTATCCCTGGTAAGCAAGGCAAAAAGAATCAACGGGACAGGAGTCATCAAATCATCCTTAGCAAACGACACGACGTGCAACAGGGTATCAATGAGATCAGTATCATCAGACCATCTCTGGTAAGTAAACCATATATGGCACAGTACAGGTCATCATCCTGGCATACCGCACCATGCAAAATCTGTGATGCGCTGAAAGCAGGCCAGCAGCTCCATCTCCGCCGGTTGCAATAGATAAGCCACTTATCTTGCTCGCTCGCCATTGATGCCATCCAATTTCACTTGTTATGTTCACGTTGGCCTAGGCGGTGCCATATCTTAGCTCAAAGAGGTTGCTCTTTGGGGAAGGTCGAGCGTCACCAGTCCGAAGTTCTATGATCATTCTGCCGAACCGATATAAATTGGGCTAGTCGGAACATCATTTCCATTAGTAGAGTATTCAACCTCGTGAACAATGATTCAAGACCAGCAATGTATACATTAACTTGCATCAATTGCAACATCTTTGAGAACACAGCGGATAATTATAGGACACACTCGAACCATATATTGAAGTTATGCGATGACCACATCAGAATATTAATATCGTTATGAGAAAATCACCGCCGATAGCAGCACCTGTATGGGCGGGTTAATGACATCTGACCTGCATTTCTCCACGATAAACTCCTCACCAGAACCAAACTTAATGCTTCCTGCGGCCGAGAGGGGTATCTGAGTAACCAGACTTGTGTCAGCCTACGTCCCAGGTTTCAAGGCGAAGGAATATAACATATTATTCATCCTTTCTGCCTGACCAGATGCTTCCTGCAGACCAATGGCAGAGTTGACGCCTACACCCACGACGGGAGGCTCCGAGTCACCGGTCCCATTCACAAAACGGCCTATACGATTTTTAAATGCAATTGTCACAGCAGCTTTCGGGAGCAGAAGCGTCTACTCTCTTGACATAATTAAATGAGAATAGTGCTTCCCGGTGACCACGTGCGTGACCAAGCCACAAATCTTGGTTCTGCTCAGAGACGACTTCGAGGAATTCGCCAGCAGAGAAACGAGGTGGCCAACTTAATTTTAGCGCACCCGTCCTCGTATGCTTGCTGGAAGGGGAGTGGGTGGTATCGCAGGCGCCAATCTGGTCAACTGGACGGACCAAGAAGTTGGGGCTATTGTACGTTCCGTGTAAGTCAAACGATTGATACTCTCTGACAGTTCTGGGGTACATAGTTGGTCACGTGCTGTGAGCCATTTTCGGGTCCACACTGATCATGGGCGTGCCACGGCGGATCATATGTCAAACAATATTGATCTAAGCTACGACTCGCGTTTCAGCCCCATTACCCTTGCACAAGCCCAAGAACCTTCGCATCGCCCACATTAAGTCCACCGTTACCTTCGTTTCCCTTATGCTTTCCATTCTGGGCTCCTGTCCCTCCCCATCACACTCTTCGGTTTCGGCGTTTTATGACTCACCTTTTCGGCGTTGCTGACCGGTTCCTGCGATAGTATACTTGCTGTTGCTCGGCCTTTGCGACGCACACAAGTCGAAAATTACATTGTCGCCTCCACTCAGCTCCCGCATTCGCATTCACCCATTGCTACGTCGGATGCATCAATGCTCCCGTCGCCAGCGTCGTTTTTGCAGGCTCGTTCGATTACATCCGCAGCTGCAACGCCTGACAGCTGGGTTGCCTTTTCACTTGCGAGCCATGGGACATCTGTAAGTATACTGCATGGCGAGCTTTTAGGGATCATAGCTGCTGTTTTGTTATTGATTCATGCTAATCCAAAACAGATCTACCCCGTTTTTACCGGTCACAAGAATGCTGTGCACTTTGTCCTGGATGTGCTCCCGGGTGCCCTGCCCCATGTCTGGAATGGTCAACCAGTGCATTCGTTGTACCGATGGTTATGTTCCCTCCTTCATGCCCCGTCTCCTTCTCCCTCGCTATTTTGGACTGCTGCTCACACAGGCAGTTTCACACCCGAATGTCTAGCCTAGATCACATGGCCTCTTCGGTGCAACATAGCGGTGGTGTTCTTGCCTCTCTCCGCTTACGAAATTTGCTATGGCCCGATGACTATACCATCTTTACGCCTAGTTGTGGGTTCATCGAGTGTAATTTATCTTCTTTCGTTGTTTCCCGGCTTGAGGATGCTTATGCGTCAAACGACTCTTTTCACCCGGCCCAAGTCATGACTCTCGCACTGTACGACCGCTATCTCCCGCCTGACTTCCCGTACACGCGGGCGTCTAGTTCATTCTGTGCCGCCGTACAATTGTATGCCCGATCGTCGCAACTTGACACCGCGCAAGTGCGGCATCGTCGTTTTCGCGATATGCTGCCTTGGTGTCATTTTGGTTGTGATGTGTTTGAGAGCACGCACCACATCTTTGCTCTCTGCCCAGCCTTCTTGGCTATCCGCCGTGCGCATAGCGTGCAACTCTGAGGAGACCTCCCTCCTTGAGGGAAAAGCTATAGACCATATCAGGGAGGTTTTTGATAGGGCCGCACGGCGCTTGTTTTCTGACGATGCGGGGTTGTGGCCACAATATTGAACGCGTTATTGTGTGGGTGTATTGCCCCCACTCGCGGATATTGTAGCCAGCGTTGAGTCACAAGTGGTGTTTTGCCCCCACTGTCCAACATTTAGGGCGACATCGCATCATTAGGCAATGTGGTACTTTATCCTCGCAGCCTGCTAGGACGACGATGGGACCTAAATTGTTATCCCGATTAGCACAGATGTGGCATGTGCGTAGTGTTCGGCTCGCGGGTCAACAATATGTGGTATGTAGGCTCCATAGTGCTATATAGCAGTTCACATTTTTGCTGATGCTTTTGGGAGAACACCGTGACAAGCAACGTGTCCGTGCACTCAGCCCCAATCCTTCCTCCCACGTTGCACATTCCTCACTCAATAGTTATGCGTATATTTTGCCCGATAGTTTGCGAGCTTTGCTTAGTTTGTAGTTAAGCGCTTAGATACCTGAGCTCATGTGAACGTAGATGGACAAATAAAACATTCATATCCACATTCGCCGTTGAACACGCCTGTCTCTTTTTGCTCAAACTTATAACTTCCCAATAATCAAGCACTGTCCTTCATTGTATACTTATAATGGACGAAATATTGACACGCGGCCTCGCACAAGCGTCCACAGCCCTTCGCTAAATGCTATGTACCTCTGCTGCCTTCGCGACTTTCAAATTCGATGCAGATATCATCGCAATCAGATGCTCGAATGATGTCTGTACATCATTGCACCGACTGGCAAGGGAAAATCTTTGCTCTGGGTTCTACCACTGCGGCTTGTTCAAGATCTGGTGTTTCCCTCGTCATCAAGCCATACACAAGTTTAGTTTCAAATGGCCAAAACAGGCGAACCATCGTGATTTTTAGATCAACCTAGACATTTGTGATGATTTACAGACATTGTGTTTGTGCTCTCGGGATCCGCTCAGTCTTCGTGAATGCAAAGCAAATGGATGACGCTGGCCAGTGCCACACGATGACTCCGAATCCGAGGGCCGAGAGTCGTGTTCACGTGCGTGAAGATAGTGCAAAGTCCCGCGATGGCGATAAAATTACACACGGGAGCTATCCCGCACATTCTTACCTCCATGTAAAATTAGTTGGAGATCACTGATTCACGTTCCTACCATCGCAATTTCGGCTACTCTACCCACCAGCTATGGTCACCGTGATCTGCTCTGCGTACATGCAGGGATGAATTTGAGACAACTATTTTTTTTGATTCGTTCCGCAATCTTCGACCACCCTGCTGACCGTCATTCTACAGGTAAATACGATATTCTTGTTATCGCTTTTGAGCGATGAAAAAGAGCTTTGCTCGATAACCCAGCTCGTTGAGGAGGGAGTAACGCCCCAACATTCCTTTGAGATAACATTTTTTTCTGATTCCTTCTGTGTCACCTGCTGTCTTCATTCACTATACTGACCACCATTCCGCAGGCAAACAACATATTCTCCTTATTGTTTTTGAGCGACGAAAAAGAGCACCAGCTCGATCAACACAGCTCTTTGAGGTGGGAGTAACGCTCCATGGTTCAATGATATTTTTGCGACCCTCTGACCTCATGAACTCGCTACTTTCTTGGCGCACACTACCCACTATCATCCGTAGATCGAGGTCGTCAACAGCCTTACCCTACTAACCGCCAAGCTCATCACTCACCTCGTCAATCTTGGCGAGAAGGACTACATCCGCAAGAAGAACAAGTGGTACGGCTTTTATCAAACTCTCTTAGTCACCACAGCTCACGCTCGCACATAGGTTAGCCAAGATCAAGGGCTGGATTGACGCGCACAACTCTGGCGACCCCCTTATCCCATTCTCTGTATCATTGGAGGAGTGTCTTGCGCAGCTTCCAGAAGATGAGCGTGCTGAGGCCCAAAAGGAACCAGGAGCGCAGAGTGCCCTCGGAAAAATAACACAAGCGGGGTACTCCAGTCTTGACGTGGGTTTCATCCCCTGATCGCTGATCATTCATTGATCCGAATTTTTTAATCCCAGTTGATCCGCTACTTTACCTGTGGACCTGATGAGGTGCGTGCATGGACGATTCGCAAGGGCACAAAGGCACCTCAGGCGGCCGGTGTTATTCAGTATGCCGATTATTTTACCCCTTCTCACACTTATGTAGCTCGGACTTTGAGAACAAGTTTGTTTGCGGTGAAATCATGACGTATGAGGACCTCAAGGAGCACGGAAGCGAAGCTACTGTTAAGGCTGCTGGTAAACTGAGACAGCAAGACAAGCCTTATGAGAGTGAGTTCTTCTCGTCGCTCTCCTACGACTACCACCGACTGATGGGCGACAGTGGTGGACGGAAATATTGCTTACTGGAAATCTGGTTAATTGGACGGATGGACAAGAAGTTGGGGCTGTTCTACGTTGCATACATATGTGTGCTTGATGAGGCAAGTAGGATGATCGCGTTATTTGACATTTGATGTATCGTAAAAGATCCTGATGCTCACATTGGCGTCGCATCGCTTCTCCTAGTCGATATTCCTGTCGTTGACGCAGATGTGGCGCGGCATTGAGATGTAGTACCTCGTTCAAGTTTGTGGCAACAAAGTTTACAACTGTGACTGACAAGTAATTGTTCACAAGGTGATGCATGTAAGTACTGATAATGTGGATCCTGATTGTACCAGACGCTGATAGCAGTCGGAATCCATCATATGTTGTTATTATGGAATAGCCAGAAAAATCTGGCCATTCGTAATCATGAGGGACGTCTTGGCAAGTGAATGTCAGGTAAATATATATATATGCTTGTTAGGGCGAGGGATAATTTATAACTCTCCGTTTGGGGTGAGGCACCCTCATTGGGGACGTGTCCCTGGTTAAAGAGCGAGTTATGGGACAATTGTTTGCCATGAAACAGGTTCTTGTCCATTTCAATCTACCCATACGGTACTGCCGATATTAATTATTCATTTCACCAGCTAAGGAAGAGTGATATGCTTCGGAGAGGGCAAGGAGGTCGCGTCCGTGCAGAACGTGATATCTTGAAATCTGCCTCGCTCGTCGCTTCGCCCGGCGGCGCGGAGTGGATCGTGAAGCTGCACTACAGTTTTCAGGACCGCGATAATATGTACTTGGTCAGTAGCCCTATCCGCAATATCCGCCATCTTTCCAAGAATCAGACGAGCGCATGAGTCACCGATTTCATTTGGATTTCATATCTCGACACATAATAATAGTATTGGAATTTATGGGCGGTGGGGATCCCCTGAATCTTTTGATCGAGAGAGACGTTTTTGTGCACTGACTAGGAAAGGAGATTTACTACAGTTGAAACGTTGACCCCATACGATGATCAATACCGCTATTTACGGTGCACCTATTATAGCCATGCCCAATCGATCACAGACTGGGGACTAAAGGGCAGGAACTACCAAGTAATTGTATTATTCAGTGGAGTTTAACTTACAAAAATGCAGCAACGACTCTAGAGACTTCACCTAATGAGCGTTCGATCGTTGGCTGACGTGACGGGTCACTGGATAACTGATTTGCCGTTGAGTAGACATCCACCCACCCAGGATCTCGCCATACTATGCTCCCTCTTGTCATGTTAAGTCTGAGTATTGATATCGAAGTTAACGTTCATCTACAGTATCGCCATTTTCCACATGCGTATTAGATCCTTCAACGAAGTTAACTGCAGTGCGAGCTTAATTTACAGCATCATTCCTCTCATCGGTGGCGTTGGCTACTGAATTACCGCTGGGTGGCCATCTTTCGTTTTAAAAATCGCGTTCATTAAGTATTGTTACCCAGTGGATGACTTTTCGCAGCATTTGGAACGTTGTTCTAAATTTAAATCTATGTTCTGAAGTCCTCGTGACGACGTGCCGCCGTCAAAGGTGTTTTGCAAGTCCACATGTCAAAAACACCCAGTTCTAAAGTGATATCTAGAAGGGCTCCCCTTTTAGATTCAAATGGTGTTCAAAACACCTGAACGACTTTCAAACTCCGTGACTATGTTGCAACCATCGCTTACATACATTTTGACACTTGAAGCTTCAACGTTCAACACCAACTCGACAATCGACAGGAACAGCGGGCGGCGGAAGCAAATATATCACAGCGTACAAAGTATGGCATGGCTAACAGTAGTGTACCACAAAAATAAATAAGATGGGGGACCCCTAGACACCCCTTTTCATCCCCAGATGAACTTCGCGAGTATGACGCCACATGCAGTCGCGCCGCATGACATGAATCGTGGGATCATCACGTTTATGATATTCACAAGCCTCCCAGCGACATTCGACTAGCGCACTTGGTGGACCAGCAAAATGACTGGTTTTGCAATGCGCCTTTAATGCCTCCAGTGTCCCTGTAAATCCGCAAACTGTGTCATCACGCAACCATCGGCAGAGAAGGGGAGGTGGAGGATGGCTGTGAAGCAGGATTGAGTTTGGCTGACTGCTGGCTCGCTGATCTGAAAGGTGATATATATTCCCACTGTGACTTGCGTGGGGCTGCGTTGAAATCAAAGGGCCTGGCTGAGAGACGGCAGAATTCTGCCACTGATATAACGGCTCGTTATACAGCAGGACATCAGAGGTGGACATTTCAGGGCCAAAGACAAAAGGTAAATCTTGCTTGATCACGGTGGTCGAATGTGAACGGTGTACATCTGGATACCACCTGTGCATGAAGGTGATTATGAGAAAAACAAAAGACAGGGCACCAAGGACACACATCGGGAATGTATATGAGGACGAGTAGTCGCTTCGCATTGCAGGAGAGCGAAAGCACCCAAAGGTGGAGGAGGCTGAGTAGATAGTTTGCGGTGGTGGTATCGATATGTCCTGAGGTTTGGGTACGGGGGCAGACTGATTTGAGTGATGTTGCTGGGCGTAGTCGCAACAGCTGTAACCAGAGTTGCTCGATGAACCGTCCCACGTCCGCGGGACATACAAGTTGGGCTGACCAGGACGACTAGTCATTGGGTTATACATATGTATTTCAGAGAAGAGAGCTGACTAACTTTGGGCTTGATATCATAGTCGAATGAGCCACTAGGAACTCATGATTAGGACATATATTTAAGCTCTGTAGCTTTGAAGACAACAATCAGCATGACAGAGAGCGAGTATTTGGGAACCTGCCATGTCATTGGTGCGGGGAAGACTACTGGATGGGCTGGCGGAGGCGCAACAAATATCGTCGCTGAGAACTTCGTGGTTGACTGGCACGAGTTGGTCTAGCATGATTTCACCGTCGCTATTGCGGGAATTCATCAGGGAGAGCAAAGAGCTGCAATTTTATATGTCCGACGGACGGTAGGCAGTGTAGAACTGAAGTTTCTGGTAAGCAAAGCAATATTGACGCAACCGACCATGGCGAACCAAGGGGCAGCCAATGAAGTGTATACCAATCTCAAGTAACCGAATAACCACGTGTGGACTCTGGAGGGATGTCATGGAGATCAACCGGACGCCTGAAGCACTGATTTCATTGACCTGCGGAAGCCGCACTATTTGATCTCTGATAAATCTGATCGACCAGCGTTTTGGCGTATACTACAGGATTACGAAATCACCTTAACAACTTGGCCCTTGCAAAGTCCAACTTGTGAGACGTGAGTCGTCAGAATGGGAAAAAAGTCAAGTACATCATCCTTTTTGCGTGAATGCTTATCCAGTTATCCGGGCTTCTGGTCATTGCTTTATCTGCACTAGGATCAGTGTACTAGCAGAAAGAAGGACGGGGCTCGTACATTTATCTTCGCCTCAATTGGCAGGGATAGCTCTTGCGTCAGCTTGATCACAAATGTTCCCCATCTATGGTCCATGGTGGTTTATGGCAGTGTGGCTGCGGAAGAAGCCTTGGGATAAACTCCCGTCGTGATCTGGTTCAAGATATGTTTAGTGGAGTAAAAGCTTTGCAATTGGTGGCAGATTGGAATTTGACTGATATGAACCTAGTTGCAACTTGCTGTGCAAGGGGAGAAATTAAACAGACGCTGTAGGAGGTCGGGCGAGGTTGGAGTCGTACAAAATGAGCGGACTCGTCATGATGCAATCATACAGCAACTTGCAGACTCTTGCAGAGTTCCGAGCCGAACTTCGAGGCGGCGCCCCGAATGATGGGTTTTGAATTGCTGACTAATTGCTGGGTGGGCTTGCCAAGTGTCCGAGTCAGTAACTGGCAAAACTTCATATATAATTAAGGCTATATAGACGTATGATTCCTTGTCCAACTCGTCAAATCAAAAGCACTCCTAAACGTGTTGCGCCGTGATCACAGGATGTGCGATCTATTTCGCCTGCATGCCCTACAATTGAAAGGATCATCACAATGAAGACCTTGAATGGATAATTTTCGGAATTGATTGGAAGGTTTTTCCACCATGAAAGGTCGTCTGCTTTGCCGGCAGCATCATCTTACTTTAGGGAGTCGACAGTCGGTTTCTTGTTCTACTTATTATATTCAAACCATCTGTGTTGTTGAATCTGAGTTATATCTCCGCCGCGAATCTCGGATCCAGGTTCTGTCACCTTAAGTTCTGCCATGGGACAGGCACAACCAGTTTTGCCAGGCCAGCTGGCAAGATTCCCAAGTTCTGCCAGCAACGCTGCTGGAGGCTTACTATTTTGAAGTGCGTTGCAATGATATACTTACCCTAACCTGAACAAGTCATGATCGACACTCCAAAGAGCTCCAATAGTGCAGTGCATGTGATTTAGGGAGGAACAAGTACGCAGATGCCTTTCAAGCAATGTAGCAGTGATGGGCCGTCGATGGCAAGCAACAGCCTATAGTACATCAAAGGGATCAGTGTCCGGATTAGTCCCTGTTAAACAAGCTGGACGCCGCAGTACAGGCCATCCTCCTAGCACACCACACCTTGCAAAACCTATGCTGCGATGAAAGCATGTCAGCAGTTCTATTCCCACAGGTCACAATGGTAAACCACTCACTTTTACCATTTCCGCATGCCGTCGGTACAAAATTCAATTGGAATGTTCCAATTGGCATCAGGCGGTGCGCCTGAATCCGAAGGATATCCTTTGAACAAGGTTCCGCCGGAGCTCAGTGTCAACCCAGCCGCCGAAACCACCTACTACTTCTCAATGCTCTCCAGATTGCAGTGAAGTTACACGGTCTGTCTACGGGAGGCTGTGTGGCGAACGGTTGAGTCTCCAAGGGCAGTGAGCAATTCCTGTGTGGATAGCGGATAGTCTCCCGTGGACAGATCAATAGAAGAATGAAGATGGTCATTCGGTAGCGTTCGGAAGGATAAAAATAAACGAGGGAAGGCATCAGAATCAGGTATTGAACCGTCACAAAGTTCCAAGGCGCTGAAGCCTGGGCATGCGAGTGGCTCCTTTTGTATTGCATAAATCAGGCACGAGCAGTGACGTCTCCTTCCTGCCTTTCTCGTATCTTTCTGCTCGAATCCCTCTGAGAAAACAACTGCCGATGGCAACACCTGTAAGGGCAGATTAATGACATCCGACCTGCATTTCTCCACGATAATCTTCTTACCAGAACCAAACCTAATGCTTCCTGCGGCCGAGTGGGCTATCTGAGTGACCAGACTTGTATCAACCTACGTCCCAGGTTTCAAGGCGAAAGAACATACCATTTTAACATACTTTCCGAATTTACTATTCTTTTCTGCCTGACCAGATGCTTCCTGCAGACCAACAGAGTTAACGCCTTCACCCACGGTGGAAGGCTTACCGATCCCATTGAGAGCGGCTCAAAACAATTTCTTTGCAGTTGTCCCAACTGCACCAGCCTTGGGGAGGGCAGAAGCATTTACTCTCTTGACATGATTAGATGGGAATAGTGCCTCCCGGAGACCGCGTGCGTAACCAAGCTACCAATCTTAGTTCTGCTCAGAGGCGACCTCGATGAGTTCGCCAGCAGAGAAGCGAGCCTCGGATGTGGTTAAGTGGCGGCCAACTTAATACTAGTGCCCCCGTCCTCGTATGCCCGTTGCTGGGGGGGAGTGGGTGGCAAGTTGCAGGCGCAAATCTGGTTAACTGTACGGACCAAGAAGTCGGGGCTGTTTTACGTTGCGTGTAAGTCAACCGATATTGATGGAACCAGCCTCTACATACTAAGATCGCCGTACATATTAGTTCGTCACGTGCTTTGAGCAACGCGTTCGCCGTTGGACACGCCTCTCTCTTTCTGCTCAAGTGGTCTGTTTCAGCTGAAGACTCACATGATAGAAGTTTGGGAGTCGAATTTTTTATGTAATTAATTTCAACAGAAGTAGTTGATCACGATCGATCGAGTCTCGCACGTTCCCGGACCCGAACAGGAACCAACTTGATCTCCGGATGCCCGGAGGTACCCGGCCGCGGCTTTGTTTTTGTCACCAGGAGGCTCTTGTACTTCAATATTGTGCAATGTGGCTGCCTCGCGCTGTCATCAGCTCAATCATCTTTTTCTTCTCTTGTCCTGCCAGCCTGTTGCGCTTATGATATCTGATCAACTACCTGATGACCATGATGTTGTCTTTTCGCATACTTTTTGAGGTCACCATCAGCAGTATCAAATGTGTGGTTGGCCGTTGACTACTATTGCTCAACAGATTCCCACTGGAATCCTCTTACTTGCTTTCGTTCAGAGTCTGTGGCATTTTATCGACCGTTGACTCTTGCGAATTGAGATCGAGATCGTTCTATTCCAGTGAATGCTTCTGATTTGTGCCATTAGTACTCCGCGACCTGTGACATGTATTTGTGCACTGCAGCTTGTGGCCATAATCTTTTTGTTTTAAGCATCGTCACCAGCGAATACACATCTAGCGCAACTTATCGGACTTGAAAATCAAACGTTACGAAGGGAATTCGCTTGTTATCAATTCCTTATGGACGGACAGAAAGGCAGTCGTCTACATGAGCCTTAAAGACGTTTCTCTGAAAATCTACCTTTTCAGTGTTAGTACGTCCTCATCAACATTAACCATTAAAGGCCATTTAATGTTCTCCGAACCCCGTCTCCGCAGACAAGCCTGACTATGTCACGGTAACGAAGAGGGAAATGTCCGTCCTCTTTCCTAGTCTCTTTGTACTCTACATGAATTGCTTCATTTATAGTCTCGAAGTCTGCTATAGATGATTCAATTTTTCGTACTACATCACTTGAAATAAAACAAGCACAATGAGATAACGGGTCTAAGGGTGCAAGCAGGGCTGTTGAGCATTCAACAGCGTTCAACCTGCCGGTTGATATCCTATACCTGTCCTGTTATCCCGCGAACTTTGGTTTTGCCGAAGCCATGATGCATGACAGTTGGTACACTCACACCGCAGTAAGATGATGTTTGACTATGCACATCATAAACCACTATGTTACAAAATCAACCCTCCTTAGTAACTAGCTCAGTGCAGGAGATCTGCCCACGGGTCGCCAATATGAAGAACGACAACAGAGACTAGCACTGTTCCTTTTGCGCCAATGCTTCTCCAAATACTTGAGGCTCCAGTTATCGGTTTCTCCGGGGTTAGCATCAACGTACTGGCGTTTCGCAAGGTTGGGAAGATTAGTGCTGATACTGTTCCTATGCCTTAGGTCAGCCGGGGGACAGCTCCTGCGTCCTTATCCATGGCGGTGTGCCTGGAAGGTACTTTCTGTGGAAAGCCAGCCATGAAGTGAGGACACGTTGAACGCCTGGAACTGGCGCGAGTAGCAGATCAGGCACGCTGAGTTTGTTTGATAAACCTGTGCAAGATACTTTCTGTGGAATGTTCGCAGTGATCTGAGGACCCACAACTAGTGGTACAGGAACTTGGTCAGGTGATCCTACTTTATTTGATAACAGACAAAACGAGCGCACTTGTCATACAGCAAGTTGCAATTGCAGTATTTATCAAGGGTGTTCGAACAGGTTTGTGAAGTTAGCTTGGTCTACTTGCTATCCATTGTGTTGCGTTCGAAGAAGCCGGGACCTGAGCCGAAGCCTTCACTTTGGAGTACGGTTGCAGTCACGTAACCTGATGTAAGTACAAGACATGATGAGCAACCATACTTACATTCAACCCTTCAGATAGTCCAGTAGATGAGACAGACATACAACGTAATAATCGACGGCAGGCAACAGCACATCCGTAAGATCGGAACCATCAGACCATCTCTAGTAGGCAAACGGACCATACAAGGCTGTCCTCCTAACATACACACGTATTGCAAAACCTATAATGCAATGAAAACATCAGCCGCTCCCACCGGTGATGGCAGGTAAGCTGCTTACTTCCATTTTTCTGCGTGCCATCCGACACTGCTGTTTTACGTTCCCATCATTTTGGCATCCGCAGAGCGTTGCATCTGAACATGAAGGAATGCCCTTTGGGGAAGGCGTCAACCCAATCACTGGCCTGCCTCGGGCCCTCAGTTATCTTTGTTTCTGGTTATGATTTGGGGTGCAAACAACCTGCTGTGCAGAGGGGCGCCAATCCCGCACTGGCGTTGCCCAAAACACATCGGGGCTAGCCGAAACAGGCGGTAGTACGTCCATGATCACAGCCTTACTCATTAAACTTTAGCGATGGTGTCTAACCCAAGACCAGGAATATATGATCAACCAAGCCGCCGACCTCATCTTTGGTACGATAGATGCGCTTGAGAGGTCAACGCAGGTAAGTTCACCAGATGCGAAATATGGCGTGGAATAGAATGTTTCGTCGAAGTCAGCGGAGATACGAATGTTCGGTCACCGTGAAGTGAGCCCCTGGTTGACGCTGGACATAGCCAGGTGTGCACATTGAGCGACGAAAAATTGACCTAGATGAACGGTTGAGTCTCCAAAGAAATTTGGGTACGGCTCGGGTACCGGAAAGGGCAAGGAGGACGGTGCGAGGGCAAGAACCAGAAAATGAACCGCCATAAAGTCCAAGGCCCTGAAGCCTAGGTATGCGAGTGACTCCTTCGCATAGCATGAGCACGTCTGCTGTGACGTCGGCCTTCATCGGCCCTTGGACTAGAGTACTTAACCTCATCAAGGACGCGACACAGCGCAACTGGGCAATCCGTATATTAACTTGATCGCCAATGCACTTGAAGACACAGAGCGGATAGTTATAAATAAACACACTGTCTGTCAATACCAGGTCCATGTGATATACAAAGTTCTGAACCATGTGCCACGACCATATTAGAAAATTGCTCTGATCAAACCACCACCGATGGCAGCACCTGTAAGGACATGTTAATCGACTTGCATTCCTCCATGATAGACTCCTTACCAGCACCAAACCCAGCGCCTCCTGCGGCTGAATGGGCCATCTGAGTAACCAAACCTGTATCAACCAATGACCCTGGTTTAAGGCGAAAGAACATACCGTGTTACCGTACTTTCCGTATTTACTCTTCTTTTCTGCCTGACCAGATGCTTCCTGCAGACCAACAGAGTTGACGCCTACACCCGCGGCGGGGGGCTTATCAGTCCCATGCAGAGCGGCGCCAAATGCCCTGTACGGTTTCTTTGTTGTCGTCGCAACTGCTTGGGGAATGGTAGAAGCATCCACGCTCTCGACATGATTAGACGGGAATAGAGCCTCCCGACCACGTGCGCGACCAAGCCACCAATCTTCGTTCTTCTCCGAGACGACTTCGATGAGTTCGCCAGCAGCGAACGAGAGATCATTTGGTTCCTGGTGGCAAAAGTAAATACTGCACACTGGATACTGGGTGGCGGAAAACTTACTGCCCCGTTCTCGTTGTATGCCCAGATAGCTTTCGCGAGTCTAGGTTGCTTGGAGGAAATAGGCGATATCGGGGGTGTTTGCATAGGTGGAGACGGGATTGCTCTCCCTCTAGGCATGTCTGTCGGAGGCGGGATAGCTCTAGTCATAACTGCTGGATCGATAACATTAAAGTTGGTGGTCACAACCGACTGGCCTGCGCCGCCGGGCAGGCGTGATATTATTTCACGCATGCTGTCGGCGTCTTCAGCAGACATGTAGTTCTGAGACTCCAGGAAGGAGATATTGAGCTGCAATTGCATCGCGACATGGGCGAGCAGTACGGCGGACTGAGCATCGTGTGGGACTGCCATTATGTTTCGTTGAAAGAGAGATAGTGGTAGTTCTGATGGAAGGGGTGAGTGTGTGACTGGCTGTGTATTTGACATTGGGCGTGCATGTGATGCAGGCACGTAGTACGCGCACGGTTCAGGACGCCAGCGAACAATTCAACTGCAAAGATGTCTACTTAGACTTCTGGTAGATGATTACATGATAACCTGGCTCACAACCTCAGCTACTTGGTCGTTTGAAGCGACGACTACTACCGGGTCCGTGACAACAAAGTCATTAGAAGGGCACGTGACTCAGTCAGTCTTTCTTAAATCGCCCATTGAAGCACTCCTCTTTCCTGTATTCCCATTTATCCAGGCCAAGTAGAATTTTGTGAACGTATCCGAGCGAGCAAAAGGATTTCTGATTAGCTTTCCATGTCAAATATCTCACAAATTCAGCCTACAGTCCCTCCTCCCGTTCAAACAACGTCATCTGAGCCGGGGGAGAAGGATGCCGATGTGCGCTCATCTTTCAGTTGTTACATTGCATTCTTTAACTGTTCATCATTTAGTTTCTCGTTCTTCGACAACTGAATAAGCGCGCTCGTGTTCGCCTTTCCCAAGAACCCATAAACCTTTCGCCCATCCCAGGCAGGGCCTCCTTATTCGCGGTCGCAAACTCTCGAGGATGGTTTGCAGCAGTGGGCCGAGATTCCAATTCTGGGACAAGTATGTATCAATACCACACGCCTCGCAATCATTGCTGATTTGCGTATTTATAGTCCTTGTGCTGTCGCCACTCAGCGATCTTCGCTCAGCATTTTCTACCGCCAACGATACGGATGACCGACCGTGTCAACCTCAAAGGAAAGTTTCCTTGGGTGCTGCCACTCCAAATATTGTTGTATTTGCATCCAATGACTCCAGACTCGTCGTTGGGCTTGCTGAGGGGTCGATTATGGTTTACGCCACAGAACACCTATTCTCCCCTGGAGACAGTCCCGTCAATCCTATTTACTCACTTCCTGCTGTGCCTTCAGCTTTCGTCGTTTCAATATGTCCGAACACGGGAGATCTTCCAGAACTTGTGGCTATCTTACGGGACTCCCAAGCTGGCTCAAACGGATTAGCAGTAGAGCTTCTCGACGTCCAAAAGCTTACAACCGTGGGAGGTTGGGTAGCAGGGAATTTACCAAATACCATTCCCGCATCAAGTACGTGTCTTCTTTCGATGTCATGTTGATATTTTGACCATTATACAGTATCCTGGTCTCCCAAGGGCAAGCAGCTTGCGCTGGGTATGAGAAGTGGTTCCATCGTCACATATGCACCCACTTCTACCTCCGTCCCAAAGTCCAGCATTCCAAGCCCACCTTCAGCATCTAATGCCTGCGTCATATCAACGACTTGGCTATCTGCCTCGTCTTTCCATGCGATCTACGCACAGCTGCCTCTCAACCCAGAAGTCGAACAAACTCACTTCCACGTCTCTCTTGATGGCAAAACTAATTCCGCGCAAGACTTGAAATTCTCCTCTCCATATTATCCTTCGCCTGGGTTGCGGCCACCTGGTGCATTCATCGTATGTTTGCGTGGGTGGGACCCCGCAAAAATATTGTTATTTATGGGAGACAGTACTTCGTCAGACATTGGGGTGGTTGGATGTGTAGAAGAGAATTGGTCGAATCTGTCGCTTGAGGAAACGTCGACGCCAAGCCTCCCGTTAGACAAGGACATGAACGACACCGTCCTCGTCGGTCTCGAGCTTGATCTAACTAGCACTGAGCCGTTCCACCACACAAGCGCGTCTGGGGAGGGTGTCCAGTTACCACCTTCACCTATCATGTATGCGTACGCATCAGACGGGACATTAGCAGGTTGGCATGTCCTCAACAGCAAGGGAACACCTTACCCGGGCATGGTAACCCAGTCCTCTGGAGCGATGATGGAGAGTGCTCAGACACTGTCAGCTGTGCCAACCGCGATAATGCGGGAGCCGTCCAACGACATGCACGCGTCTCCTATTGAACCCACTCCACCCTCTGCCAGCGCGTCAACTTTCGCCCAGACAGCCTCTGATTTTGGCCAGTCGTCTGCGTTCGGGAAACAGCCTTCATTTGGACAATCATCGTTTGGACAGCAACTGGGATCTCCCTTTGGTCAGACATCAACAACCAATGCTTTCGGCCAGCAAACTACATCTGCGTTTGGACAGTCGTCACCAACTTCAGCATTTACTCAGCCCTCTTTCGGTCAGTCATCATTTGGCCAGTCATCATTCGGACAACCCGCACCTACATTTGGGTCCGCTGCTCCATCAGCCTCGCTATTTGCTCAAGCTGGGAAGTCTGCTTTCGACACCACGCCTACTTCAGGAGGGTTTGGGGCATTTAGCACTATTGGACCCTCGAAGTTCGGACAGACAGAGTTCGGGTTTGGAGGAGCACAACCTATTGCGCCTTCGCAGAGTGCACCAACATCAGCACCTGCAGAAGATAGTATGGCTGCAGATGATACACCCGGCTTTGGTGGGCTCTCACTCGGTGGCGGTAACCCTGCTCCTCAGAGTGCTGATTCAAGGCCCTCCATTTTTGGGAGCGCAGCTACATCTCAATCTTCTCCTACAAGTGATTCAGCCGGAGGCGGACTTATCAAGCCTGCAACCGGCTTCGGAGCTCTCGGTAATGGAGGCCAGCAAAAGAGTCCATTTAGTGCGTTCGGTGGTGCACCAACTACATCGGCATTCGGAGGCAGTGCCCCAGCAACTACCTCGGCGTTTGGATCTGCTACTACACCTACTTCTGCATTCGGGAAGACCGGATTTGGAGTCACATCTGACTCTAGCTTTGGGAAGAGTACATTTGGACAGTCTGGGTTCGGACAATCCAGCTTTGGACCGTCGACTTTCGGCAAACCGGCCTTCGGATCAGCCACAAATGCTGCACAAACGCCAGCACCTACTTCCGGAGGCTTTGCCGCATTTGCAACAGGTGCCCCAAATGCTTTCGGAGCTATCACTTCCAATACAGGTGCTCAGAAGCCTGTATGGGGTAGTGCAACCAATGCTGCAAAACCCGATGCACCAACGCCTACCCAGGGAATTAACGTTCCACGTGAAACATCTGTGCCGCGCGACGAAAGCCGGTCTCCTTCCCCTGTCACGCAGAGAGGTGAAGAGATCGAGTCTGGATTCAAGAGCTCTGCGCCAGCTCCAACTATAGGTGCCTTCAGTCATTTGAAGTCATCTCCATCTTCATTCTCGATGAAACCCTCCTCTGGATTCGGACTGGGAGAACTACCGAAAGACTCTCCGTTTTACAAGCCGGCGCCAGCACAGCCACCTGTCTCTGCGTTTGCTCTGGCGGCAAGTACCCCTTCGACACCGCCAAAACCTACTACCGGGGCTCCTGCCTTCGGCCAGTCGTCGATGCCTGGCGCTGTAACGAAAAGTCCCTTTGGGACCATGACGCCCAGTCCCCCGGCTCCTACATTTGGTGCGTCATCCATGCCAGGAGGAGCGTTCAAGAGCCCATCCAGCCCACTTCAATCAGCTTTCTCGACACCTTCAACGGGCGGTTTTAGTGCTTTTGCATCAGGCGGAGGTGGAGGTTTCAGCGCATTTACGGGTGCACCAAAGTCATTTGGCGAGCTGCTGAAGAGCACTGGTGACGAGGCCAAGGAACGCCCGAAGACGGAATCTGTCAATGTATTTTCCGTACGCAATGCCGAGCCTGAGACGCCTGCTAAAGAGGTTACGAATGTCAAGGTAGAAGAGCCGCTCACGCCTACTACGCCGGTTGCAAAGGTGGAAGCTGTCAAGGAAGAGGAAACGCCAATTAGGACAACTACTCCGCCGCTTCCCGTGGTCGAGGAGAAAGCGCAGGAGGCGAAAGGCATTGACAAGGCATTGCCTCACGAACCTTCCTTGGAATCTATCTCTTCTTCGACAGCCTCATCCTTCGTTGATGTTTCTGCTGAAGATGCTGCTGAGGATGATGCGGACTCGACTGTTGAAGAATCTGATGAGGATGGGGAGCTCGAGGACGACACGAAGTCATTTATTTCTGATGAAGAATCGGAAGAGTCGGAAGAGTCTGAAGAATCTGAAGTGCCAGACGAACATGACGAGCACGACGAGCCGGAAGAGGAACGGGAGGAAGAACGGGAAGAAGAACAGGAGGAGCTTGAGGAAGAGTGGGAAGACCAGGAAAAACAGCCGGAAGAGCATAAGGAAGAGAAAAAAGAAGGCGATATACACCAGGAGGAGCCGGAAGTGCAGACGCAAGAAGAGGAGCCTGAGCCAACAGTGGTTCCTTCTTCCATCCCATCGCCTGCTGCCAGGTCTCGATCGACTACCCCAAAAGCGGAGTTACCGACTATTACATTGTCAACTTCGCCTTCCCCTCCGCCTCGAAAGATATCTCCAGTTAGGGACCAGAGTACAACACCACCTGGATCTCCCGTACCTGAGGCTCAACACACTATACCTCCCGTGGTTTCGCCTCTTCCAAAGCCTCCTGCCTCCTCCCCATTCGCTATAACTCCCAGGACGACGGGTACTCGACCGGTCAAAAGCTCACCTCTTGCAAATGCCCCCCTCACTGGAGACGTGGAAGCTCCCATTTTCTCACCCCAAGCGAAATCAGCACCTCCGACTATGGTACCGCATCCTGCCTCACCGAGGCCGCAATTCGGCTCATGGGTACCCCCAGTGAAGCAAGACGCAGAATCTGATTCTTCTCGGCCCAAAACACCCCCAGTTCTGTTCGGCAAGAGTGCGAGCGCGCCAGCCATCACGGCGCTGCCTATACCACCAGCGTTTACACTACCACCAAAGCCCGTGTTGACTACCACACTACCTGCACCGCCTAGCATCTTCGGCGCTCCCGCTACTGCACCGTCCACTATCGGTGCCCCAGCTATTGCACCACCTAGCATCTTCGGCGCTGTAGCTCCAACTCAATCTCGGACTCCAACCCCACCAGTCTTTACACCCCCTCCAGTGGGTTTCTTTGGTTTTTCAAAGCCGAGCGAGAGTCCCAGTCCTGCGTCTCCCAGTATCTTCGGCACGCCAGTCAAGACACCGGAAGCGCCTCCTGCTCTTACTCCTCCGCCTCCTGGCGTTTTCAGTAGTTTCAAGCCACCTGGGGCTGTACCCGCTGTTCCCATCTCTCTGTCTCCAGGCCCGGTGCTACCTGCAATTCCCCCTCCTTCTATATCTCCACCAGCTCCGCCTATCGAACAAGGCATGCAGTCTGAGTGCTCGTTTATGGTCTCACGTCTAACTTGGGAACTCGACAACGTAAGTCTCTGATACACAGATTCAAACGGAAGGCTTACCCTTTGGTCAGCTAAAAACTATGGCAGCGCGTGCAACACAGCAAACAGCCGAACTCGGGTCAAAGAAAACACTAGGACAATCTCATGTAAAAGCAGACCTTGCAGATGCAACGAAATGGGCGCCTGGAGACATCAAGGAGTATGGTCGCGTGATGACTGAAGTCCAGGGCGACATCAAAGAGATAAAGGAGCAACGGAAGCTTCTTAAACAATCGCTCAAGGAGCTTGAGAGTAGTATGCTGAAAGGTCAGTCGTTCGTGCTGAGATTGCGATCATCAGTGTCTAATGCATGGTATACAGCGGGAACGAGAAAGGAGGAAATTATTCGATTTACTCGAGCTCAGACGGACAGTGAATTTGCGAAGATGCTCAAGATCAGAACCCTTGGACCGGAATATCTGGAAACTCAGTCGCAACTACGGAGGGATATAAGGGTACAGTTCTCTCTGATTGACAGGATAATATGCTGATTTCGTGGACAGACAATGAGGGACCGTGTGCAAAAGCTCGAGGACCATCTGCAATCCTCTAAAAAGAAGCTTGCTGAGCTAAAGGCAGGCAAACCAAGCTTAAAGTTCGTTGTCCCATCCTACAACCCCCGTCAACGTCTCATATTTTGGTTACAGGGCACCGTCTTTGGATACCGTGAACCGCACCTTCCGCAACATTGATATCTCAATCACGCAACAAGGCGGGGATGTTGCCAAGCTCCAGCAGCGAATGAGCAAGTTGGACATATCCTCTAATGGCCTTGGTTCACGAGACAAACGCTTAGAATCAAGTGTTAAGAAGCCATCGGCCGTGATTCCCCATGTAGCGGTTACCACGGCTGCTGCATTGAATGCCGAACGCTCTGCGCAGAAGTTAAACGGGCTCTGCTGGCGGTAAGGAAGGAGCCCTTGCTTAACAACAAGGCAGCATCCAAACCCGCGCCTACGTCATTCCTGACGCCAAGCAGAGCAGCAGTGAAGCAAGAGCCCAATACACCTACTCCTCTTGGTTTCATTTCCCTTCCTAGCAGCGCCTTGCCTGCGTTCAACACCCCTACATTTACGAAAGGCGGATGGTCGCCAGAAACGTCCATCAATTATGACGATTCTACGTCTTACATAGCTTCCTCTTCGCGTCGCCCACAGCGAACACCAAGACATGGGTCTTCAGCTAAATCGGCGGCCATGCTGAAGTCGGAGAGTCTTGAAGCTTCTCCAACGCCCGCACCAAAAGCCCCCGCTGCTGTATTTGACTGGGGACCATTACCAATTGTCGCACCAAAAAACAACATTGTCTGCTGATGTTCGGCCCAAGGGTTTCAAGTCGTAAATAAAGACTGATATGATTTGTTGATTCAAATAGTCATGTACTGGATGTCTCGATTATGCGTCGATCCTTCGTTGGTGAAATATATACTTTTGTTCTTGCTGTGTGTTTAAGATCCAGAATCAACGTCCAGATCAATGTCCTCCATCGCCTTCGCTTTCAACATCTTCGCCAGCGCCGTTGACGCCATTCTTGCCTGGATGATATGGATCATCGATGATCGACTCCAAATGCTCGAGAGCCGCCTGCGTGAGGTGTCTAGTACGGTGCATAACGACTGTTGTTGACGAAATCACTGCGCACCCGGCCAACCTCACTAAGCTCTTCGCCTTCTTCGCCCGTAAACGTCTCAAAGGCGCTCTCGTCCATAAATGTTTCGTCCAAGTCGTCATCATCTGAAACATTTGGATCTGGGTGGAGGGAAGCACAGAGGGACATTGCCTCAAATATCGGCTCCACTGATCAGATAACTACTATCAGCATGTGTGACGCATGTCAATCTCAGAAAACTTACGAGAAGCAGGGTTTGACGGGATGATGCTCAGCTCTCGCATGTCGGAGGGCTTCATCATTTTCAGGTGACTCAGTTGCTCCAGGTTCTCCAGCGAGCTCGTCTAGTTGACAATATATCGATGGTCCAGATTCTGGACGCGCAATTGCGTGAAGGGTGATGGCAGGGTACGGGACCTGAAATCCAACCCCGGTCGATGACATGAAAACAAGGGCGCTGTGAGGGGCAGAATATCAGAATGAAACGATGATTGGCTATTGATCAATATAACTACCTCTCGATCACGAATAATGTTCCATTTGCGCAATCTTGTTCGGTGAATGTATGGAGGGGAGGATCAAGCACAACGCGTACATTGTCCTCCTTGTGGCGCAGCACGGGAGGGATGTCATTGAACGATTGAGGAGTCGATCCTACGATATTTCTGTGCTCCTCAGAGGAGACATATTGTGGGACAGTTGAGATCAACGTCGTGGAGACCATCGTGTGTGCCAGTAGATCCGATTCACCAGCTTGAATCTTGATAGGCTTGTGAAAACTCGGGGATTGCCGCTTATGATCTTATTTATAGGTCCTGCCGCAACCCTAGACCACGCTCCTTCTTCATGCACCCTCTCTGAGGTCCCTTTTGGTCGCTGGACCATTGAACGTTGAACCATGACAGCTAACACTATTGGTCAGACTGCGAGCTCAGGTGTCATTATATCGGCGGCCCTCAAAGCGTATGGAAAGCCAACAGGAGTGCATGAAATCGTAAGTTGTATCTTTTACTTGATCGTACAATACCAGCTCGCTCTTGACACATCGAAATGTTCTTTAGCAAAAGGGCGATTGATGGGTGTCATTGACCAGCAAAAATCCAGTGCTGGTCAGGGTGAGCAAGAGGGGGAAGAGCAGACGGGAGCCTGAGCCAACAGTGGTTCCTTTCCGTCCAGGCGCCTGCTGCGATGTCTCGAGCAACCACTTGTAATGGTCGATCGATACATAGCACCAGAACACCTGGATCTCTGGTACTTGAGTCTCAACGTGCTACCTCCTTGCCACCTCCGCCTAAATCATTCTCGACGCCGAGCAGGGCAGCAGTGTAAACGAGCCTGATGCACCTACTCCTGTCACTTTCACCCTCCTTCCTAGTAGTGCTTTGCCTGCGTCATCACCCCCACTCCAGTCCCTCTCTCCGATGCGCAGTACTTGACCTTCGAACAGATGCTTCTGTACATAGTTAATTGTACACGGCTCTCGAGAAAGTGCGGAATCGTCATGACATTTGGACGTTTTTTCCATGTCGTTCACTCTTTACTACTACAGACTCGGAAGATAAGAAATGAATGCTTCAGGCGATCAGACCGCTTGTTATGTTTGTAACAATATCCAACTGGTCCCATCATTCTAGCCCATACTCAAGCAATTCTTCCGTTCAACGCGTGTCCTCCTCCTGGCCAGATCTTGATGGGCTTTGGCGCACCATCTGTATGGTCCAGCCTCATGTTATCGTGCTCGTTCCACCCCCACTCCCGAATTTCTATGTCCGACGAGTCAGAGGGAGAGATCGCTGCCATCACACGTTCGCTACCACAAGCAAAGGATCTCAGTGAAGGCAATTTGCCATCGTGGGATAAGGTAAATTCGACAGGATCGACAATGACCCCGTTCTCCCCGACTTGCGACTGCCGACCTAGTTGACCATGGGCATTACTTCCCGTCGATAGAAGGGTATTTTCATCGTTGTCTCTGAGAAGGAATGTCCTGTATGTGCACCCAACCTATCGAATATGCCCTCAAGAATCCATCCTATGAAGTTGTCCTTCTTCAAGTTGTTAGATCCAAAGGCTGTTGTCCGCCCTGATTGGTGGCAGACGACGGTGTGTTGGAGGGCGATATGAGGGCGGTCACAGTTCACGATCTTCGTGTCTCCTAGTTGGCCATGTCTGGCAAAACTCCAGCCAATGAGCGTATGCTCATTATTAAGAACGGCTCGCACATGAAGTACGACATGACAAGGTCCTGCAACAAGAGACTTGACAACAAGCTCACTAAGATTGATAGAGCGTCCCTCGATAGTGGGGTGATCAAATGAAATGATTGCTGGAGTTGCCGTAGTTTGTTTTGTGCCCACGTCGAGTGCCCCAGAGTCATTCGAACTCGTCAGACGACCACGTCTGGTCGGGAAGGCAATTTCGAAACCGAGATATGATGTCTCCCCAGCGGCAGTGATAAGACAACGGGTATATCCTTGGGAAGCATAATTGATCGACGTGAATTCTGTCAACTGTCAGGACTAGCTGCCCTTTGCATCCGTCTCCACACACCCAAAGCTCCCTTCGGTCGTCACCAAACTCCAACAATGCGAGTGTGGTTTGCTCCAGTAGCAAGCTGCAAGATCCCGAGCGTATTGAGAGGAAGCGTGCCCTCTATGCAGCTTATGGGGTACTTTTTAAAAGTATGTGAATCGTGATCAGAACCATTAGCTAGCTGATCACGAGCGTTGGAGCCAGCAGCTGGGAGACGTAGGTAGGGTTCAAGAATGGGCACGATGTAAGACTTGATCGCGATCACTAAAAGGAACTGTCAACTGATGATCAATCTAAATCAATTCCGTCGTGCACGTATATGGATATACCAGTCCTTTACCAGACTCCTGCAGGTATATCAAATGTTGTGGATGTCGAATACAAATGACTTGAGGTAAGTGCCACATGCGCGCGCGACATATGTGAGAAGCAAAAGAAATACATGGCACAAGTGAGAAAATCAGGCGCTCGAATAACCAGATGCAAGTCAGGTAAATTCATAGTGGGAGAAAAGGAGCTCGATTGGGGAGTCGGAGATTGTCAGTTTTCCAAAGGGTTACCACACATCGGCGTATAGGTGGCTGGACGTTTGGATCAGCCCTCTTCCCACTAACGTAGGAGTCGGGGATTGTTCAAGTTTAGCCTGAAGGTATATTTCATTGGAGACGCGTACATGAACTTGAGAAGTTCAAACCCCGCTTCATGAACCGCGGTTGCGCGCCCGGAGACACAGATGGGCCCCTGCCCCAGACTGGCGGTAACTATGACTTTCACAATCTGCCCCATCTGTGACGGGACTAAGATGGACGCGGGCCACGGTGGTCGCTGATCAAACGAAGATTTGAATATTCAACTTTATGTAAACTTCATCAATCACCTGCTCTTTACGTATGATAAAGTGCTTGTCGGAAATTCCTAATTTTGGTTGGCATATCTTAAAATAGCGTGCAAGGTCCCAATTTGTCAGTGGCATTGCGGTCCGGTTGCAAGGGATCCCGAAAATTATGGAAGCTGCTTGCAAGCGATACAGACATTCTTCCAAGACGGTCCCAAGACCATTCCAACGCAAGGTCACGATTTTGAAAACAACTGAAAACACCCCTCATTGGAAGGTCATTGCAAGTCACATGATATCATTCCAAGCATTTCGAGGACTTGTAAGGACGGTCTGATTCTTTTAAGGTAGCGATTTGAATTACAAGTTGTACAAATTACTAAATACCGATTTTCTGATGTTTCGTACCTTCTACTGGGGCATTGCACCAGGTCAAAACCTTCAAAAGCGGCTCTAAATCCTGCAGAAGAATCACGTCAAGTACAATAAATGTGAATAGATAGACAAGCTCACCTCTAATAGACCGACATGAGACACAGGGCATTCACGGCGAGAGTGATATGCACCGTTTCAGCGTCAAGTACATAAACGGAATCGGTACCGGCTATTGATAGGACTCCCCAGTCAGCCTGGTGCCGTTTGTTTGAGGAAATGGGAGTGGCAGTGGCGGAGGATGTAGATGAGAGACATCTGATGGTGAATAGTGATTCATTGCTTTGTCGATGGGCCAATGAGGCAAGCTATCAATATGCATAATGTCAGTACTAAGCTTGGCTGAAGAGTTCAACAATTCAAACGCACCTCAATGTCAGGTTCAGATGTCATGCTGATTGTTGGGTGGCTAGGGTGTCGCTACCACTGAGGAGTTTTATTAAATTGGAGAGAAGCTAGAGAGATTCTGGAGATGGAATTCTAAGACAAACGAGAGATGATTGTGGTTGAAGCGAAGTGTTGCAAGCCTAAGCGAAGACAAACTTCAACATTTGTTTGGCCTTGTATTAATATATCCATTAATGGAAGTTCCTTCTGTCATCAGACACGTCGTTGAAATCACATTTGAAGTCCATACACAGTCGACAAAAGCATGTAGTTTGATAGAAAGTCTGTACTAATGTAAGCTAATTTTGGTGATAGAGCGGTGAGGATGCTTCATTTGCCCTTCCGGCCTGACTGCCTTACAACAACAGCTTCATCTTCACCCTCCGCAGTTGTCTTGCCTTTGCGCCGTGCCTTCGGTTTTGCGCGTGCTTTAGTTGGAGCAGGAAGGTCAGATTCAGCAAGATCCTGATGCCTAAGATTGAGTTCATCCATTGCAGTAGTGATAGATTCTGAACTTCGAGCCATATTGATGACAGGAGGAGCTGTTACTACAGGGGGAGCTGCAATAGGGGGAGCTGCAACAGCTTGAGGGGGAGCCGAAATTGAGGGAGCTGGAATTGAGGGAGCTGAAGTATGGTGAGACACAGGTAGTAGCTCATTGACTTGGACATTACCGCTATTAGTATTGTCATTAGCATGTCGTGACGGGATTGGTGGTGTGCTGTCATCAACAACCGGTTCTTCTAGTTCATCTTCTATTGCGCGATTGAAGTCTTCTTCCCATGTGTGACCCAGTCCATCATCATTGAGAGCAGTAGAAGGGGGAACATAAGACGAAGTTCCTGAGAAAAGGGCATCATTGAAGAATGTGATGACCTGGTGCGCCCAGGCACCTCCAGTCAGTAAACGCTGATGGTAGAAGTTGTGGTATTCGCGGTACGGAATCTTCGTAGTGTCACCAATTTCAGTGAGTTCTGCATCACCAGAGAGTAGGAAGATTGCCTTGTATGAGAATAAGTCACGACTCTAACAACCACACAAAACTGATTTGGACTCACCACGACAGCAGCAGCAGCAATCATACCTGGCGTTATAGCTCGCAATTTCCAGATCTTGGCTTTTGTCCTAGAAGACGCAGCGCCTGTAGGTTGCCAATGACGACTTGCCGAAGAGCGATACTTTCAAGACCTATAATCATATATGAGTGTGTTAGCCCATATTGAAGTATCGAGCAAAAAGAGATGTACCTGCACAAGCTTTGCAGTTTTCAACAACTGATGCGGGTACTGGATTATCAGGTCTAGGAAAAAGCACAGGTGCGAACTTTGTGTACTCTCCATGGGGACTCAGTAGAAGAGGGCGACAGTTAGGGTCTTCATTTCGTTTGTAGCCTCGTATGAAGATGCTCGCGTTGAGACCAAAGATTGCACTTGCGCATGATTTGACGTCAGATGCCATTTCGGAATGAGCGTTGCTGACGCCCCTACCAAACTATTACATTGATTGTCATTAAATGATTGGAATGTAAGAATGGATAGGCATACCTGAGATCCGAAGTTTTGATAGCTCATCAATTCACGTTCTTCTTCAGGAATGAACTTGAAGAGCTCGGCCCTCACACCATCCTCCATCGAGACTCCTGTAAGCCAACGCTCCTTGCTATTGAGGTCGATGTCTGGACAGGTGTGAGCTGACAGCGGGAAAAGTTCGATGTTGATCCAAAGGCAGTGGGTTATCGAGTATTTCCTCCCAAGAGCTCGTATGGTGTCTTCCTTGGCCGCCATCGCAAGATCATTCGAAGTAAGGTTATGACGCTTGTGGCCTTTAGGTACTGCAGCCTCAAGGAGTGCATTCTTCTTTATAGCCTCACAGCATTTACCACGCAAGTCGAGCAATAGTCTCTGTGAGATCTTGAGGGCCTAGTAGTAATAATCTGTGGTAAGAAATGTGAACTTTCTAGCAATACAATGACTTACCTTGCGCAGCTCTTGAGATGTCGCATCTGGAGGTGCAGGAGCAAGCGCAGCGCGGACCTGGATGAGCTCTGCGTCCGAGTCGTCTGAATCAGAATCCGACGAGAACTCTGGATCAGTGCCCGAGCTCAACTCTATAGTTGCTGCGCGACGGTGTGCTGATGGCATGATGGCAGACGACTTCGAGTTGAACTCAGGATAGAGCTGGGAGACTAGGATTATTAGTGTCAGTGATACATCGTGATTATATCAGTCAAAATTCGCTTACCGCTGATACAGACATTTAGGCCTTGAGGGTACCGCATGTTGCAACACGTACAAAACCTGAACATGAGTGATATTAGCTGTGGCATTAGAATGGACCTACTACTTAATGGGGACGCACCATGTAATATGAAGCATGCGACGTCGACAGGGCATCCTTATTACGTCGAAGATGGTAATACAATTGGAGTTTGGTCAGTATATGAGTTGCGGAGGTGAACAAAAAACAGAATCCAAGGCACAATAATAGAGTCCTAGGGTATAGTAAGATGAGAAAGCCGTTGGATAGAGGTGAAGGTGAAATTGATGATACAGATGGGATGGGAGTCTCAGAGTGCCATGTGATAGAGGTGAAGGTGAAATGGATGATACGGAGGAGATGGAGAGTCCAGTGACAAGATGAGCTATGTAGAGTGCTCTTGGTAGAGGTGAAGGTGAAATGGATGATACAGAGAAGATGGAGAGTCCAGTGACGAGACGAGCTATGTAGAGCGCTCTTGGTAGAGGTGAAGGTGAAATGGATGATACAGATGGGACGGGGGAGCGCTGTATGTTAGAGGTGAAGGTGAAATGGATGATGCAGATAGATGGGAGAGCGCTGTGAGATAGAGGTGAAGGTGAAATGGATGATGCAGATGAGATGGGAAGTCCAGTAATGAGCTATGGAGGACGGTCTTGGTAGATGTGAAGGTGAAATGGATGATGCGGATGGGATGGGAGAGTGCTGTGTGATAGAGGTGAAGGTGAAATGGGTGATACAGGTGAGATACAAAGGAGAGTGCTGCTCATATCCTGGCTTGTTATTGCAATAGTCATAAATGTAAATGTTGAACATACCATTAATTAGAACATATATCTCTGCGAACAAAGGAACATGTCAGAGTCCACATAATCAACGAGAAAAAAGTCGCCCCTTGTACTAGCGAAGTCTGGAACAAGTAATGCACCACGAATAACCGAGTGAAGCGTAATAAACTCCGTCGAAGCGAGTGGTCGGGCACAAAGACGTCTCAGTCGCAAATCTTGATCTATAGCGTGTTGTGGGCCTGTCGGAGCATCCATAGGTTGAACTAGGGCGAGATCCAATGTTTGACTGCCAATTGATTGCTTGAACATGAATAAAATGCGAACAAAAATGTTCTTATTATTCCCATCTTTGTCCTGGGTGCGAACAAGGGCACAGTCACGTCGTTCACGGCCATGAAAGCTCGGGTTGCAGCGCAGGTGGTTGGTAGTAAGCTTCCAGTCCACAACAGACTCGTAATTGACTTTGAGATATCAGTGTTCTTGAACCTGGAGACATGTTTGTGAACAACGGCGACTCGTGGGAGTGAAATATGGAGTTACTGACCGTATCTTGTGCTGAAAGCGTCAGCCACGTTTTGCCATCAGGTAATGGTATATTGTATGCAGGTAGAGCGTGATTAAGGAAGGTCGAGAGCTTTTTGCGGAACTGCCCAAAGGCACGGTTGGACACATTGTCGTTTTCAAGCTGTGCAAAGGTTATTGCGGACTGAGGAGCGCCAAGGTGAATATGTCCGCCAAAAGACTGATCATCCAGGTCCTCTGTCTCAAGCTCTCTCTCCGAAAGTATGGCCTTGCGTCGTTCATCATCGAAATGATCGATGCGGTGTCCTGCATGATTTGGGAATCATGCATGGACATGACTACTAGGTATCCCCCTAAAAGACAAAGTCTGTTAGCTTAGTCCTCAGACTAGTCAACCCATACCTTGGTATCAAACCTTGGTCCAATAGTTTCAGTTTTCCCTCAGTGATTCATGAATCCACCATGTTTTGAAGAAAAGTCATATGTGAGATGGGAATCACATAATGACCTAGTTGATATGAGAAGCAAAATGAAGGTTAAGGTATTGCCTTTCATTTGGCTTATTCACTTTGGCTAGAGAAACCCATAGAGAAAAGTTCAAAGCCTAACAAAAACCTATCTAAAAAGCCCGCATATTGTGTACTATTATTTGTTCCATTATTTCTGAGTTGTTTTCTCTAGTGTTTCTTTACTTTACTTTTCTATTAGGATGCTCTGACTGATCAGATGCTTCATAAAATTGTACCTACAGGGTATGATGTCATAATGATGTTATAGGACTTCACCTACACTCCTGCAGGTATTTTGGTTGAAAGATATGATATCATAGTGATGTCATAATGATGTCATGTTCCATGGAATTTGCTAGAACATTCCAATGACTCATAATGACTCATAGTGACTCATAGTGACTCAGAATGATGTCATTATCCCACCATGAATATTCTGGAATGTTCTTTTGCACCTGCTAGAACATTCTGCTCCAGTTTTTGGAATATTCTTCTCACATTCTGAAGTCATTACATCACCTTTTTACTTACATAATATTCCCACACAAAATGTATATAAGGAGAGCCCATTCTCCCCCAAAAAAAATAGATCTCCCACTTGTTGCATTCAAGAACCTCCCTCTTGAGCAAATTGAACTCTCACCTAAGAAGCTTCAGTCTGAACAAATTGCTGCTTACAAAGCCCATTTCCTTTGTAAGAACTGTCCAGGCAAGTGCAGGGAAAGTGTTTCCCTTGAGATTACGTAAGTTTCTCGCGATAGAAACCCAGTTTTGTGAGACCAGTGTTCTCACCACGTAGTGTTTACTGACCAACACGAGCTTTGGTCAACGTTGTTATTTGTGAGACCAGTGTTCTCACCAGGTATTTGTATACTGACCAACACGAGCTTTGGTCATTGTTGTTATTTGTCATTGTTGTTATTTGTCATTGTTTTTTTTATTTGTCATTGTTGTTATTTGTGAGACCAGCATTCTCACCAGGTATTTGTATATTGACCAACACGAGCTTTGGTCCATGTAGTCACATTTGAGACCAGCTTCTCAACAGTTAACCGTATATTCAGGAAACCAGTTCAAGTGTCTAGACGGTATATCCTAGACAATCCCATAGTTTCAATCAGAGATAATAAAGCTCCGGCTAAGTTAATCTGACTGATTGGTTTAGCGAGCCTCCCAAGAACTCACACGTTATCTACCATGAAAGAAGAAAAGTCGTAGACCGTGTTAATCGAGGACTGGCAAGAAGTCTTATCCAGTGTAATTGTGGTGTCATTACATTCTTACACGTATTTATATAAGACCCTCGGTTATTAAGACAGCGGTTGCGGAGGACTACAGAGACAAAGGTTGTGTGGTCAAGCCTGAGTATCTAGATAGCAGGGGTAGTCAACGAGTCAGTTAATGTGAAGTGTGATCAAACATACCTGGTTTGCGATATCTTTGCCATTTGTTTGCAGTTTATAGGCCCTCTTGATCGGCCCATGATGCTTCTCATTTGGCCGCGTACTAAAGTTTCGCGCAGCTCCTTTTGCCCTAATGTCAGAAAATATGTGCCTCATTGAGTGCGCCTTCGGAAAATTCCAGTTTTTTGTCGCTTCGTCACCAAGAACTTCGATATATTGCTGTTTGAAGTATTAGTGTCAAGTAGTGCATAAGTTGGTCTAGATACTAGGACTTACATCTAAGCACTTCTGGAAAACGAGAATCTCGGCCTCCCCAGCTGCAATAGTGCTTTCTGTGTGAACGTCAAATGTTATATACATGTAGGCATGGAGATAGCTGGCTATGCACTTTAGAAGTGCATAACCAGCTTCGTCATCTTTGCGTGTGAGCACGTTCTGTGTTGTATACAATATTTGCTATCAAAACCACAAGAAATATGTCAGTTATAGCTTCAATATGATATAGCGCTCGAAAACGTACCTTAGATATATCCAGGAACTTGTTGCCATCGGAAAAACTGATGTTTGTAACGTGGTCGAAGTGGTTTAGGTTTCGCCATCACGGAAACACAGCGAACCTATAGAATGAACAAAATACAAGACGAGGATGAAATAAGGATGTAAAGAGACTCACTGGTCATCAGTCGTCTTCTCAGCAGTACATCCCAGTGTTTTCAGGTGGGCCTTGACTTCCTCGAACATGTGATCGCCAAACAAACCACTGTCGTAAGCGTGCAAGGTATCTTGCGAGAGTGCGTCATGCAGGCTGGACCGTTCAACAATCCACAAAGAGTTCTGACGGTTATGAGACCATTTAGTTTTGAGAGTGAGAAAGTTGAATGAATCACTCACATCGACAGGCCTTAGACTCTGCTTTTTTAGTGCCGCCTCACCAGCGGTACGGTCCATGTTCCACAATCGGACGCAAGCTTGTGCATCATCAATGACGCGGGTAGGGTATATCATAGAATGGTCGGTGAGCTTGTCCTTCGGGACAAGGCAAATAGGGCAAGGACATGCAGAGTTGAACCCTCATATCAGGGCCATCACACACCTGATAACGTAGTGAGTAACAGAAACAATGTGAAACTACTAATCACGTACTGCTCTTCATAATCGGCCGATAAAATCAGTATTAGTGGAAATAACCAGCATAGAATTCCATCATAGCATTGGTGCGCGAAGCCAGTTTTGGAGATGAGACTGAGGGTTTCAAGGAGAATCGTGAATGATTTGTGCCATACGACCTTTCTTAAATTCGTATAGGACAGCTTGCCATCCTCGTCTGAGTCTGCAGGAACCTGCCACAAGGGCAAAATGATTAAGTGTGAATTGATGTCTTCAAGTATCGCAAAGACTTACTATTGGCAACCAACCCACTAAGCGTCCTCCTCCAGGACCATCAACATTCCTGATTTCAACAGGCAGATTCCCGCAGCGTGCGATTACTGGGTATGCCTTGACAGCACCAGCTGACGAAAGGTGCGTTTTGTCAGCATACAGTATAAATGCGAATGGCGCACCATTATGGGGCAAAGATGTCTTGATTGTACACTTTAATTAGTCACAACGTCATAAGAAAAATGAAAAGCTCACTTGTAAGTCCCACCAGCGGTCTCCTGTCCATGGCTCGTGGAAGAAGCGTTCAAAATCAGTTCCGTCATGTTTGTACAGTCGCTGGGCATCCCAAACGAACTGCGGTGCTAGCAAGGGGTTATCCAAGAGGTCCAATGCCCAGTCCTATAGTGGTCGTGAATATACTTCATACTCGATGTTTTCCTTCTTATACTCAACAGGTACAACATGTCTTTCAAACTGTTACAATATGGTCATATATATATGCAAATGTGACATTATGCTATCGCTCTTACAGGAGTCAGTTGGCTGGATGCCCTCGTCCATGCAGCTGACACGTCATTGTGAGTTTTGAAAGTAAAGTTCGTGCGACCATCCGCAACTCTCCAGATGAACTTGAGTAGTTCATTAATTTGGTCTTTGCTCAAGGCAGCTCGGTGGGTAAGTTCAGCAAACTCGAAGTCTGCACGACAGCTGAAAGGCTGCCATGGCTCGTCATCAATGACAGGTGATTGTGTTGTCTCCGGCTTATTGGTCCCGTAAACGGAAAAGCTCTCGACGATTGGAGCACGACCACTGTGAGGGTGATATTCGGTCTTGAATGTGTCGAGACGATCTGAGGTAGTTGCTGTGGCTACCGAAATTGGAGCGGGAATGTTATTACCCATGCTGATATCAGAATCAGAACCTGAATCATGTTGAGATAGAGTCAAAACAAAACAGAAAGAATATTACATACATAGCCGTGTGTCTTTCCCGACACTTTGCACATCATCGAGGCCTTCAAAACCTGCGTCATCATAATGGTAATGTGAATCCGCTGCGGATGGAGAATCAGCTGCTGAACCAGCCTCTTGAATGACTAGCGTGGTATCTCAGGCAGCCTCATGAGTGCGCCCTTTATTGCTGCGATGTTCTGATGAATCAAAGTTGATGATTTTGAATATAATCAGTGATTGAAGGTAATTTAGACGACATTGAGATGTACTGTGTTTTCCTTCCTTCAAAATTGACCTGGCTGCGGCCCGTGAAAACTCTCTATCCTCTTTCTTCTTTTCCTTCTGTCGCAAGCAGCTTTGTTCGTGTGATTTGAGGCCTCGGGATGTGTACAGTTCATTACAATACTGACAAGCAACCTTGAGAGATGATACCGAAGAGCAGGTGTATTTGCGCCCTCCTGTGGATCTTTGGGGAGCCATTGATGGTAAATAGAAACAGTATAGACAGATGAAATAAGCAAAGGTATCGTTCAGGAAGAAATCATCGATGGATGGAAGATAGGTGGTATGAGATTGAAATCTGACCTTGATAGTGTAAGCCGCTTGCAAGACACAGTTGTTTCCCTGGCAAGTTACCAAAAGAAGGTCACTTTCCTTCCAATATGCTATGAATAGGTCACTTCGCTTTCAATACGCTTTCAATAGGTCACGCTTCCTTGGAAAAGTCTTCCATCACGGATGCAATGCAGTTAAATGACGTCTCAATTTAGAAGCCTTGCAAGGCACCTATGGGAATTTCCGACACTTCACAACCACAGATATGGCGTATTCAGCGCTCAGTTCCTAGATTCGTGATACTTTACAGAATGACACGACGTCGCCGCAGGATAACCCCACAACAAGGCAGAACGGTGCTTGCAGGAGAAGCTCAGAAGACGGACGGCTCTCCGAGTCCAAATGCACCTAAGCCGCAATACCAACATTTCATTCCACGGTTTATATTGCGAAGATTCCAAGTCGGACCTTTGAAGTATGTTTTCAGAGTCCTCTCTCGACCACTTTGCGTGTAGAAACTAGACCAAGACACTGAATGATGTTCTCTGCAGGTCCGAAAATGAATGAGACAGAGAATCTCGACGCACCCGCATTGATCCTGAATGTGTCCACTACTATGATATTGCTACGGGTAACCTTGACATTCGTCCTATTAGAAAGGTTTACGGCGTAGAGAATTTCTACCAGGACGTCCGCAACACCGATAATATCAACGAACTAGAGGAGAAATTAGCAGTCCTCGAAGGTCATGCAGCCAAAATCATCATAAAATTGCATGAAGCGATTCCTCAGGGTACTTTCACTCTGAACCGGAGGTCTCTAGAGCTCCTGCGAAAGTTCCTGTTCATCATGCATTACCGCAATGCATCTTGCTCCGGTATCTACTTTCAAGCAGATCACCCAGAGAACGTGGTAGCCCGTCGGTGGATTGAATCCTTCATGAAGGCGAAGGGTATTCAATCCGCGGCCGAGATATGGCTACACTTCCTCAGATACTACCTCGACGCGTCCCATTCAGACATCATGCAAGATGCTGCAGAACTCGTAGAGAAGTACGGCGAAGAAGGCCTTCAAAAAATGCTCTTTGAATCAGATATCCCACCTGATCTCGAACACTTCCCAGCTTACACTTACCACGTTCACGCAAACAGCGATTTCTTCAGTATCTGGGAAGCCGCGGAAGGGGAAGAATTTATCGTCACGCATAACGCATTTGGTTTGTGGGAAGGTTTGGGGTACGGCTGCCCTGACCTGCACCGCATATTCGTAGTCAGCCCTCGCATTGCTATCGTCCTGCGTCATGTGCAATCGCGTCCAGAAATCATAAAACCGGGGGCGTTCGTGAGCTGCTTGCTCGACGTGAACCCAGCACCACCAACTCCAATTTATTCCCGTGGAGAACACGGTACATACATAAACCACATCAATTTCCAATCCGCGATGGAAGTTGCACGTTACAGATCCTCCCAGAAAGGGGAGAATGACAGTTTTGTGTTCAAGATCACAAAACTGTCGCAACGCCAAACATTGCAGTTCAATTTTGTTGTGCTAATCAACGTGACGACGAAGAAATGCGCTCTGACCTTCCTGACAAGGGGAAGCATGCTCCGCACCGCACGTGCGTTCCGGAGTTCGCTAGCCAATGTCCGGGCGAGCGAGCTGTTCGTTCCGCTCATTACGCAATTGACGAATACCGTGGAGACAGAAGTATCGGCTCTTCGCCCACCATTACAGTCGCCAGCGGTTGTCCTCGACCAGGACGTTGACGCACTTACACTCGTCGATATAGAGCTCTATGTGCTTCTAATGCAGATATGCACAGGTAGCAGGCGGTTCGAAACGGCATATGACAGGGCACATCTAGTCTTTAGAACCATGGAGAAAGCAAAGCCCACTTCGTTTGCAGACGAAATCAGCCGAGAAGTCGAAAAGACTTTCAAGGTCTGTAAAGAGGAGGATGAGGTGTCTCCCGCAGAAGGCGTGAGCTTTACTCCCTTACCCTCTTCGATTTCCAACGAGTCATCTTCCCAACTCTTCCAATTCATGATACCTTGCATGAGCAGACTGGGCGCCTTGATGTCCGGAGGTGAAGGGATTTTGGAAGAGCTCCAAGATGAAGTCGCCGTAGTGAGCTTTCTTGCACGTGCGTCAAGCAGCCCTGGAGCGTGGCATGCGCTCTCGTGTATCAGCCCACAGGCTCCCGAAATCTTATCAAGGCTATTCAAGACAGGCACTTTAACAGATGCATCTGTTAAGATCTTCATGCGGAATATGTACCGCGAGCGGGCTTCACCGTCATCTTTCTCTTCCGGGTTTCACCTGGGATATTCGTTACGAGCAAAGTGCGGGATAGCTGGGCCGACCACCAATCCTATCAGTCAGAGTTACTACCAGTTAACGGCTTCTATGATCCAATGTCTTGGTCGTATAACATTGAGGTCCCTGCCGGAACCGTACGCTTCGCAGCCGCGCGAGAGGCCCGAGGCTCGACTTGTCTACAAGATTCCAGAAGAGCATTCGGACTTACTTTTCTCGATTATGAGGATGATACTGCAAAAATCGCTCCTGGGATATGAGCCGCCGCCAGGAGGGGACACTCTAGACCAGACCCTCAGAAAGTGGGTAGATGAGATGGCCATCGTCGGTTGTCTTGCGTGGTTGGGAAAGCACAGGAGGAATTTTTTGGACTGGGTTCTGGATGGGTTTCCACAGGAATTGGATAAAAATTTCAAGCTGTTTGAAGATGAGGAAACCACTGAGAATACCTGAATGATTCAGTTTGTTCAAATTGATCTTCAGGATCACTTACTGATCTGATGTATCAGTTGTACATATTTTTTTGAATAAAATGAGGACTCATTGATATATCGATTTCCTGACTCACGGCAGTGCAAGTGTCTATACTATTAGTCTCCTGTAGTCAGACCTTGAACTTCGGAAGACAGTCATTCCTTCTTTGACAAGCGGTAATGCTGGCAAGTGTCATCCGACAGTGGTACAAGTAGTGACTAACTTTATCCCTCCTTGCACGTATAGTTCTCGGATAATGTCGTTTGCCTCGTTTGCCAGTCTTAATAGGCTCCCTATGATGTTCGGCCATCAGGACCCTCATACGGCGTGTCGTACACACATCGCCCATACTCGGCATGTTACTTGACAGAAGAATGATCCAGGTAAAATGCACATTATGCCCGCTGTGTGCTTCGTTCAGACGCTTGAGGATGTAAGCTGTGAACACACGAGTCCATTTTGTAGCAAGCGCTAGCATCAGCAAACCCAGGGTCCTCTGTACAACCCTGGACAGTGCTGGACAGAGCCACAGAGCCCACATAGAGGGTTCTCTCTGTGCAGCTCTGTACAGAGTCGTACAGTGTAATGTATGATACTGTACAGAGCTGCACAGAGCGGTACAGAGTGTTAGCTACACTGAGCAAAACAATACAGAGCATTGGGTAGGCCAGACAGGAATACTGCAGAATGCTCACAGCATCACTACAGAAAGTGCACAGTAATTGAAACCAAACAAATCATGATGTCATTGCGTCATACTACAATCAGGTATCCTACAAAAATGCTAAAAACACGATCAGTCCAGTTGGAGTTTCAAGCCCCAGTCATGGCGCCTGTTTGGATCATCGCGAGTCAGGATTCTGCATAGCCGTCAGAAAATGATACAAATGATAAAAAAAGCTTCACAATACCCTGCAGTACGAGCCCATTTCTTTCTGGCGGCCCGGCATTTCTTTGCATGATAGTGGTCCTTCTGCACATCATGGTAGAGCTGAATGACGCTGTCGTAGATGGGTTGATATAAATCGGCGACGAATTTCATTTGCTTGTAAGTACCGGTCTTGTACTCGTCGATAGCGGCAGCAAGCTAGTTAGAGATGAATGAGCGAAGACGATTATCCGAGCCTGAGATCACATACCGCAGTCGCTGCAAGTGCAACGGCACCTTCGGGGACAGCATCAGCGAACAAGTCTGGAAATGACTTCGCGAGCGCGTTCTCACCCTTGTAAAAATAGGACATACAAAAGCTGCCCAGGGCCTCGTTTGCAAGATTATTGGTCCTGCCCTAATACACACCGTGTGAGTCAGTAAGTGCGGGGCTATTTCTCATTAACCTGCCTGTGCATCTACTCCATCCCGTAGGAAAGCACCATTCTGCAACAATGTTTTGACGTTGTCACGCACCTCCCGCTCATAGTCGTTCTCGTCGTCAACATCGGGTGGAAGAATTTCGTAATGTGCCAGAACAATCGGACGCGCAGCCTTTTTCATTTCGGAACGCATAGTAGCGCGATCGTCCCATAGCTAAAATAATTGTTAGCGTGATCCGACAGAGTAAGAACACAAATACCAGGACTGCCATATCAGATTTATATTCATCCCAGTATCCGTCGTCAACACCAACACCCTGGGATCCAAAGTCTTCGAGTGTTTCTAAGAGATATTCAATACCCTTGGTTTTGAGAAAATCACTGCGCTTTGACGCTGTGCTAGTGAGCAAGCCTAGGCGTGATTTCTTCTTTGCGGCCTCTAGTAAATCCTTCCAAGAAGGAGGATAGAAGCGAATGTTCTGCGCAGTTGCTTTGATCATCCGCGTTCTCTTGCGTGGTACTACAACCTCCTCTTCAGAAGAAGATTGAGCTGAATCTTGAGTAGTAGCGCGACGACGCAAAGTCTCGAGCTCATCCAGGTCAGGCATGCGAGGGCGACAGTTCTTTGCGCGATGGTCTTGGAGGACATCTCGGGCATTGTGTGAGCTGTCGGCGACTCGTGAGCGTGCACGAGTGAATTCATCTGCATAAGGCAAGTGGGCAAGTTCAGTAGCATGATGGACACATGCATGGGATATCTTACCATCGTTGCTATCTTTCGAGGTGTCATGATCCTGGTGGGGGTCGTCAACAAAACTGTCACCATCATCCTGGTCTACACCCAGATTGGTCTTGTCCGAGGAGAGGACTACACCAAGGAGGGATGCACCTTCAGGTAGGTCTTTCTGTGGTCTTGTTAGTTATACAGAACGAGGAATCAAGACACGAGACCTTACCTGAAGGTTCCAAGCATGATCGCCTGTCATGAAACCATGATAAACTCGAACCGCACGTTCGGCAGACTCGTAAACCTTGCATGGGATGAAATCAAAGCTGGCGGCCAACAGTGGGTGACTGAGAAGTGACTGCAAGCACTCGATTGCGTCCCGATAAAATATTTGAAGGGTTTTTGTCGTTGGAAACTCGGTAGTGATTTTTTGATACTTCCATTGAGGGGGAGCTGGGAGCAATTCAACACGTCCTCGGAGTTCTCGCGAAGAGCGAAATGACAATGGGAGTGTTTTGGTCTGAACATAAGTTTAGACGAAGAAATTTAGAGGATAGATGAACTCACAAATTCAAGATTGAGGTACTCGTCGATTTCGGCCATGCTAAGATCGGACCGAAGAATATACGATGCCATCTCCCAGTCCGGTTTGCTAGTGAAAGGAAAGTATTGGTTTTGCTCCCTCTCTGCAGCATATTCATCCTCGTTGAATTGGTCCATGAAAGTCTTCCCAACACCCCACGTCTTGCCTGCACCGTCATAAAACTCCACTTCTTCACCGTAATCTGCCTGCGAGCCTGAAGACCCATACTCCGCTCCAGTGTCTGCATCAACTCCATGGTCCATATACTCCGGGTCAAAGGTCGGGTCCGTGTCGTTGTGGAGAGGAAATTGAGGACTTGGAGCTTGTGCTGGTCTTAAGATGCGAACTAGGTTACCATCCCACTTGTAACAGTGAGAAGAAGGCTGATTCAGGTGTTGCAGAAAGCGTCCCTCATTCTTAAAACGCTTGCTGCAGGAGGGGCAGCGCATATCGAAGGTGCGAAGTAAGTCATTGAACTCATTTGGATTCAATATTGTCCCGGCAATTTCCGGGACGACGCAAACTGTAACTACAATGTCGAAGTGTCGTTCAAGCTATGCCTCACCATCTCAATCATCTCAATCCCCGTATTCGCTATGTCGAGGCCAACAAATCTCAGATTCTGTAACTCCTTCCGACATCTCAGATGATACATCTGACTCCTCGGAAGTGTATAATATGGTGAGTTATGGGCTGGATTCTAACACTTGCCTTGAATCAGTTTTATCTACAGTACATACGCCGCTACCCAAATGAACCATTTGACGCTTACATGGACTCAATGCCGGAGACTTCAGAGGAAGCATCTTACCTGCTCGAGATGGCACGAGCTGATCTCGAAGTTCGACGTCTCGAGAAGGACCTTGCTGAGCGGCTTCTTCATCAATTTCGCATGCGCAAACACCACCTACGACTTCGAGCGAAGAGGGCAAAGAGAAATTTTGGAGATGCGGAAGCTAATGTAGGGCGCACACGCGCTCTCGTGGTGAGGTGCGGGTTTGTCTGCTCAGAGCGGTCACTTTGGTCTCCTCGTCCAAAATCCACCATCAAGTCATGTAAGCGAATTCGTTCTTAAAATCGGTATGCAGTCGCTGATGAGTACAGCTGATTAGAATATCTGTCTGTTGGATGTTGCATTGTGACCATAGCCTTGTACTGTGTACATGATTGTCAATACATATACGCATTGCACATTTTATATTTTAGCTATCTGTTGAAGTACTTTATTAAATGAATATAAGTTGTCACGCTGTGAAATGCATTCTCCGAGATCTCGTGTTTTGATGAAGACCAGCAAGATATTGATATTAATCTATAATTTACATCACATTTTATCGCCTGACCCTGTGCACTGTGCGAGACTGTGCCGCACTGTCACTCTGTGCGCTCTGTGCGCTGTACCACTGTGGGGCTGTGCTAGTTGTGTCGCTGTGGGAATCTTGTATCCAAAACCGGTAGTTTGCTGATGAGAGAGGCATCGACGACACAAGCAACGGCGAGCGCTTCCTGACCTGCATTGGCCTGAGCTTGGACTTCAAGTTGTGGTACTTGTTGCTGCGATTGCAACTAATTGGACATGGGAGAAAGTTTGGAAAAGGTAACAATCACACTGGCAAGATCTGCTTTCAAAGAGTTTCAAAATTTCAAGGTCCACGACATCGAGGAGAATATCGCGGAGTCAAATTGTGGTCAACGCTGTTTCATGGGGGCTAAAATCCAGGATACTAATTACACCTGCCCCTGCCCGTTGCATGTAGATAGTGTCGACAAGCCACTTTATAGTCGCAGAAAACATTATGCTACAGGTCCCACCAGTATCATGCAGGATCAAACTAAGTACCGGTTTTCATGGTGAATTGCCAATGGACAATTATGAAGGGAGACAAATCTGTTCGCAGTTAGACCTAGTATTCAACCCGTTGGGGAACAGTCCACATATCTTCTACTACTAGTCCTCTTCCTGAGTGTTGAATGGGCAGCGAGTAAGAAAGCCTCGCAAGCTCCGAGTGGCGAAAAGGTTCAAACTGTGGCTTATGGATCGAGTAATCAGCGAGACGTGCACTCAGGATCAAAGCATCCTGCCGTGAAGAGTTATCCACAGATGGCATCACAATCGAAACTGCGGTGTGGTCTTGCAGTGGCGCTCCCAGCAAGTCTGCTGCACATGCGTATGGCAGGAGAACTGGAGCGGGAAGAGCATGGAGCATGATGGTAATTGAGCGCAGAAATAATTGTGATTATACCACCATTCAACCGCAGCAAGCTCAGTTTGCTATCAAATTTAAGCAGCACACCGTGACGAGATGAGAGGAATAAATATAGAGTTGCGAGTGCGGCCAGAGTTCATCAGCGATGTTGTAAGGATGAATGAAAGACTCTTGCGAATCGTCATCAGAACCATTGGCTAGCTGACCACGAGCATTGGAACCAGCAGCTAGGAGGTGACATAGATATGGAGCCTGAGCTTTCATGAACGGGCATGATGTAAGATTTGATCGCGATCACTGAAAGAAACTGATCAATCGAAATCAACTCGGATTGTGCATGGATATGGATATGATTTTCGTTAACCAGTTCTTTGCTGTCCATAGTCCTGCAGGTAAATCAAATGTTGTGGATGTCGAATACAAATATCATGAAAGGCAGGTGTCATATGAGCGTGTGACAGATGTGAGAAGCAAGAGCTTTCAGATATGGCACAAGTGAGAAAATGAGACGCTCGAGTAACCAGATACACGTCTGACAGGTAAATTCATAGTAGGAGAAAAGGAGCTCGATTGGGTGCAAAGCGATTCAATTTGGGCCTTGTAGAGTGGAGTCGGGGATTGTCAGTTTTTCCAAAGGGTTATCACACATCGGCGTATAGGTGGCTGAACGTTTGGATCAGACAAAATCCTGTTCCCACTAATGTGGGAGTCGGGGATTGTTCGAGTTTAGCCTGAAGGTATATTTCATTGGAGATGGTGGGTGGTACTGCAGACGAGAAGTTGAAACCCCGCTTCATGAACCGCGGTTGCGCGTCCGAGACCTTGCCCCAGACCTGCGGTAACTATGCCTCAAGATCTGTGGCAGGACTTGTAAGATGGATACAGGCCCCGGTGGTCATGGTCACTGATCAAAACGAAGTTTGAATGTTGAACTTTATGTAAACTTCATCAATCACCTGCTCTTAACACATATAAAGTGCTTCACAACAGCGCCACAGATATGGCGTATTCAGCGCTCAGTTCCTACGTTCAGTTGAACTTTACAGAATGGCACGACGTCGCCGCAGGAATACCCTACAACAAGGCGAAACGGAGCTTGCAGGAGAAGCTCAGAAGACGGACGGCTCTCTGAGTCCATGTGCGCCTAAGCCACAATACCAACATTTCATTCCACGGTTTATATTGCGAAGATTCCAAGTCGAATCTGTAAAGTGTGTTTCAGAGTCCTCTCGAGCACTCTGCGTGTAGACACTAGACCAGAACCTGAATGATATTCTCTGCAGGTCCGAAAATGAACGAGACAGAGAATCTCGACGCACCCGCATTGATCCTGAATGTGTCCACTACTATGATATTGCTACGGGTAACCTTGACATTCGTCCTATTAGAAAGGTTTACGGCGTAGAGAATTTCTACCAGGACGTCCGAAACACCGATAATATCAACGAACTAGAGGAGAAATTAGCAGTCCTCGAAGGTCATGCAGCCAAAATCATCATAAAATTGCATGAAGCGCTTCCTCAGGGTACTTTCACTCTGAACCGGAGGTCTCTAGAGCTCCTGCGGAAGTTCCTGTTCATCATGCATTACCGCAATGTATCTTGCTCTGGTATTTACTTTCAAGCAGATCACCCAGAAAACGCAGGAGCCCGTCAGTGGATCGAGTCCTTCATGAAAGGCGAAGGGTATTCAATCTGCGGTCGAGATATGGCTATACTTCCTCAGATACTTCCTGGACGCGTCTCATTCAGACATCATGCGAGATGCTGCAGAACTCATAGAGAATTACGGCGAAGAAGGTCTTCAAAAAATGATCACTGAATCGCATATCCCACCTGATCTCGAACACTTCCCAGCTTACTCTTACCACGTTCTCGCAAACAACTATTTCTTCAGTATCTGGGAAGCCGTGGAAGGAGAAGAGTTTATCGTCACGCACAACGCATTTGGTTTGTGGGAAGGTTTAGGAGGTGGCTGCCGTGGCCTGCACCGCATATTCGTAGTCAGCCCTCGCATTGCTATCGTCCTGCGCCATGTGATATCGCGTCCAGAAATGAAAGAACACATAAAACCGGGTACGTTCGTGAGCTCCTTGCTCGACGTGAATCCAGTACCACCAACTCCAATTTACTCCCGTGGGGAACACGGTGCATACATCAACCACGTAAATTTCCAATCCGCGATGGAAGTTGCGCGTTACAGATCCTCCCAGGAAGGGGAGAGTGACAATTTTGTGTTCAAGATCACAAAACTGTCGCAACGCCAAACATTGCAGTTCAATTTCGTTGTGCTAGTCAACGTGACGACGAAGACATGCGCTCTGACTTTCCTGTCAACGGGGAGTATGCTTCGCACCGCACGTGCGTTCCGGAGTTCGCTAGCCAATGTCCGGGCGAGCGAGCTGTTCGTTCCGCTCATTACGCAATTGACGAATACCGTGGAGGCAGAAGTGTCGGCTCTTCGCCCACCATTACAGTCACCAGCGGCTGTCCTCGACCAGGACGTCGACGCACTTACACTCGTCGATGTAGAGCTCTATGTGCTTCTAATGCAGATATGCACAGGTAGCAGGCGGTTCGAAACGGCATATGACAGGGCACATCTAGTCTTTAGAATCATGGAGAAAGCAAAGCCCACTTCGTTTGCAGACGAAATCAGCCGAGAAGTCGAAAAGACTTTCAAGGTCTGTAAAGAGGAGGATGAGGTGTCTCCCGCAGAAGGCGTGAGCTTTGCTCCCTTACCCTCTTCGATTTCCAACGAGTCATCTTCTCAACTCTTCCAATTCATGATACCTTGCATGAGCAGACTGGGTGCCTTGATGTCCGGAGGTGAAGGGATTTTGGAAGAGCTCCAAGATGAAGTCGCCGTAGTGAGCTTTCTTGCACGTGCGTCAAGCAACCCTGGAGTGTGGCATGCGCTCTCGTGTATCAGCCCACAGGCTCCCGAAATCTTATCAAGGCTATTCAAGACAGGCACTTTAACAGATGCATCTGTTAAGATCTTCATGCGGAATATGTACCGCGAGCGGGCTTCGCCATCATCTTTCTCTTCCGTGTTTCACCTGGGATATTCGTTACGAGCAAAGTGCGGGATGGCTGGGCCGACCACCAATCCTATCAGTCAGAGTTACTACCAGTTAACGGCTTCTATGATCCAATGTCTTGGTCGTATAACATTGAGGTCCCTGCCGGAACCGTACGCTTCGCAGCCGCGCGAGAGGCCCAAGGCCCGGCTTGTCTGCAAGATCTCAGAAAAGCATTCAGACTTACTTTTCTCGACTATGAAGGTGATACTGCAAAAATCGCTCCCGGGATATGAGCCGGAGCCAGGAGGCGACACTCTGGACCAGACCGTTAGAAAGTGGATAGATGAGATGGCCATCGTCGGTTGTCTTGCATGGTTGGGAAAGCACAGGAGGAATTTCTTGGACTGCGTTCTGGATGGGTTTCCCCAGGGTATAAATGTCAAGTTGTTTGAAGATGAAGAAGCAGTACCTGAATCAGCTTGCTCGAATTGATCTTCTAAGGCGTCCAAGATCACTTACTGATCGGACACATCCTGACTTGTACATATTTTTAATAAGATGAAGACTCATTGAGATACCGATTTCCAGATTCACGGCAGTGCAAGTGTCTATACTGATAGTCTCCCGTGGTCAGACCTTGATAGAAGGAACTTCGGAAGACAGCCGTTCCTTCTTTGTCAAGTGGCAATGCTAGCAAGCGTCATCCAACTGTAGTAGTTTGCATAGGATTGGACCAACAGGTACTGACTAACTTTTTCCATCCCTGCATGTATAATGTCATTTGCCCCGTTTGAAGGCAGAGCCTGAGGTTTAGACGACAACTCGGAGTGCGTTTTCCCACAACAGATTTTTTTACATAAGCTGAAGTGAAAATGTTGAGCGGAATGGGATCTTTTTATTGTGATTAATGACCGTCATGAGGGTGTCCGGATTTTTTTTCGCTCGGGGTTTGAAGTCGTTCGAAGGAACCGAGAAAGGTCCAAATGATAACAGGGTACCATGAACTCCTTCAGCTGCTGTATATTTTGCAGGCCTGACCTATCATGTGATACCACAGATGCGGCCAATCATCTCATGCCCCTTGTGCGTCGCAACGAGTCCGCAGTATCACGTATTCCGGATCCTCAGCCTCTCCTGAATACATGGTCCGGTAGCCTTAGTACTATCCGCCAACAACTTGAAGAGGGTGCTGATTGTATAGCTTAAAATTCTATCCAAACGTCATATCTGCAATCCCTTACGGATAGCAAAGAAGATGCGTGGCCCGCGGACGCCTACAGGGACGGCATCAGTGAACCGGTGAGTTCTTGCTGGCGATTATGCTGATTGCGGTGCATTTACATGGCCATATATTGCTTTATATTCCAATGTGACGAAAGCCTTTCCTATATATTTCTTCTCACCGGGTAACTCTCGTTGGCAGGTTTGTCCGAAGGTTCAGGGGACTATGATAAACCACACAAGCGTCACGGATCTCTTATATCTCGCCAGCGCTTTTTGTGTAGCAGCAATCGTCTTGTTTCACCATCGTCACTTGCCGACATGCAAGACCTGCTGCCACCGCCTGTCGTGTCTTCCGATATTCGTGTACCCATCCGCGGTGACCCTTCGGACCATGAGGAGCTCACAACTGAAAAATATACCCCGCTGCTTGGAACAAACTCATCGTCTTCCCCATCTACACGCCGCTCGCTGAGATTTTGGCTCATTCTTTACTTTTGCTTCAACCTTGGACTTACCTTGTACAACAAAGGTGTCCTCATCCGCTTTCCTTTCCCGTACACCCTCACTGCGCTGCATGCTTTCTGTGGGACCATTGGAGGGTTCATATTGCTGAAAAATGGTACATTCGTACCTGCTAGACTCACCGACGCAGACAACTTGGCGCTTGGGACATTTAGTGTATTATACACCATTAACATCGCCATCAGCAACGTATCTCTGCATATGGTCACTGTTTCGGTGAGTGATGGCATACCTGGCACAAGCTAGGAGCTGGTAATGAGTGCCACAGTTTCATCAAGTAATCCGTGCAGCCACGCCGATTTTCATAATTCTTCTCTCGACCTTCTTATTTGGCACCCGGTGTAGTAATCACAAGATGGTATCCCTGATCCCTGTCATGGTTGGCGTTGGTTTTGCGTGAGTCATTTCTCGCCTCAGAACGTCATCTACTGATTTCCACTTAGGACGTATGGAGATTATTCGTACACAACAAGCGGACTCATTTTGACCGTACTGGGAACAGTACTTGTTGCCATTAAGACTGTCTACACTTCTATTCTGCAGTCTACCCCATCATCGATCTCCTCGCAGCCACGCATAAATTTTGTCGTCCCCCCGCGGTTAAAATTGCATCCGCTAGACCTGTTGACGCGGATGGCGCCGCTTGCATTCGTCCAGTGCGTTTTCCTCGCCTACCTCACGGGGGAATTATCACGCGTGCATACATGGAGTTTAGAAGAGATGACGCCCGTCAAAGCGGCGCTCCTTGGGGTTAATGGCCTGATTGCTTTTGGTCTCAATATTGTGAGTTTTACGGCGAATAGGGTAGCAGGCCCTCTGAGTATGACTGTTGCTGGTGAGTGACCATTGTCGTACACACAACGCCACATCTGTTGACGAGCTTACAGCCAATGTCAAACAAGTCCTCTCTGTATTTTGTGCGGTCATTCTATTCAAAATTACAATAACGCCGACAAACGCGCTTGGCATCCTTCTCACGATCATTGGCGGAATGTGGTACGCAGCCGTTGAATATCAAGAAAAGAGAGTAAATGGAGAAAGTAGATCATGATTGAGGTGATGTTGATGCTAGAGCTGTTCATTCTTAGTGACTGCATTTTACTGTAGCCCCTTCGCTTTTCGAAACCATTAGACATGCACAATGCATGCACACGTCCCATCTTTTGGACTCATACCATATCTGTAATATAGAGATATTTTATCCATAGCTCTCGGATAATGCCGTTTGGATAATGATACAGCTTCCAAAAATCCTTCCGGCCTATGTTGACGCCTCCTTCGATTGTGTGATGCAACTGACATGCGCAAGGTGACTGACAAATGTTCAATGTATATGTGAATCACCTTCGCCTCTTCAATGATTCGGTGAAATGCTCACTCCAATTCTCCAATTCTCCACTCCCCGCTCAACACACCTGGTCATCTCCTTGCTATGCTCATTCGGGATAGAGGCATGCAGTCGAACCATGCGTCCGCGCGATTCATTCCATTTCCTTTCTGTGGCTCAGATAGATGAAAACACATCTGAGACTAAATCGGCCACCTGGGCTTCACGGTCACTTCAAAACACCACAACTTAAATAAATACCACGACGGATCCTTGACCAAATATCTCCTCCCTGCAGAAACTCGGCAAGCTTTTCCCTACACCATACTGCTAGTTGGTACATGTACATGCTCCTGGAAGACAATCGAATTCATGCTAATTTCTGCGTCGGAAGTGGCCACGAGTTTTGCGTGATATTCTCGAACGCTAAGGATGAGGCGTGGTCCCAGCACAAACATCTGCACGAACGATAAAATTTGAAGAACACCAGTGAGTATCTGAGCTCCCATGGAAGGTGAAATCTACAGAAATGATGAGCAGCGGTTGCAAGGAGATGTAAGCAACAGGTCGGCGCACCCAGAAGCACTGGAGAGAGATAAACCAACTCGAGGCAAGAGACACAAGCAAAGCTAGCACGTGCGGAAGTTGAGCAGAAAAATATAGCCACCTTCACACAACAAGCTCACCATGCAACATAAAGCACGTGCGATTTTATCAGCACTCTGAAACAGTCCCCAACGAGCGATCCTGTCGACTGGCCGAATGGTCGCAGGTCACGGAAGTGTCTCACAGCAATCCAGACTGAAAGACACAGTGCGAGGACCTCCCAAACAGTGTTGAGCACCCAAACCATTGAGGCCAGAAACTGGACATCCCCCTCATATCCATAACTGCATAGATGCATGCCAGAGAGTATCAGCTCCTCTGGTGTTCGTCCCATGAGTTGTGTTCTTCAAGTCAACAAGTAAAGCTTACCCCCTACAGAATGCTTCAGTACTATTGCTGTGATTACTCCACAGGCGATGATTGCAGCCAGGAAAATAATAACAAGGAAGATAAGCATCATCCTAGATCTCTGATACATGGCATGCAACCGAGCAATCATAATGACTTGCATCGTATTTCAGTCGAGTTAATATCACTGAGGTATTGCAGCTCACCGCCCAGCATGGCAGGTACGACCACATTTGTCCCATTTAATGTGTAGACCAAAGTATTGCCTGAAATACCCAATTAATGGTCGCCTTGTACTAGGATCAAACACTCCGACTCACACCTGTGTAATCATTATGTCGAGCCAAGTTCAATGGTCATAATCTCACTCACCCCTACAAATAAATGTATCCATTAGATGGGAATGAGATAGTTGCGTAACACTCACTGCATCTGTTAGTGAGACCATTGTCATGTATGCTGTGTGCCGCCGGTCAGAAGAATCGAATACAGCACGTATGAGACATACGCAGGACGCTGATACTGATCATGAGGGAGGGGCTATTAGCACAGCATCAAGTTGTTGGCCTCAAAAACATACACAGAATATGGTATTCCAATGTAGCGTACCTAGAACATTTTGCAGTCAGTACAACTTGCCAACCACGCTATAGTATAACATGAGGTACGAACAACGAGATACAGCATAGTCATGAGAGACCATTGTTGCCTCTGCCCAAATTTAATCGTATTGCTTTTCTTCTGATGTGAGACCTTGTCACTCACCCAGATCAGTTCAATCTATGACACCATTCTTAGCAAGTTGGCTGCTCCGACAATAGCACAGACGTACCTCTTGTCCAAGTGATAGCACTAGAAATGTCATGAGAATAATATCAGCGGTTTTCGAACACTATCCTGCTCACCCCAATCGTATACCACCACGACGCCGGCGGCAACTACAAAACCGCAAGTCGATGTTAGATTGAGACATCACCAACTGATACGACGAACCCGTCCAATAGCTTAAAAAAATAGCCGAACTGATCAACGGCCACAAACTGGGATCATTTGATACTACGGTCATATTCGAGAGATGGATGCGAGCAGGTGAGGGATGTTGGGGGTTATAACAATCTAGTGTTCATGCTAGATATATCGCTGTTCAGCGCTTGTATCGCCAAAATCGGCATGATGGTGATGAATATTTATGCCCACCTCAAGGCCCTTGAAATTGGTTGAAGTTAGTACTGCGATGCGAAATCAAGTAAATGTGGAAGTCTTTGATTAATGAATCAAAATATTTTTTGATTCGGTTTCTGGTACCCTGTTATCATTCGGATCTTACTAGTCGGTTCCTTCGAACAATTTCAAACCTCGTACACCGATTGTGCGTATCCGTGATAAAACACTAAACCTTCTGTGCTCGGTTAAGTGTCTGAGATCATGACTAATCTACCCATTTATGGTAAGTACTGCAGCTGCAGACTTTGCACGGATCCGAAATCGAACACTCTTTCAACTTTCAAAAGATTTCTAGATACAATCACTCTTCCGGATCCGTTCACCTGCTTCCACAAGCTATTTACCCCATTCGTGCCCCTCCACGCGACATCGTCGTTAACGTTCCGATCTTCCAATTAATATTCAGCACGTTCTCTAACCGGTGCCCAGTCGACAAACTAGTAATCTTCTCTTTGCACCGACACGGCCTGCCATCAGATTCAAATACACGTGCAAGTATCACATATATACGTTCCATTAGCACGCTGCATAGCTCTATTCCACAACCTAATTTCAACGATCTGATAGCGATCTGCACCTTCTATTACGGGACAGAGCGCCTTTGCACACGTTTTTTGCGCTCAGACAACTGGTGCATTAGTGATACTTTGTCATGCGCGCTTTACTCCCCACTCAGCACATCACACATGCGCATCCGTGATAGAGGTAAATACTCGAGCCGTAAGTTTTTTACAACCATCATACTCGATATCGTTAAATCATGCTTAAACACAGGCGACTGTCATCGATGACATGACTATCTGACGGTGGTCAGCGATGGGTTGGTTCAATCAGATGATCGACGCCCAATTAGTTGACTAGTGGTCTCCAGGACATCCACACCCTTGCGTCTACCCTTCGCACACGATTCAGCACTCCTTCTCTTTGGCCCTAATGGATGATGCGGGTAGTCAGGCGTTCTCGCTGATCTGACGCATTATCAGCCATCTGGGGTTTTACAACTCCCTCTCGCTTATTCTTTTGCGAGGGAAACTTGAAGTCAGTCCGTCCCTAGTGATGTTCTGTTTTGAATATTATTATCCTTGGCGTTGCCACCTGCGACAACAGCGAGCAGGCGTGGGAAATATGATGACGAGCTCTCAGGGCAACCCTGGACCTTCTATTTCTTCCCCGTTGCACTCTTTGACATTCCCTATGTTATATCGCTGGGAAGCCTCTTCTGCTGCCCAACTCTGGTTGATCGACGGTTTATAGGAATATTCTGGGACGCGCGAGCTCGAGAAACCAACGTCAAATCATACAGCGAGGCTTCCAAAAAAGCTGCGCGGATTGACGGTACGAACCTCTCGTGCCCATAATATTGAAAATCGGCCAGAGCGTTGACAGGCTGTCGCGGCGACTTAGATATTAAGGCTGATCGACAAGATCGGCATAAATATAAATCTGTTCTACACCATGGATCTCTTAAACCCTTAGGATACAGTATGGCACGGTCACACAAATCAAAAGCACAAGCGCGTGGCAGAGCGTGCTCGAGCAAACAGTCATTCCGAAGTAATTGCAACGGTACCTTTTGCACGTCGACAAGCGCCAATTCCCCAGCTGGAATATTTTAAGAGCAACATGCACATGGGCTACGTCTCAATGATTCCGGGCTGCCTTTGCCATTCAGTTATAACATCCTTTTTATCATCGAATGATGGCAAGATCAACAGGCCGGAGTCCTGATCACTGCAACCACGATTATCTGCACAGCCTGGGTGTCATTGCATGGCTGCGTTTGTGTCATCCTTCACTGAAACGTGACATTCGGACTGACTTGGCTCGAATAGGCTCAAGCGCTGAAAAGCGGCATTATGGCATGACGATCACGATGAAGATTAGAAAAAGTATTAGTAGGCATAATCTGATGCGCAAAATGTCGCGGAGGCGTCTTTAATAGCATCACATGTAGCATGTCACGTAAGTACCAGTCCGTTCGATCAGATCATCGAGTCTGAACGCGAATAAATGTGCGCGGGCGATGATAGCGTAATGATTGTCACGTCGATGATGTGCCGTAAAGTTACTAGGAGCAGTCACAGGCAACAAACGTCCAACCGGATACGTCAAACACAAGAAACCCAAAAAAAACTTGCGTAAAATGCAGGAAGACGCGATGAACGTTCCGTCACATCATGATCAGGGAGCTCGTGATCCGACACTCTAACGTAGTCGCTTCGAACTTCGCTAAGCCTTGTTCAGATTGTTCGCCTCCTGCAGTGTTGTTAGATTAACGTTTGATACCAACCACCATATAAAACGGCCAGCTAGGAAGGATGGCTCAGGAAGTGTAAGATGGTTCCCTCCAGATCGCTTTCATCTATTCTTGCCCTGCCGGCGCTTGCCTTCCTCTCGCTGTCAGCGAGCGCTTTGCCTCATCCTCGGACGGCATCAAGCACAGCTGCTCTCAAGCTCGCTGTTAGAATAAATTCGCATGGGACCAAGAACATCGCGGCTGCAGATCGAGCTCGAATCCAAGCCTTACAAGCTGGCGGCAGCTCTTCCGTCGATGCAACCAATGCTGTGGCGATGTACACCGCTGACATTGGCGTAGGGAGTCCAGCAACGTACTGTAAGCTGCTCGTGCTCCTGCAATTTTTTAATCTGACGCGTTGTCAATTTCATACAGACACACTCGTGCTAGACACCGGAAGCTCATTCACCTGGATCGGGGCTAACAAGACTTACAAACAGACTACCACGAGCCATGACACGGGCAATCAATTTGTGGGTATTTGTTTCTACGTGGCACATACATTTTGTCAAACCGTTTCCAGTCTGTTACATACGGCGATGGGATTTATGCTACTGGAGAGGAATACACAGACACCGTAACGCTCAACCCTGATCTGATCATCAGTGATCAATCTATTGGCGTCGCATCTAGTCACTCATATCTGGATGGTACGGATGGAGTTCTTGGCCTCGGACCGGTCGATTTGACGGTTGGCATCGTCAGTAATGGAAATGAAGTTGCAACTGTGATGGACAACCTCTATACGCAGAAAATTATCAGTTCGGAAGTACTCGGAGTGTTCTTTGCACCTGCTTCCTCTGACGATAGCGGCGGTGAGCTCACATTCGGCGGTTATGACGCCTCCAAGATTACTGGAGACATCAGCTATGTGCCGATCACATCAATATATCCAGCGAGTATGTATTGGGGCATTGATCAGTCCATCAGCTATGGGTCTACGTCCATTTTGGCCGAGACAGCTGGTGTCGTTGATACCGGATCCACCTTCATTTCCATTGCAACTGGTAAGTGTCCTGTGCGACATTGAAACCCTTCTAATCCACTGTTCAGATGCCTTCGACAAATATCAGTCTGCTACGGGGGCAACCCTCGATGAGAGCACTGGTCTCTTACAGATCTCACCTGACCAGTACAACCAGCTCTCATCCTTGTATTTCACTACTGGTGGGGTTACTTATGAGCTCACCCCCAATGGGCAAATTTGGCCTCGATCGTTGAACACAGCCATTGGCGGGACCACCGACGCCATATACCTGGTCATCAGTTCCACTGACACCCCCTCTGGTTTTGGCCTGGATTTTGTGAACGGCTACTGTTTCCTGTACGTTGAGCTACTTTTTTTTACCGGGAAGATAAATTGCTGAATTATTCTTCCACAGCGAGCGGTTTTACTCGGTGTATGATACGACGAACTCCCGAGTCGGGTTCGCCACCACTGAGTATACCCATGCCATGACAAATTAACTACAGTCCTTCAAGAAAATCATACGCCCGGGGCCACATCAACCCCACAAGAACATTCGGAACCGTTACTTACATATTTCGTCACATTCATTTAACCCTGTTGATATTACGTACGAGTCGTACTCGTGAACAATGTGCTATTACATAAATAACTTGAGCCAATTGAGGGAAGTTCAAATCCTGCTTCGACGAACTGAAGCAAACTTGAAAAAAAAAACTTCGTGTATCATGCCTCATGGACATCGATCACCTGCTCCTAACATATATGAAATGCTCCATAGATATGGCATATTCAGCGCTCAGTTCCTAGATTCGTTGAACTCTACAGAATGATATGACGCCGCCGCGGCCCGCAGGAGTATCCCCAAACAACAAACCAGAACGGAGCTTGCAGGAGAACTTGAAGCTCAGAAGACGGACAGCTCTCCGAGTCAATATAATACCAACATTTTATTCCACGGTTTATATTGCGAAGATTCCAACTTTGAATTTCCAAGTCGAACCTGTAAAGTGTGTTTTCAGAGTCCTCTCGAGCACTCTCAGGCTGCGTGTAGAGTCACTGTAGACACTAGACCAGAACACTGAATGATATTCTTTGCAGGTCCAAAACCGATTTCCTGACTCACGGCAGTGCAAGTGCCTATATTAATACTAATAGTCTCCCGTAGTCAGACTTTGAACTTCGGAAGACAGTCGTTCCTTCTTCGTCAAGCGGCAACGCTGGCAAGTGTCATCCGACAGTGGTACAAGTAGTGACTAACTTCATCCCTCCTTGCATAGTATAGTTCTCGGATAATGCCGTTTGCCCCATTTGCCAGTCTCAATACCTATAACTCCCTATGATGTTCGGCCATCAAGACCCTCATGCGGCACTGCATGAATATTTCGATTGGTTTGTCCAAACGCTACCAAGACCGGAGTAGGGATTAGGAAGTGGAGATTTGATTAATACTCACTGTCGTACAGGATGTCAATAATTTCCCACTTCTTTCAGCCACCGTCATCCTTATCGATTTCAGAAAGAAGAACATCAGTTGAGTAAGTCGCTACAGTCAAAATAGATGCTGGATGTGTGGTATGTACATACCTGTCTCCATCTCGAATGTAGACTCAGAGAACCATGACATCGTCGGGGGATATAAGGATAAGTCGAATAATCATGACACACGATAAGTCCTCAGGGACACAGAATTTTGGTTCTTATATCATGTTTCGGTGGAAAAGGCTAAAGTTAAGACAGCGTACCAACATAGTACTAAAAATATACACAACCTATGAGCACTTCGGAGTGTCGAAGAGGTCCATGTCATGGTAAATGTCGCGTAGAGTGTTACATGTCAGCTGATTGAGTATGCAGAAAGATCGTATGAGTAGTTTGAGTTCGTCCACGGGAAGCCTGCGATGAGAGTAGTCAGCAAACTTCTAGTATATCAGCGTGATGTGTACCAGGGACCAAAGTATCCCGCGACAAGGCATCAATTCTAAATGGCCATAGATTAGAATCTGCGGAGCGATCTTGCGGTGAGGCTTCCGGAAAGTATTCCGTGTGGGCATTTGGGTAGGAATGAGATGGAGAAGGAGAAGGAGCCCCGGAGCGGGCGGAGGGCAGAGAAGGAGAATCAAGGTAGGAAGAGCATGGAGACAGACGACGGTCGTTGCAAGTAGAGGTATCTGTGACTAGACCGCCATCAAACCGCAGCAAGTTTAGTTCGTGATCAACAAACTGAAGTGCTTCTGCGGCAGAAGGTCGATCGGTGGGTACTATAGACCAGCAACGGGTCATAAAATTCCAGAACTGGTCGGCGACACGATCATCATCTGGACGAGGATGCAGTTCCTGCTCAAAGATCACTTTGCGCAAGATTGCGGCTTCACGATTTAAGTGAGGCCAAGGTACATTTCCCGTCAGAACCTCCAGGACGAGTTAGTATACCATATTTGCAAAAGGTAACGGCTTACTTGGAGAAAAATGTTACCAAATGAGTAAATGTCACTCTGAGTGGTGACCGCAGAGGCTGGTTCTTCCCCAGAAAGAAGCTCAGGAGCTGTCCACCTCACTGCTCCTGGATGGCAGCTCGACTTCGCGAGGTACGTCATGCCAGTTTGTTGTGTCAAAGTTCCGGAAAGACCAAAATCTGCAAGATATGCCCTTCTATCGCCATCGACGAGGACATTGGTCTTGCAGTCGATCATCATTAATACTACGAAGGATCGAATTAATGAAGTGTCTTACGCCAGTGAGATCTCCGTGGACGGCTGGATTGAATTCCGGGTGTTTGTCTTCAGTCAAACTAAACGTATGAACTGGGGGAGAAAATCATGCGTTTTCCTTTATACATGCACGTTTTCACTCACGATGGTTGAGACCAGCGGCAATGTCACGGAGCTTGTGCACAAAACATCAGCTTGGGCCCGAACGAACTATGGACGTATTTGAAGTTCTCACCAGACACATACGATCAAGCACCGCAAGAGTGTCACTGTTCTGCTTGAGAAACGATGTTAGAGTGCCGTTGGCGATCCATGGAGCAACCAAAGCTACTGAAGTGCCAAAGTCCGAAGTTGTACCCATGAACTTCAAAATATTAGAATGTCGCAGCCTCTTCCAAATTCCGAGCTCTCTCCGAAACACCTAAGGAAGCTCGATTAGATCTGTCTATTCCCTGCTACATATAAAATATTACCTGATCACTGATGAATTGCGACCGAATTGCCTTGACAGCAACCTGTGGGTGACAGATGCATCACTAAATGTGGAAGAAATGTGAAATCCGCACGAACCTCTACATCGCCATCCGGTCCATGGTATATACATTTGTAGATGTTTCCGTATGTGCCGCCGCAAACGGGATCTTGGCTGCATCGGGTGATGAGCCCAGTTAAATCTGGGATGAGGATTGTGGGAACTAGTTGAGTGGAGGGAGTGACATTGGGAGCGGTAAGTAGGGATGGTTGATATGTGAATCTTGGCTGATCTGCCATCAAGGGCCCGCCAACTCCAGTGTTCGTTCCAAAACTTGGTTTTTCAGGGAGTCCACGAAACTTTTGGATAGATGATTCCCTCCCAGGTACACTGTATGGATGTCGGCGATGTTGCGCCGATGAACGGGGAGAATTATGATGGCGCTGTGCACCGAAGTTGGCCTTACTGGAAAGATAATATGGGTGCACAGGGAGACTAAACTGGGAGAGTGATTGTGCGTCCATCCCCTGCTGCATGCGTAGGATGGCCGTTGCAGTGAGAGGGGCGCTCATGTAACCGATAGGAAGAGATAAGCGTGGGCGGTCGTGCCGCGCCTGTCGCGGGGCCTGTGACGCGGCCCATCCTTTTTCCCCCAATATATTTCCGGCCAGGAATCTCACGAATGAAGAGGCTCGGACCAGGAACGAGAATGGGACTCAGTCTTGGATCAAAAGACTAAATTAGCTAAGGACCATACCTAGGAACGAGAACGGGACTAAGTAGGGTAATAGTCAGGAAATGTTCGTAGAAATGTGAATAAGAAAGCTCACCTCAGTCTTGGATCGAAAGACTGAGGGAGAATATTCGACGGGGAGAGGTATCAATACGCTGATTGAGACGGAGAATCAAAGGTGAACGTGTATGATGCGTATAACGAGGGGTGATTGCGTATGTAAAAGAAAAGAATGAGTACGTACGAGAGTAACGTCGAAAGTCATATCTTGATAAGGAAGACGACATTTTGGTTTGATACAAGCAACTTTTCGGAGTATACCATCCTCCCTAAATCATTAGTGGTAATCAGAGTGAACGATTATGAAGCGAATACGAGGCGAAATTCGAAAATCACGTGAAAATCGCCATCCGCTTTGAACACTCCGCAGGCTGGCAGCGAGAACGAATTCTCAACGCGATTCTGGTTGGATTCTTAAATAGGTATGTATGCTGAAACTGACAGTCCCTAATGTGAGTAGGTGAGTTATATATGTTTTCTGATATATTTCACGCACTGGATATCAGGGACTTCATCGTCATCGTTCTCGTCCTCAACCTTCTCGACAGCCTCCGCAACCTCGACACTGCCCGCCCATACCCGCTGGCTGTGGCTAATGTAATCGATGTCACTGCCATAGTTGAAATGGTAACGAGAGCACCCCCTAGGTTGTCTAATGAGGCATGACGAGATTCGTGCTCAACAGGGCGCAGGCGCAGCGCTTCTTCGTGCAAAGAGATGGCCTCGTTAGGTTTTTCTTGGTGATTAAAGCGGAACATGAGTAAGAAGGCCAAATTGTTCAGGTAGACAGCATGGTCAATATAAGGCGGGCCCACGCGAGGTTGGTGAGAGCTGTTGCGTCAGGATGGTGGACCGGAAACTACAGTTGGCGTTCGATCAGAAAAAGCTAACAGCAGAGACCAGCGTCACCCACGTTATCACAAGCAAGTACAACAGCATCCTTCAGCGTGAGGGAAGGGTGGATACCACACACGGGTGGGAAGGGTCGATCTACGAGATGTCAGTAGATGAAAAGTAGGTCACTCACTGAATGGCCCATCTCAATGACCGAGTAGCTCATCCCACAACATTTGAAAATTCCTGATGACTTCTCCGCTGCCTAGCATTCGATCGGCCTCGTAGGACGCCCTGATCTCTACTGAGAATGCAGGTGACGCATATGATGATCTAGAAATCGAGGATCAGTTCTCGAGTCGCATCAGAAAGTTTTCGACGTTTCAGGGTCACGGTATCACACCACACTACAGATCTCATGAAATAGAACTTTGATGGCTGATTTCCAGCGTCTCCTTGAGTCGATGTTGTTGGACACGTAAATTCCAGCGGGAATGCACACGGAAGGGACTCAAAGATTCTTTCCACTGATGTCCATAGATAGAACGTGAGGATCATGAAACGGATATGAAGGCAATATAATTGACCCACCTTCAAGTCTAATATATCGGCTTTCTGGGCTACTAGACGTGATGGTACGAAGAAGCAAAATGACGGGTGTGTTGAGTAGTGGGCGGAATGGGTGAGACGGGAAGACAGTGGTGGAGATATGGGGACTGTGGACAGCGTTCGGCTGAGAGGGAGAGGAGAGGTTGCGTATTCAGGTCATACTGCGCGTGTATTTCCATATTATTGAGGGTTGTTCGGCGTGATAGACGCTGGTATGATTGAACCAAGCGCTGAGGAAGATGGCCGGCTACATAATGTTAGCAGGAGAGTCTGTGTTAAAGAAGCTTAGACAGTGTCATGATCAGTTTTCAGCGAATGTGGCCTCCACAAGGTTGAAGGGGACATGTAAGTCTCAGCGTCTGGTGATGGTTGCTGCTCCTGGACTTGTATCACGGAGTCGTACCACACATTTAGCACATTATCGCAAGATGCAAAATCGACTGTATTTCTTGAGGTAATGGCAAATGCAAACAATGCAAACCGCTGAAAACGGCGTGCACAGAAGAGCCGAATGATTCTATACGACGCTCCCTCCCAGGTGCGTCGCGTCGCTGGACGTAGGCTCTAGAGTCCTACTTGAGCAAGAAAACGTGTCCGTAGGTTTAGCCTGATTAGAGTACTAGCTTCGTTAACGTACGTTTCTGCTGAATGTGGTTGGGGGTCCTGAGGATTCAGCTCTTGAAGACTCTGATGAAAACAGAGAGCTTGAAGACGACACAAAGTCATCTATTTCTGATGATCATATGAATCAGAAGAGTTTGAGTTACCGGACGAGCAGGACGAGGGAGAAGAGGGTCTAGTAGAACGGGAGGAAGAGCTGAAAGAAGGGGAAGAGTTAGAAGCTAGCGGGAGAAACACAAGACAGACAGCTGGAAGAGCAGAATGAAGAGCTCGTCTAGCTGACAATTATATATTGATAGTCCGGATTCTGGATGCGCAATTGCGTGCAAGGTGATGGCAGTACGGTCACGGTACAGCCTTGCTGGCAGGACCTGAAATTTAAATTTGAAATTCGATATAAATACCTCTCGATCATGTTCCATTCTTGTTTTATACGGTTGTCCTCCTTGCGGGGCAACATCAATATTATTGGGAGGGATGTCGTTGATTGATGTCACGGAGTCAATCCTACGATATTTCTGTGCTCTTCAGCGGAAACAGCGCACGCCAACCGATATAATTGGACGGAGACTGCCGCGTCAGTAACTGTTGGCAAGCTTAGAGTTGACTCAGGCTGACTCCCGCACTTTCAAACTATAGCGTCAAATTTCTCGCCTGAATCTTTGTCAAAAGCGTTTGAAATTCCTGCGTGCGCGTTTTTCTCCGCCTTATGATAGAACCAATCACCGAATCCCTGTGTTTCAGTTGCATTCCTGATCTTACTGATCACATAGTCAAGGACGAACATCCTGAGGCTACAAGTAGTCATGAGTATCATATTTGCAAGTGCACCTTGGACCGACCGAATTATCCTCCAGTATGTGCTAGTCAAACAATCAGCATAAACCGATAGTTCTCACATCTCCAGGTCACCGTGGCAGTCAAGATTATTAGGGTATTACAACCTGAGAATGCCTCGGATCTCACCAAGAGATACAACGAATTACTAGAAGAAATCAAAGTATGGGGAAGACTTCAGAATGAACATATTTTGCCTGTGCTCGGACACGTTTACGGGCATGGTCATTTGCCTAGCCTTGTGTTTCCTTGGATGGAGAATGGGAGCTTGACTAACTTCTTGCGCGAACGCAAGACCTTAGAGCGTGGTGAACGTTTTCGCTTGGTGGGTTCATCTAATTATGATGGGATTCATGAACAAACGAATTTCCCTGCGTTTAGCTGCAAGATATCGCTTCGGCACTGCAATATCGTATGTCTGCTCGTCTACAAAACTATAGACTCTCAAGTGGGTTTTTTGTCAGTGCATGTTATCGCAGTGGTCCACGGAGATCTAACAGGTGTAAGTTCTTACCAAAATCAACAAGGCAGACGAGCACTGATTATCTCTGATGCGCTGGTGCGTCAGGACAGCATCTTAGTTGACTCGCATGGGCGTGCTTTTGTAACAGGCGTCGGGCTTTCCATGAGGCTTAACGAGACCACGCCCAAACCAATTGGTGAGGCCGCTCTTCGCTGGACAGCTCCCGAGCTGGTCTTCAAAAAGACTCTTGCCACTTCCAAAAGCGATGTGTGGTCTTTTGGTTTGCAACATGATTCATGTACATCATCGGCACATTCAAGCCTACGTTGTGTATCTAACGACCATCTCAGGTGCTCTCTGGGCAGTTGCCCTGGTCGTCAAAAATTCGATCCCACAATATTACCGCGTATTTACATAAAGGACAGGTGCCACTGCTACCACAAGTAGTTCGGGATCAGGCCCAGGATTCATCCTTCCTCCGAAAATGCTTCTCTTTTCCGCCAGAAGACCGCCCTTCCGCGGATCAGACGCTAACATTTGTACGCGAAACACTGAGGACGGAAATACCGCAGACTGCGGAAGCTATGGCAGTACGTCTGCTGGATAAGTGCTCATATGCAAGCTGATCTCCATATCAGTATGATCATGACAAAGGCATTCCTCCTGTTGATCAGCATGCTCACGACAAAGGCATTCCTGATGTTGTAGCCGAGTTCAAACGACGCGTTTTTGATTTGGTCCCTCCACATTTGATCGATGTCGAAAAGATAGTGTTGGTTTCACGGACAAACTTGTTGAGATGCTAAAACCAGAGACGATCACTGAGGAGGAGATCCATCAGTGTGGGGGATGGTCGAGGCAGTCTGCCATAGAGTTGGCTGTGGTCAACCGGCTCAAATATGCTATTCTATCACACCGATGGGGAGAATCGGAGCCGACATTCCAAGACCTAAAACGCGAAGGAGCGGGTTACAAGAAGCTGGAGAAGTTTTGCTCAAAAGCAAAGGAATATGGCTGTCGTCTCGCATGGTCTGATACCTGCTGCATTAACAAAGAAAGCAGCTCAGAGCTCGACGAAGCCATTCGGTCGATGTTCGCATGGTACCGCGAGGCCTATATATGCATCGTGCACCTGGCTCAGACAAACTCATTGGAGACGCTGGGAAAATGACGAGTGGTTCTTTCGTGGCTGGACGTTGCAGGAGCTTCTCGCACCCCTTAAAATGAGGTTTTATTACGGTCCTACATGGACGCCCCTTACGCAGAATTCCAACGACAAAGATGACGCGAAAGTTGTTCATGCTCTTCGTCATGCTACCAATATCCCCGCAAACGACCTGCGCAACTTTCAGCCTGGGCCGAATCGTGCCTGGGAGAAGATGAGCTGGGCAGCAAGTCGGAAGACAACCCGTATTGAAGATGTTGCCTACTCTCTTACCGGCATCTTCGACATCACCATGACGGTCGCATATGGAGAAGGAGATCGAGCGTTCAAAAGATTCATGGCAGAGCTTATTGAGAGGTGCAAGGAATGGCAAATTCTTGTGTGGGCCGGCGGACTCCCTGGTGTCCAACGAAACCTTCCTGTTATCGCACAACGGACGAAGCAGCACTCAAGATGCTCAAGAAACACGAGATCTCGTGGTGGGAGAGGGTTGCGGTGATGATGACTTCTCGGTCACAAAGCGTGGCGTGCAGGTCAAGCTATTCATGGTCCCTGCCTCCATTGACCAGAGTCACTGGCAGTCAACATCCCTTTCCCATCCCCCTGGTCGCCTCAGGACATGGCCGCTCGAAAAGCTGGTCGTGCAATCCCCTTTCTTTCCACCTGCATCTACGACAGAGTGGGCGATCGGGATCGTTAACTACCAAGACCATGATGACGACGCTAACAAAGGAAAGTTGAAAGCGGGACAAATTTATGTATGTTTCCTCTTGAGGCGGGTTTTGTCTTCCTGGCCTGGATACCGTGCGCAAACCACTGGAAGAGGGAGGTTACAGAGAATATCTTGACGGTTCGTTGCAAACGTGACTTCGAAAAAGAACTAGAAATTGTTTGGCTATAAGTTTGGAATAACGATATAGGATTCGAGCTGAATGAGCAGCGTAGCTGGGCTATTTTCTCTGGAGGAAACACAGCGGATCGGAACGCCAAACAATGTTACGGAAGATTCAACAAAATTGATTTGTGGTACTTTTTGTAGTGTCCCCAGCTCAATGCCTACAGTATCTGTGTTTTGGTGCATAATCATGATAACGTTGGTATAACGCCGCCCATTTTGCTTGTCGACGCGACGTCCTCGAGACTCCTATCTATACTGGACAAAGACAAATAGACCTGGATTGACTATAACTTCCCTCCTACAAATGCAATGATTTCTTCGGCCCTCGGCCGAAGGGACTTGTCTTTTGACCAACATCTCTGGATGAAAACCCAATCACTGTCAGCGATAACAGGTTTGACCGGCCTTTTGGGTGTTCTGCCCTGTGATAGGTGGGCAATTATAGTTTCATATTTTGGGATGTAATGGTATGGGATCTTGCCCTCCAAAACCTGCAGGGAGATAAGCTGACTTAATATCGATGATCCGATACACCCGCCTGGAGCATGATCCCTCCGAAAGAATATATATCACTTGTTGTGGAAAATACCGGTGACCCATGGCCTTCGTCACCGATCCCTAAAGATTCAGGCGCCATCCAGCGTGCGCTGCCTCCGGGTTTGGTAGGTAATGATGCTTGAGTTGATCTCTCAGAAAGGAGGACGGAGAGACCAAAATCGGTGAGAAGGGCTTTGCCACTTGCGTCCACGAGAACATTGTTCTATGAAAATCCAGTTCAGTGTTCATGACGAAAAAATGCATACGTACGCCGCTCAAGTCTCCGTGGACAATCGACTTCGAATGGACTGCCCGACTCAGTGTCAGCTGACTTTCACTTCAAGGATAATGCATCAAGCATACGATATTGAAGCCCACGAGCCACGTCCCTGAGCTAAATTGACCTTAGCATGATGAATATGGTCAGATGCAGAATTGACCGAACCAGTGCAATCTTTTCGCTGGAGGAAAGAGTTTCGTGCTTCCGTTGGAGAAATCCCGTCAGAGCGCCATTTTCTAACCATGGTGAGACAAGCGCTGGGACCGAACCAGCGCCATCTGTAACCCCCCAGAGAGGAACAACATTCTCGTGCTTAAGTTTCAACCATAAGCGGATCTCTCGAAACAATCGCTGCAAAATCAACAGTCAGTTGAACGGAGAGAAAACACTTGGATACCGACATTGACGGCTTTCATGTCTGCCGCATGATCCGTCGTTCGTATGTCCTTGACTGCGACCTAAGCTGCTGTGAGTAACGTATTAAAATACGATGTCAACGACACCTACGTCAACTGAAGTTGTTGTAGAAAGTAACCCGTAGTGTGAAATTGTTCGTCGAACACTCGCATCGACGGTTGTTAGACCAAGGCTGCATTTGTGAACATTTGCAAATCCTCCACGGGCCTGGGGGGTCGCTGTTGAGGCGTATGACCGACTTTGTAAGATCAGCAGCACTGCAAACAATGAGCTCAACAGCAGCATAAACAGAGGAAGATGACTCGCCCGAAACGCTGAACTAGTAGTGAGTAGAGAACCTTCTCGATGGAAGGACGGGATTCGATCGACATTGAAAGGCAGCGTCGCACCAAATCCAGGTGCACCTCATCAATCTTCGAGTCGACAGTGAGTTGACATCGCATAAGAGAACCTGTCCAAGGACCATACCTCCACGGTCGGAAGAAAAGGTTCTGTGCCCTGTACTTTCGCCGAAAGAACTTCACTCTCTTCAGAAATCCACCAATAAGGTACCTTTCCCGACAACACCTGAAAAACGCGTCAGACACAGCGTGGGAAAGGCTGATGCGTTGCCAAACACACAAGAATCGTGATGCAGCCATAAGAGTATACGTCTTGGGATTTGGTTGGTTGTGGCGGTCCTGTCTGCTCGTCACGAACAACCGACTCTGGTGAGACGTATCTCACAGCTCCAGGGAGTTGCTCGCTCGATTTCCAATCTCCAGCGCCGTCAAGGATCACAGAGCGACTGAAGTCTGCGATGCGTATACGCCCCGCATCATCGAGAAGTACGTTGTCCTAGGAAGAATGACATGAGCGTGTTTTATAATTAGTAAGCATGCCGACGCAAGCGTACACCCGTCAGACTGCCATGCGCAATATTGTTCTTGTGCACTAAGAATTCTTCATCAATTCGACGCATGAGCAGTTATGGGCATCACTGACGATATTTGATCACGTCGGCCACCTGATACAGCTGACATTCAAGGTCAGAGCCGAATGACTTGTCGACGCCACGGGACATCAACTCACAATATCGAACTTCTGAAGTGGAGACAATGTGGAGAACTCTCGTTTCAGATAGTCGTGCAATGATCCATGCGCCATCCATGGATACACGAAGGAGGGAAGAACTCCGAAACCCGTCGTCATTCCATAGAGATCAAGGATGGTCTCGTGCTTCAACCTTTCCCGAACATTGACCTCGCGACGAATCATCTGTGAAGTAATGCATCGGTCACACTTGGTATTCACAACAAAATCGAACTGCGTGTTAGCTCACGTCGCACGTCTTGTCAATATTAATGCCATTCAGATCGCCAACATCCAAAGTCTTGACTGCAACCTGTTGGAATCATGGATTACATGGAGTTCCGTTGAAATACCAATCAACTAACCACGGTGGCGTCCGACCCATGCAACCAGTTGTATTTCAAAGTCCCGCTAATGCTGCATCTATCACTGCTATCACAGGTCGAGAGGGCTGCTTTGGGAATTTGATTCACTCGAAGTTTCGACAACAACTCCATCATCGTCTTTGAAATATTTGACTTCGACCTGAACAACTCCGCGATGTCCGAAGCCGACGGGCGGCACTCGCTGCTATTCGATAAGCATTTTTGTGCCAATTGTTTAAGGTCTTCCTCGAGCCCAGTGATTTCGCGGAAGGGTTCTTGACCCCTCAACACTGCTGCGAGAACGCGAAAATCCGAAATCAGCGAGTGATAAGGTGCATGTCCAGAACACAGCTGCGTCATATCAGTTACATACATGCGTTGGTACGGAAACATGACACACCAACATCATGATACAACCATATGAATAAACATCGGCAGCCTTGGTTGGCTTTGTTGCCCCATCCTCTAGCACATCCAACATTTCGGGGGCTGTCCACCGAATACTGCCAGGCTGACACGACTCAAATGTTGGGCAATCTAATTCTGCAAGGATCACCGAGAGACCGAAGCCCCCGATATGAAGCCTCCCGTCACTGCTGACCAGGACGTTGTACTAAATTATGAAACTGTCATTCTGGACGGATAATAGTGGCGAACGAAACATACGGGAGTTAAGTTAGCATGGACGATACCCTTGCAGTGCACTATAGGAGATTAGCCGACAGAAATACAAGAGCAGAGCGCTACTGACAATACTCGAGACCAGCTGCTACCTCCGTCAACTGACATGTTAAGTCAAAGTGCAGCCTATCTCCACGAATATAAAATCTATACCATGCTCAACTTCTTGTCTCTCGAAAGATCAACTTTCTGCTTCAGATAGTCGCCGAGTGATCCATTATCCATCCATAGAGTAACTAGTGCGGGAAGTGGGCCAAATCCTTCGGTAACACCCTCAAGAGCGAGAATGTTGTCGTGAGATAATTGCATCCAAACATAAGCCTCGCGACGAATCCTCTGCAAGCGTTTCCATCAGTGGAGTAGAACGGTGACCTACTTCATGCACCAACCTGGCCCACTTTGCGTATTAATGTTGAATCATAGCTAGAAGGGATCCTGATGGATTTTATCGCGACCTTGATTGTGATTTAGATAACGAAAATAATAAAACTCTTCAACTGTTTTGTCAACTTACTGTATAGCGGACCTCCGATTGTGTAGACATATAACATTTAAAAATATCAGCCATCCCCCCTGTGTGGAGAGGAAATGCATTGTGCTTTTGAATGGCTGCGGCGGGAATGATATTTGGTGAGGTCTTGAAGTCGACTAGGTAGATGTCATCCATTTTCTGCCCAGCTTATCGATCATTGTGCATAATGAAAAATGCACATCACTTACAACGGAGGATTGAAAGTTGTTCATCGTAATCCTTAGCGTGGCGTCAAAATGATGAATGCTCTGAGGCAAGGGACTTGCATCCCTTACATGCTCAATCGCTACGGTACTACACGAGATCAATTACCAATTAGGTTGAAGCCCCCGTCTTCGGAATTCGGGTCAAAAGATCTAGTACCCTGTTATCTACACCCTCTGTGACGGCATTCACTGGGTTCAAGACCCCAGGGCTCCCTGAGTAGTACGTAGACGTTCGCTTGAAGTTATGTGTGACGATATTGCCAGGCACCTGCTAGTACTTGTTCCTTCCCCATACCGTATCGTATCACCATTAATCACTTGTATTTTCTCGCACTAGTGTCTTAGTTTCTGTGTTACTTGACAGAATCTCTTGTATTGGTGAATGGTCACCATGTCGTTTGTATCAATATTTGTCTAGACATATGGTGTTCTGTATTTTCTTAGTACAACTGTAAGCCTTATGCATCTTTTGTGAAGAATTCTCGAGTATTGTTCAAGTGATGTGTTAACCGAGCAAGCACTTGACATGTATAAAGTAGACAAGGGTGTGTTAGCATAGGTGTGAAGGGAAAGATATAGAAGCTGAGGTCAATTAGGGTACTAACCTTGGAATACGCGCTGGTACTACTGATGAGACTGCAGGCATTCGTGACGAGATCGCCGGAGGGAGCAGGCGGTTGCGACAAGAAGATGCAGGAGGTCGAAGTGAGCAGCAGGAGACTGCGGTAGGTCGTAGCGATAGCGCCAAGTCAGTGAAGGTATGATAGGAAGTTGCAAGAAGTTGCCTTTGGAGCATGGGGGCCGTCGGGGGTGCGGGAGGGTCGCCCTAAAGTGCGGGTGACAATAATGGGAGGATACAATTATGCATTGATGGCGGCATCAGGGTCGCAGAAGGTTGTTCAGGTATGCGGGGAGCGATGGAAGGCCTCGACAGTGGCTGCTGGCAGGAAACCATGGCAGAGAAAGTATGCGAGTAGCGTTCGATATTCCAGGAGGTCTAATAGGCTGTTGATCGACGATACGCAGGGCAAGAGTCATAATAATATTTTCAACTTATACCATGACGCGTCCTTGGGGTCCAGGCTGGTCCCGGGTTAAAGAAGACTGGCTGAAGATCCGAGTAACCTAGGGTACTGTTAGCGTATGTAAGTATAGCCCGCGCGGCCTGTTTACGGCTCACACTAGCCCGGATCCGAAGAACACATTGCATGACATTTGCTACACATATAAGGACGCATGCTGCAAAGACGCTCGTTAGCACTCACTGCCTTGCCCTGACTTTAGCACCCGTCATCATTTTGGATGTCGCGCTAAGGAATCTTCACAATGTGCAACTCTCGATTCTTCGTCGTAAGTCGATGTTGAAGCTTGCCATTTGCAATTATGTATAATGATTGATCAACTTGTACCCTTGAAAGGTCACTGGTGTTCACTACACAGTCGAAGCAAAATTATTTATTGAAATTCCCACGGAAGCCATTCAAAAGGACACTGCGATTAAAACAGCGCGCAGTGAAATCTGGAGATGTTTTGTGAAATCGTCTGAACAATCTGAGAACTCATGTGTAAGTTTGTGATGAACAAGCGGCGGCCGATGAGCTCCAATGATTAATATTGTTATTTATCAAGGTCGCAGTCAAATCCATCACCTTCAACCGTAAGCCGAGTGCAGATGAAGTAGAAGAAGCGAAAAAGGTTCGGGCATGAAGCGGTCACAATCACATTCCACTCGCTGATAGCTTTACTCTTCCTAGATCATTCTTCACCGGGCCTCCATCTGGATTGAATTGTATCACGACAACATTCTCCGTCTCGAGGGTATTATCAGCGATGGAGGATTTGGCCTACTTCCTGCGTTAGTTTCTCCATGGATGGAAAATGGGTCACTCGACAACTACCTGGATGTACGGCAACCAGACCTTGACAAGAAATTATTTGTGGTAGGCTTGTTATTATACCTATAGAGACAGGATAGACCTTGACTTGACATGTCAGCTAAGGGAGATAGCAGTTGGTCTTCAATACTGTGAGTGGCACGTGGCTTTTGCACTTCGGTCGATTGATCTCCTGTAGTGCACAGCAAGGATATCTACAGTGACCTAACCCCTGTGGGTTGATTTCGCCGCCATAGTGCTCCGTGCAGGAATGACGATTCCATATTTAGGCCGACATCCTGGTCGACGGTGATGGGAAGCCTTATCTTCGGGGCTTTAGCGTCTGGATGGTCATTGCAGGATCAGAGGCCACTACATTTCAATCTGAATGCCGGGACAGATACCGGTGGATGGCGCCCGAGAAGTTTGGTATTCAAGACGAAGAGGGGGGGGAGCAGCTAACCAAGACTGCCGAAGTATACTCATATGGTTGTATTATGATTATGGTGTGTGATGTTTTTGTCCGATGCCGTGTCCGTTGCTCATAGCATGTAGCTATTTTCTGGGCACAGACCGTATCATAGCAAACAGGACTCCAATGACATCATCCTAGCAGGGCTCGACAGAAAAGAACCTTTCGAGCAATTCGGTGGTCTAGACGATGACCCTAAGCTCAAGGAGCTCGCACAACAATGCTTGTTGAGGAGTGGCGAACGCCCGCCATTGTCTCGCATTATAGATTTACTCACGCGCAGGATAAATGTCTCAAATGCGATGAATCTGTTGTTGTTGGAACTCCAGGTGAATCAAATCCCAAAAGCAGCCCTCTCGACCTATGACAGCGATGGTCGGGGGCAGCATCAGTGGGACTTTGAGATACAACTGGTTGCATGGGTCGGACGCCACCGTGGTTAGTTGATTGGTATTTCAACGGAACTCCATGTAATCCATGATTCCAACAGGTTGCAGTCAAGACTTTGGATGTTGGCGATCTGAATGACATTAATATTGACAAGACGTGCGACGTGAGCTAACACGCAGTTCGATTTTGTTGTGAATACCAAGTGTGACCGATGCATTACTTCACAGATGATTCGTCGCGAGGTCAATGTTCGGGAAAGGTTGAAGCACGAGACCATCCTTGATCTCTATGGAATGACGACGGGTTTCGGAGTTCTTCCCTCCTTCGTGTATCCATGGATGGCGCATGGATCATTGCACGACTATCTGAAACGAGAGTTCTCCACATTGTCTCCACTTCAGAAGTTCGATATTGTGAGTTGATGTCCCATGGCGTCGACAAGTCATTCAGCTCTGACCTTGAATGTCAGCTGTATCAGGTGGCCGACGGGATCAAATATTGTCAGTGATGCCCGTAACTGTTCATGCGTCAAATTGATGAAGAATTCTTAGTGCACAAGAACAATATTGCACATGGCAATTTGACGGGTGTACGCTTCCGTCTGCATGCTTACTAAATATAACACACTCATCTCGTTCTTCCTAGGACAACGTGCTTCTGGATGATGCGGCGCGTGTACGCATTGCAGACTTCAGTCGCTCCGTGATTCTTGGCGACACTGGAGTTTTGAAATCGAGCAAACAACTCCCTGGAGCTGCGAGATACGTCTCACCAGAGTCGGTTGTTCGTGACGAGCAGACAGGACCGCCACAACCAACCAAATCCCAAGACGTATACTCTTATGGCTGCATCACAATTCTTGTGTGTTTGGCAACGCATCAGCCTTTCCCGGACTGTCTAACGCATTTTTGCAGGTATTGTCAGGAAAGGTACCTTATTGGTGGATTTCTGAAGAGAGTGAAGTCCTTTCGGAAAAAGTGAAGGGCACAGAACCGTTTCTTACAAGCGTGGAGGTATTATCCTTGCACGGGTTCTCTTATGCGGTCTCAACTCACTTTTGACTCCAAGATTGATCGGGTGCACCTGGATTTGGTGCGACGCTGCCTTTCAATGTTGATCGAATCCCGTCCTTGCATAGAGAAGGTTCTCTGCTCAGTCTTAGTCCAGCGTTCCGGGCGAGTCATCTTCCTCTGTCTATGCTACTGTTGAACTCATCGTTTGCAGCGCTCTTGATCTGACGAGCTTGGTCCAACGGCTCAACGAGGCGCACCAGGCCTCTGGAGGATTTTCAAATGTTCACATGTGCACCCTCCATGCTTCGATGTCGAATGCAGTTCATGTAGGTACCTTGCAAGCCATGTTCTGTTATGTCGCTCATGACAGTTTGCAAAGGTCGCAGTCAAGGAGATGAGGCTGGGAGTTGATGCGAACATGTCGACGATCATCAACGTCGGTAGCCAAGTGTTCTGTTTTCGTTCCATCTGACTATTGATCTATCAGCGATTGTTCCGAGAGATTAAGATATGGATGCGACTTGAACACGAGAACATTGTTCCTTTTTTGGGAGTTACAGAAGGCTTTGGCTCACTCCCAGCGCTTGTCTCCCCATGGTTTAAAAATGGCGTTCTGACGGAATACCTTCAACGCGAGCACGAGACACTGTCTTACAGCCAAAAATTTGCACTGGTTCGGTCACTTTTCATCCCACTGACCTCCCATGCTAAAGTCGCTTTAGCTCAGGGATGTAGCTCGTGGGCTTCAATATCGTACGCTCAATATTTTATCGTGGGGTCAATCAACTCATAATGGACAGTCCACTCGCAGTCAACCATTCACGGAGACCCGACCGGTGTGGGTATGCATTTATGACATTTTCGAATGCTCCACTGAGGCTTCGTAGAATAATATTCTCGTTGACCAAAACGGAAAAGCAAGCCTCACCGATTTTGGTCTCTCCTCATTCCTTCCTGGTCCAACAAGTGAAGCATTACCATTATTTCCCACCAATCCTACGGGTGTTATGGCCTACCTAGCTCCTGAATACTTGGTATCTGACGACGACGGCAACCCACCATTGGTACGTTCCACAGCAAGCGATGTGTACGCTTTCGGGGGAATAATGCTCCTGGTGTGTGGATTGGATCATCAATACTGAGTTGGCTCATCTCCCAGCAGACCTTGGAGGGCAGGGACCCATACCACTACATCAAAAACCAAATAACTATAATGATGCAAAGGATGAAAGGAATCACGCCCAAGAGGCCCTCTAAATCTGTCATAGGCGATGCTGAATGGGATTTCATCCAGAGGTGTTGGTTGAAAGACATGGATGGACGGCCGTTGGACTCAGAAATCCTCACATTTGTAGAAAGACGGGCTGGCTAGTCATTTAATACTAATTCCAACGCATGTAGGTAGGGCTTTGACAAGCCGCGTTATAGTCGCAGACGACATTATATTACACATCCCACCGGTATCGTGCAGGATCAAACTACCGGTTTTCATGGTGAATTGTCAACGGGTAATCATGAAGGAGGACAAATCTGTTCGGAGTTAGACCTAGTATCCAACCTGCTGGTGAACAGTCCACATATATTCTACTATTGGTCTTCTTCCCGACGTGTTGGATGAGCAGCGAGTAAGAAAGCCTGCCAAGCTCCGAGTGGCGAAAAGGTTCAAATTGTGGCCTATAGATCGAGTAACAGCAAGACGTGCACTCGGGATAAAAGCATCCTGCCGTGAAGAGTTATCCACAGATGGCACCGCAATCGAAACTGCGGTGTGGTTGCAGTGGGACTCCCAACAAGCGTGCTACACATGCGTGTGGGAGAAGGAGAACTGGAGCGGGAAGAGCATGGAGCACGATGGTCGGAGAGCGCAGAGATAATTGTAACTATACCACTATTCGACCGCAGCGAGCTCAGTGTGCTGTCAACAAATTTAAGCGCTTCTTCGGCAGAGCGATCGATGGGAACGATAAGACAACAAGTTATAAAATTCCGTTAATCGATCGGTGACACAATCGTCATCTGAACAAAGATGCGTTTCCTCCTTAAAGATCACTTTACGCAAGATTGCGACTTCACGAGCAGGAATCTTTCCCATCAAAACCTGGGGCGAGTCAGTGAGTTGCAATAGCAAGCGAGAACGGCTTACTTGAAGTATGACGCTACCGAAGGAGTAGGTATCGCTCTGAGTGGAAATTGCAAAAGCTGCCAGTGATTCTTTCCCAGAAAGAATTTCAGGAGCTGTCCACCTCACTGCTCCTGGACGACAGCTCATCACCGCGAGGTGCGACATACTAGCCAGCTTCGTTTGATCCTACCATAAGAGGACCACCTTCACGAAAGACCTGAACGAGTGGCATAACTCTCTTGTTGCGCTCCACACCTCGAAGCGAGGTTTGTCAAAAGGAAAAATACTGAATAATGTTTCTATTCGGGATTTGATCATCGTCAAAGTGAAGATCGGAGGGTCCATGTTCTGTGACACATGTCTGTAGCAGCAACGGCCATTACATCACTAGGACAGGTGGAGAAGGTAAAAGGGTTGTAAATAGCAAGCATCGAATGCAGACACATGACTCACCGATGTACTGAAATCTCTCCAAGCACTATCATTGATGTTTGAAGTCAGCAGTGATCTCATTCACGCTGAAGAAATGAGCCTTGCGACGCTGGAGCTCCGGAGTCCGCGCACATCCTTTCCAATTCCCCCATCCATGCTTCGCCTGGAAAGCCTCCGATTTCCGCGAGTATGGTTCGAATACCTCGCTCGCTATAGAATGCAAATACCCCTGCCTCTTCATCAGCTCAAAGAGGGCAGGTTTCTTCTGGACCGATGCTTTTCACCCAGGTGCGTCGCGTCACTGGACGTAGCCTCTAGAGTCATACTTGAGTAAGAAAACGTGTCCGTAAGTTTGGCCTAACTAGAGCACTAGGCTCATCCTTCGTTAATGTTTCTTGCTGAAGATGTAACTGAGGGTGCTCAGGAATCGGTTGTTGAAGACTCTGATGAGGACGACACGAAGTCATTTATTTCTGATGATCGGATGAGTTGGGAGTCTAGGTTGCCGGACGAGCAGGACGAGCGAGAAGGGGAACGGGATGGACGGATGAAGAACTGAAAGAACGGGAGGGGTTGGAAGAATGGAAGGAAGAGCGGGAGAAACGGCAAGAAGAACAGAAGGAAGACTCGGAGCTCGTCTAGTTGACAATATATTGATGGTCCAGATTCTGGACGTGCATGATGGCAAGCTTGTGCGGGACCTGAAATTTCTGAAATCCGACCCCGGTCGATGATATGAAGACAAAGGCGCAGTACTTGTGGGGGTGAAACGTCAGATTTAATATTGAAGCAATGATTGGTGTTTCGTCAATATAACTACGCGTACCTCTCGATCACGAATAGTATTCAATTCGCGCAACCTCAGTATTCGGTGAGTGAACGTATGGTCAAGCATAATGCATCCTCTTTGTGGCGCAGAACTATAGTGCTGCTCAATTCTAAAATGTCGTTGTCAATGTCGACTTGACCTTACGGCCAACCTCTCGTAAATTACTCACGCGGACCTAAACCTTTCCTTATTTGGCCACCTCCGTGTCGGTTAGACCTTCGCATGGGAGACGTTCTACTACACCTTGTCGCAGAGTATCCTCGTTCTAATCCTCGCTGTTAGAGACTTAGAGCCCAACCTGAAGTTAGCTACCTAAACCTTTCCATGCAGTAGTAATAGTAGTAGTATTCCTAAACCTTTTCATATTTATTGCTAAATGTCCTCCTAAACCTTTTATTCATAATACTTGTAGTCTACTAGGTATCTGTTCTGCTCGGGCAAATTTTGTCGAGTTTAATCTGGTTTACACCAGGGTAATTGGACGAGCGCTCCATAGCAGGCTCGTTTCCCCCGGGTCTTCCCGTGGTTTGCCCTTGGTATGGGACTTTCCCTTGGCCACATTCTGGCCGATGCTCCGTGCATCTTCGGCATGTCGATCGTGTCTCACTCACCTCCTTTAGTGGAGCTCTTACAGCCTATGTCTAGCGAGGCCGAGTGACATGGGGGTTTTTACCTCTTCTCACTCGTATTATTCGTCTTGCTAGGTACGCTGTTTAGTTTGTATTTTTTCTCTCTCTTCTCACTCGTATTATTCGTGTCAATAGCAATTTTGCGCACTTTCTAATACATCGAACACTTGTTCTCATGTCTGAAAATGCAGGAAACTCCCATATGATTTCTTCCAACCCCTCTTCCGAATCCCAGGCAGAGTTTGATCCAGACTCTGTCGCCCAGTGTACTAAGTTCATCGAGGATTTCGGAAACAGCCTCATTTCGAAGGGAGACGCCTTGCTTGAAATACAGCGCGTCCTCCTTGATGCAATCAACGAATCGGAAACACTTACCCAACGAGACTTTAAACCTGGCTTTAATCACTTCCTTGAACTCCTCGACTACACGTCCAAAGAGTCTAATCCCCACCGTGATTCCTCACGAGTTGCGAATGATCCACCCAGAACGCAGTCGAAACAACCTGAGGGAGAGTCAGACAAGTCCACATCTCGGAAAGAGAGTGAGCTGCGAAGGAAATTGCACAGACGAGTACCCGAAGAAGAGGATGAGAGTGATGACTCTGGGGAAGAATACGAGAACGTTTGCGCAGAAAGAGACGCAAACTCACTGCAGAACGAGCCGGATTCTATCCTTGGCTTGACCCAGATCAATTTAGATTCGTCTCTAGTCAGCGTGCCGAAGAGCTCACCTTGGAATGTTATGAGGAATGGTCCGAAGACACCAAATATTACCGAGGCCAGGTTACTGCAACCCCCGGATGCCCCAGCTTCCCTTTATCGCAATGGACACTCCTCCTCGAAGGGAGAGCGCCTGACCTCGAAAAAGTGTTATCAGGGCATTACTCCACATCTATTGATCCCAAGCAAACCCAAACTCTCGGCAAAGGATTCGAAATCACCCTTTCCCAGCCAACTGCTACTCATAAGGTCAGAACATATGGCGACTGGAGTATCGCGACAGACCTCTGGATTGAGGCCCTCTCCTTCATCATGCCTTGGAAGGAACGTGAGCTTCGGGGATACAAGCGTTACATCTCCGGCTTCTTCGTCGATGTCCATTACGCCCTCCATTCACGAATTCTCGACTTCGACAAGGCATGTCGACTTAAAATTGAGGGCCAAAAATACATTCGCTTTGATGCCATCTCAAAGTTCCGGCGACTCGAAGTCTCACATCTATCCTCGCTCGGAATGGTCGCCTACGCAGAGTTGCATCAACTCAGCTCTTCCGGCAGGGATAAGTTTAATGCCAAAGGAGCAGGAGGTGGTAAGAAAGGACGAAGTGAAACTTCTGGCCGAGGGGGAGGCGTGCTACAACTGGAACCGAGGAATCTGTGATAAGTCCGCTTCCGACTGTTCCAGGTTCCATGTCTGCAGCAAGTGTCATGCAGGACATAAACGAGCCGACTGTCCATTGGCGAAGGAAACTAAATGAGACCATAGCGCAGGGTCAAAGGTTTAGGAGAAGGATGGTATGGGGGAACGAAGCAAAGTCCCTCAGTGGAATGGTTATTTGGACTGAGACTGCTGAGCCTCTCCCGCGTCCTCCTCCATCTGAATACGATAATCTCACAGCGCTTTCTACTATTGAGAAGTACCCTCATCTTTTCAAGGTCTCTACTCCCATAAATGTCGACAGATTCGAAACCCTTCTTACCCTCGCCCATCATCCTAATCTCCCATTTGTTCGCTCAGTATGCCAAGGCCTTCATGAAGGATTCTGGCCCTGGGCGGATACTCATGCTGGAGTATATCCCACTACGTGGGAGATCCCATCTCCAACTCCATCAACCATCGCCCAATGCGACTTCATTCGGAGTCAGATTTCAAAGGAGGAGTCCGTTGGAAGGTACTCACCTAATTTCGGTCCCCAACTTCTGCCTGGCATGTATAGCATGCCCATTCATGCGGTTCCTAAAGAAGGTGGCAAGTATCGCCTTGTCACTAATCATAGTGCTGGGGATTTCTCCCTTAACTCCATGATTACTAAGGACGACATTGCTGGGGTGACCTTGGACAATGTCCAGGACCTCGGTGATGCAATCCGAGAATTTCGACATCATCATCCACTCGAGAAACTAATAGTTTGGAAGGCTGACGTCTCTGAGGCGTATCGCCACATGCCTATGCATCCTCTCTGGCAAATCAAACAAGTTGTTACCTTCGAAGGAGAAAGACGTGTTGATAGAGCTAATGTGTTCGGAGGACGAGCTTCGCAGCGTATCTTTCACGCCTTCATGTCCCTCGTCATCTGGCTTGCGGTATTCGTCTGGCTCATTCAAGCGTTTATATACGTCGACGATTCTTTCTCTTTCGCCAAGGCCAGTGATATGTCTTACTATGTGAAGTATCGAAAGATGCTTCCTACCCCCATGGTTTCCCTTCTCCTCTTGTGGGATGAACTGGGCATCCCGCATGAAGAACGGAAACAGGTATATGGTTCACCACTACCGGTCATAGGCTTTGAGGTGGATCCTAACTTGATGAAGATATCTCTCAAGGACGAATCGAAGAAGGGACTAGTTCGAGAACTCAAGTCTTTCGCCAGGTATAGTCAGAGGAGGTCGTTACGAGAGTTTGAGCATATCGCGGGCACTCTCAACTGGGCTCTTAACATATGTCCTCTTCTTCGCCCTGGTCTTTCAGCAGTCTACGCCAAGACTAAGGGTAAGACCAACGCAAAAGGAATGATTTGGATCAATCATGCTGTCGTCGAAGAGCTTCAGTGGGCGGCTTTTCATCTTAATCGATCTGACGGCATCTACCTTTTCAAATCCGTTTCTTGGCAGTCCTTCCCTCCTCAATCGGATATCCTTGAAGTCTACTGTGATGCGTCGGGGTCGGGTATGGGTTTCTGGTATCTATCTCTCAACCTCGCATTTCAGTCTAACCTGCCGGAACATCCTCCCGTGGCAGATATCTTTTTCTCTGAAGCTCTTTGCGTAGCTTCTGGTATACACGATGGCATCACTCGGTTGCCGGTCAACGGAAAACTGGCAGTTTATACTGACAGTTTGAATACCGTTTATATGTTCAACACCTTATCCGCCGGACCCGGGTATAATCGTCTTCTTATGGACGTTGTCGAAACCATCCTTGCCTTCGACATCGACTTTCGTGTGTTTCATATTGCGGGAGAGGATAATGTAGTGGCAGATCATCTATCACGTTGGCGAGCACGTGATGCTGTCTCTTGTTCACCAGGGCTTCGAATCGTTCCATTTCAACCCCCTCGGAATGCGCTGGGGGCGGGTAAAAAATGATTCCTACAGCGGTTGAGGCTCGGCAGCCTCCTCGTGCTGCCTGGCCTATGGAGCGTCTAATTCATGAGCGCTCCATCAACCTTGGACTTGCCCTTGACAAAACAACTAA